AGCTAGCTTCCAAATGGGGAAATATTTGCGGGTTTTTTTTTTTTTTTTTTTTTCCCTATTTCTCCCCCTGGCCTGGAGAAGTCGGGCTGCTTACTGGGCCGGTAAGATATTCCGCAGGGACCTTGGGAACCCGCGGAGAGTTGGCTCTCTGAACGGCCGCTCGTTGGTGAGCCCGTAATAGGTCACGCTGCCGTTCCTTTTCACGACTAGAGGCGGTGCCACCTGTAAGACGCCGCATTCCACTGCGAATCATGGATTCAAAAGAAGACGTGCCCTCTGATCCCTTCCGTAGAGATGATGATGTACTGCGGGATGGTGGCTGTAGCGCCACGCGTTCGTCAAGATCTGAGAAGCTCTCCTCAATTTCAACCTCACTATCCGACAGTAAGGTCGACTCCATTGAAGGACGAGGTGTCATGCTAGCAGTAGAAAGACTAGGTGTATGATGATTGGTCAGGTGGTTGGAGGGTGAGGTCACGGAGCGACTATGCATCGCTGGCCGCAACGCATTTCCACCAGTGCCTAGAGCAAGCGGAGGCGATGTCACAGGAAGCACACCCTCGAGTCGTGTCGGTGGCCGTGATGTTTCAGCGAGGCCATTGTGGAACGAAGATGACGAAGGGGTCCTTGCAAGAGACTTGCGAAGAATAGGCGCCGTTTGTTGGTCATAAAGACTAGCCGAGGTGTCGGCGAAGCTACCCGGATAGCCACGCATCTCTGACATTGTGTTAAAAGAGGAATTCTGGAAGCCAAAGTCGTTCTCATCGAAGAAGTCATCCAAGCTATCCAACCGCTGAACGATCTCACCCAGGTTTCCATCTGTTTGCGTGTCAAACGACTTCATAGTATCTGCTCGCATTGAGGGGAAGTAGGATTCATTGTATTCTTCAGTGCTGAATTCTACTTCTGGCGTCGAGACTCGGTGTGCCTCCATGCGATCGGCCTCTGCGCATGTGTAAAATACCGCGTGGACATTGTGACGTGTGCTAGCCGACTGTGCCGCTGGTATTGGGATTGACCATCCAGTAGGTTCTGGAATGCCATAGAGGCTCTGGATGCGTTCGTATTGCTTCCGAATAGCTCGTGAAGACGATGATGACGCCATACTCATTCGCAAATGATGCTTTTCCATAGGATTTCCTGAGACCGTCATGATATGATCCATGACGTCGAGCGCCTGTGGACAGAGCTCCGTCTGAAGCAATCGCAGAAGAGGTGATATCAAATCTGGCCCATAGCTGGTGATCTCGGGTCGCCGCATATCCATTTCTGGGATCAACACGCACAACATGTTCAAAGTCTTGACTCGGAACCATTGCGTCGCGTTTGTCAACAGGCCCATCACGAATACCAGACTCTGTACTTCTTGCTCTGGAAAACAATACGAAGAGACTTCTGACATCATATGCTGCAAGAAATCTTGCTCCTTTTTCCACTGCACGTTTGCAAATCCAACTAAACAGGCAGCCAGTCGCTCAAAGCCGTGTCTTTCGGCCACTTGACCCAGTAAATTAGCCCGATCCAGAATTATTGGGTCCTTTGTATTTGCATCGAATTGGTGAAGAAAGCTGGGTATGTTGGCTAGAGTCGCAAAAAGTAATCGACCCCTACCTCCAATAAGATCATTGTCCGGCAGGGGTGTCATTCGGTGCAGCAAACTCAGTGTGTCGTGAAAAGATTCTGAAGACTTCAAGCCCTTATACACCAGCTCTTGGATACCAGTGAAACACCCCTCCCACTGAGGAGGCTGCGCGTCATTCAAAGTAGCCACGACACTGGGGTCACCCATATCAATCTTATCCAAAAGCTTCTCAAGCATACCGATACTTTCCATGAATTCAGCCTCATGTATAGTGTTCAAACAAGCACACGTAGTCCAAAAAAGCTGTGGGTATTGCAAAAGATCCGGCGATGAAAGGGACTTAATTATGACTTTTAAGGTTGTGAGTATTTCCAAAGAGAATGTTTGGTAGTCGGTTTCTTCATCGGCTATTGTATTAGAGAGCCGAGCAAGCATGTCTGCCAGCATCCTTGGCTCCAACGATGTCGAGATGCATCGGAACACTTGGAAAGAACGGCAAGCCAAATGCCGCACAGGACATGATGTGGCCCAATTCAAGGCTTCTTTGGACCAGAGATCGTTAACATCCTCGAAAACGAGATTGAAAAACTGCACCACCTGTCGCGTCACAAGATTCATTGCCGTTGGGACTTTGGTACCGTCGTCTTCTTCTTTGTCAGTATTGTCCTCATATTCCCAGATCACTGACGCTTCACTCTTGCGAATTGACTCGACAAAGTCCTCAATAGCGTGTCGCACTTCCGGTGAGACCTTATCCTGGACTTTTGAGGCGACTAGCTCATGAATGAGGTGAACAAGCATTTCCCGTGCTTGCTCCTGTACCGTAAAGGTATAATGATCCCACAAGATCAAAACCACGTGTAATAGCTTGATGACGTCTTGTAGTGCCAATGTAACAGGGCCTATTATTAAATCCACAAGAAAAATCATAGAAAGCTGACCCATGGACAGACCAGCCTAAAATTATTGTCGTTAGCAACCGTCACTCTTCCCAAATGTGGCATTACCACTTTACCTGCTTATTGCCGATTGGTAGAACGTCATCTATATTGGCTACGTAGGGCAATCCTCGGTTGTCTGGTGGTGGCGGGACATCATCTTTGCGTTCTTGTATCATGTACTTTGGTGACACGTGCAATAGGAAGAATTCGATCACTTTGGAACCAGCAGGAGTAGACGACAGGAATACCACAATCTGCTTGGCATACTCAACAAAATTCTGTTCCTTCCGTTCCAAACAGAGGCTAATAATAAAATCAAGAATGACTTGCACGTTTCCTCCATGGGGGCCTGTGGCCAGTGCTTGCCAAAGAGCTTGCACCTCATTGGGTAGCAGCTTGCACCGGAGGATAGTGATCTCGAGTAAATTCATGAGGAGCATATATGACCGCGGAGTAGGTTGCTGATTTGGATCGACTTGCAACTCCATTGTTTGAACCCAAGGCAAGATCGCCATAACAACATTCCGCTGCTCGTCAGGCGACATGGTTTTAGCAAAATGTTTGGAGAGGTCAGAAAATACGAAGAATCCAAGGTCCGGATATTGTGATGCGAGTCTTTTGGAGATTTCGAACTGAGCAAGCTTATGGACAGCTGTTGTCTTGTCAGAAAGGCTGATGTCGAAGTCCTGAAGTCTGGAATTCTTCTGCTGTCGTTCCTCCAAAATACGAAGAAGCTTCGCTGCTTTCATGCGGATGTCTCTTTTTTCGTTTCCTAGCATGTATAAAACGATAGCCACTATTCTCCAGAATGCCAATGGGTAATCAGTCTCCTCTATTAGAACCTGGTTCACGACATCAAAGTAGCTTTCAAGCGCCTTGTCCCGAATGCGCCTTTCCCGGTCGATTCCGTAGCACATATCTACCATGCGTTCGAGTAAATATGGGTACTCCTTGTTGTGCACAATAAGGTTTCTCAATGCTCGCCGACCAGTGGTGTGCAATTTGTCACTGGGGGTTTCAAAAATACTGCCAATCCAAACCAGCATTCGGCTCACATCAAACTGAAGGATTGACCCGCCTTCTGTTGTCGTACTTACTGGGCCAGCACATAATGACGACATTGCGCTCAGCGCTGCAGATTGTAGGTTTCTCTTCTCGATTTCTATCATAGCTGCAGGGTTTCGTAGGTCTCCGAGTTCATGTTGTTGGGCCAAGACAAAGCGTCTCATACTATCTTCTCTTCGAGCAATATGTGCTTGACTCGGTGAGTATCCGCACCAACCCTCCATCAAGGTAAAGGCCGATTTACGCGACTCAAAGGGCATCCAGCGAGAGGGCTCTTTTGTACGATTGATGCCTTCGAAAAGCTCCTCCATAAGGCCACAGTAATGGTATCGCAGACGTTGGAATTCCCAGTCATTCTGCACTTCAGCATCGCTAAGAAAGATGCGTAACTCCTTTGCGTAATTTATCAGGTTATTGACAATCCAGTCATCATTGAAAATTTCTGATTCCCTGAGGAAGGTAGATGTAAGTTTATATACGTGGGTGACTTCAGTGCGCAGGCGATCTGTCTTTCGGCTGCGACGGGGACTGCTTGGAGTTCGGCTGTGAGTACCAATTCGTAATTTGGCCTCTTCAGTGCATGTTGTCACCGCATATTGCAAAGATTCAAGAAGAGTTCTGTATAAACTCTTGTTGATAGATCCCAATGCGAAGACAATGGCATCTCTTATCGAATCCAATGAAGCAGACAGTAATGGAATCACAAAGGCAAAGAGAGCTCGGGCGGAGCCGATTTTTTCCTGGGCGGACTGCATTCCTTTCGAAGTTCTACGAGCATTCTGAGCGTTGGCAAGCTGGCTCTGAGACTGAGCACCCACACTATTTAGTGTTGTGCAAGCCATTAAGAGGTAAAGTTTCCATTGTTCAATCATGATCTCCGCGGGTGACCTGGCTCGGCCGAGGGATCGCCCGTGGCCCGTGTCGTAAGGCGCGTACTGCTGGAGTCGCTGGCTTTCTGCTAGGGCGGTTATATTTCTGTGCATCTGTATGAGTCTGGCGCACACGATCCCTCGAGCAAGAGTGACTGCAACTGGACACGTCTCAAAGCTGACACGAACAATGTTTGGAAACACTTTTACCCAAAGACTTGAGTCGTAAGAAACATCGCTGCTGCATAATTCAATGAGAGTATTTTGCGGGCTACTCCTTCTTTTACCCTTTTGTAGACGACTCCTTTCGGCAACTGTCAGCTGCTCATCATTGAGATCCATGATCTCGTGGGAATCTGCTTCCAGAATTCGAATGACCCTAGTGTTCTCTTTTCCCAGGGCGCGATCGAATTCAGTGATTAATCGCAGAACTGAAATTGCAAAGCGACGCACCCTGCGAGATTGAGAACACAGAAAAAATATACCGTGTGCTTCGATTTCCTCGACATGCGCAAGCACGCTAGAAAGATCGAGCTGTAGCGCCCGAGTACCGGAACCGACATTATTTTCAGCTTGATCAGTTGCAATTTCCTTGGTCTTCTGCTGAATCTCTTCGATCCAAATTTTCAAGAGTTCAACGTATAAAGTCAATGTAGACTCGATATGGCCAGGTCCAAGCATGCCTTCATCCGACATGGTGGAATACCGAGCATCAAAATTAAAGATAAACCTGGCAAACCCAATGGTTACCTGTTGCGCATGCATCTGGCGTGCTATTGATTTCAAAGACTCCGCGGAAGATCTGGCTATGTTGGGCTGAACATGCGCAGTTCCTGTGCAGAGGAGGTTAATGAGAGAGTTGAAGGGTATATGGTCGGATAAGCATCTGGGAAGCGCCTGTACAGCTACATGAAGCAGATCGTAAAAACTTTGCCTTTGGTCAATAAGAGTTGCATGATCGTCGCGCCGAGTAAAACTGAATGCTTCCGATATGGGAGTCTTGGGTGTTGAGCTACCAAACTTTTCATCAAGAGCTGCCTGTCCACCAAATGTATTATCACAGAGAAGAGTGATCTTCCCAAGGACTTCACAAAACTGAATGTAGTAATCCTTCGCTACCTGATTAAGTTTGGAGACATTCACAGGTCGCGAGAGGGTCGATGTGTCCGCAGAGACTGCGCGAGGCTTGGCATCTGCTAGAAGCTGTGAGCGAGGTGGAAGTAGAAAATTGGGGATGTCGACAAAGTGCGTAGAAATTGGACCAGCTGGAAAAGGTGGGTATAATTGATCGCCGTTCTCTAGGTCAGACATAATGGCAAGGAATGACCGGATTCCTACCACCATCTTCTCGGGTTCCATTTGTTCGATTTTGAGTTCCTTGCCAGACAAGAAGAGGTCCGAATTTATTAGGGGAAAGATGATGTTGCGGAAACACAGGTCTGGGAGCTTAAAACCGGTCATCCGAATAAGTTGCTTCAAGGGGTCTGCCACGGAAGGCTCTGTTGTAAGATATGTTTTCTTCCCCGGAGGCAGCGCGACTTTAATGACCTCGTCAACCCTTCTAAGCGTGACATTAGGAGGGTCCGGGTAGCGGAATAAATACGTCCATAGCAACCGGCACAGTGCCTGGAGCGCCAATCCTCGAGTAGGCCGATCTCTGAGTCGCGGAGGTAAACTGAGTGCTAGAGATTGCCACTGGCTAGCAAACACATCCTTTGAAGAGACACAGAGCAAGATCGTCTGTATAGGAAACACGGTCATCCAGTGTCGAGGCTTGGCAATCATTTGCGAGAGGCGTGGAGTTATCACTTCCAAAAACTCCTTCCACCGCGGATGACCTACGTCACACGCAGGATTCGATGCAATCGAAATTAGAACTTTTTCGATAATGTAGCAATATGCCTGCTTGACCCGTTGTCCATGAGCGTTGACAAAAAGCCCAGCTAAGGATCTCATATACTCGCAGGATTTGCTCCACGCTTCTTCAGGATAGGTCTTGATGCTGAAATGCCGCATTCCCAAAATTAACAATTCTACTTTGGCGTCAAGCTCTTGAGACTGGCCGCGGAGACTGGCTTCTCTCTGGTATCGTTCAAGCTCGCTGATGAAGCGCTTTGCGACGCCGGTAAAGTTGATCTCACTCATTCTGCCTAAAAATTGACCGTAGATCCTCCAGTTTGCCATACGTAACGGAGAGGCCGCAACCTGTTCCGGATCCACTGCCTTCAATTGACCGAATACTATGTCTTCTAATCGCTCCGTCATGTCGGCCCCGATCGCTTCAACGCTGCTTTGGTTGAATATTTCGATCAGTACTCTGCAAACGAGATACACCGAAACGGTAGCCCGGCGCTCAAGAAGCTGAATGCCATCCTGTTTCTGTGCGAAAGAGGGTTGTGCGCTTTCCAAACTCAGATCTGATTCAGAGCTTCCCGCCTGGACAGGCTCTGTATTTCGACGAAGAAGTGTTGAATTTTCAGAGCTTTGCGGTTTCTGGGGTTCCAGAATCCATTAGTCTCTGGGCTGGGTAGCCAAAGCGCTGCGGTGTCATCATCTACTTACCTGAGGATTCTTGGCTGTCGTTGCCGCTTCACCTTTTGCTCTTCGCCACAGCATGATGGTATCAATCAATGGTTTCGGTTTCTGGCGAGCGATATGCCCCAAGGCAGAAATAAGCTGATCGAAAACGGGGTCTGCACCTTCGCCGCACACCTCTTCCACTGGCGCCTCAACCTCACCAACCTTGACGATGCTTTGATTAATCTTATTGTCTGCATGGGCAACGAACTAATGTTTCTTTTGTTAGCGATGATACGAATGGATCTAGGGTGTACCTACAGAATTGAAGAGGTGATGTAGAGCATACTCGCCGGCGGTCTTTGACTCCTGGTGATGCTTTGAATGCGCGCGGCCGTGGGAGTGTTCTCGCCTGAGTTTGCTATTTGATGGCACCTTGTTGTGGGTAGTATTGCTGCGCTTCGTCACTGTCTGGCCAAGACTTATAAGTTCATCGTCATCTTGGATCGTGCTGAGACCGCTAGTCTGTGTATGCACAGAGCCATTGCTTCCGTTATTTGCAAATTTCAAAAGCGAGTCCAGGTCGTCAGTCCGACTGGAAAACAGATTCTCTGGTGCTATAGATAAGCCGGCCATGCTACCTGAGCCTGCAGATGCAATGATTTCCGGGCTCAGAGGACTCGCCGAGGTTGAAGTATAACTTGGGCCGCGGGAATGCTGGATGCCATGGACAATGGATGTCTTCCGGTGATGTCCGTAGGATGACAAGGAAGGCTTGCGCTCAACAAGACCTTCTGGCCGGGCAACATTGGATTCCGGGCTCTTCGAATGAGACTGACCGCGGCTTCGCGACTGGGGTTGGAGCGTTGTAAGGCCTCGGCCAGAAGCATCGACGGGTCTCCCTCTTGACCCAGAGACAGAGGACTCCCTGCTGTGCAGAATAGCGAGCCCTGGAGAAGACGCATTTCTGGGGGCTAGTCGGTCTGGCGGGGGGGTAGGGTTATGGTGCGACGTAGGAGACTCGTCGGAGCCGAGGGGTATGGTTGTCTGAAGGGGCGCGGCTGTCCGACCGGATTGGGGTATTGCTGTGCACACAAATGTGATATTAGCTTCGGTGCAAAGATGAGACCAAGTGTCGGGATCGAGTGGAATGGACGGGGTTGGTTTGTTTGTTAGTGTGGTGTTGTAACAGTGCAGGGCACACGCGACAGAGTGGTACGCACGGTTGGGCTGCTGCATGTTCAAACTGCGATGAGCCTCTCACAAGCATTGAATCGGCGTCGGCATTGTAGATGAAAAAGGTCATCTCTGGCTAGCATGCATGGCAACAGGGCAACGATAGGCCATGGCATCTCAAGCTGGTGGTGAAGTGAATTGTGTGATGAGGTGAGGTAGTCGTCGAGCCAAAGCTGCTCTTAGCTTCGGGCGCGGACGGCAGGTGCGCTTCTGCTTACTCAATGAGTCAACCGCCCAAAGATTCGTCTCTTCTCTACCTCTCTCTCAGATCCCTCGCTGTGCTCGTACTACTGGACGCAATTCCGGTGGTATTTCCATGCTCATTTAATTTGCGACATACGAAACTGCGCGCAAGGCTGTGTATATATCTTCTCCAACTGCTCGGCCACGTGGGAAGATGCAAATACCCTGTACCTTACGGATCCATACCTGTACGCAGAACCCCCCTTCCAATGATTCGAATACAGATTCCCCGGGGAAAATATCTAGTGGATAGAAAACCAAAAGGACTACTTGCTTTGGACTTTGATATATACAATTTCACATAATCTAGGAAGACGTTTCAACTTCCGGACCCCCCTCTTCGTCTTCTTTCAGCTTTTCTACATCTCGAAGTATGCCGTCCTTGAGTTTTGCCAATTTGAGATACCAGCAGTTCTTCGTGTAGGAGGCAGAGTCAGACTGGGCAATGAGACTGTACAATGTCTTGACAAAGCTAAAAGCGTGAGTTAGGTCTTCTTTTGACCCGAGACAGGTGTACCGGAAATGCATGTTCACGGCCATGGAGTATAGGCAGTCAACCCGATCACTGTTCTCAACCGGTGTGATTTCAAAGGCGCCGTGGAATGCTTGAATGGCAGCATCAATATGCTGTTTTGTTCGCTTTCTTTTGGCATACTCTTCAAACAAGCTGGCTAGCACCATCAGTCTCTCAGAAGGCGAAGCATGGTGCAATTGTGAAAATTTGTCAACAACCACCCGGGCAGTCTCGATAGCCCGGTCGTCATCTTCATTATCACCGGCTGCCTTGCGGAATTCAGAATATCTGAATAGACTCGTTAAGCAAATTTTGTGGTCTTGCTTTAAATAATACTTCTCATCCTCAGTGGGAGGATACACGTTAGGGTCTAAGGCGTTCTCGATTGCATCAATTGCTCTTTTTATATCTTTGTCATCTTTTTCATAACAAAACCGGAGATTGAGGGCTACGGCAAGTATACCCAAAGCTCGACGTCGATTAGCGTGAGTTCGAGGGATCATTTTTATTGCTCTGTCTACATGCTCAATTGACAGGCTCGCCGCAGTATCAGAATTGTTTCTCCGGGCTTGCAGCAAGTAAACGTCGCTCAAGTTCAAAAGTCTCTGGGCCAGCCTTTCATCGTCTGGATCCGATCTGGCGATGACTTCCTTCTCTAAGTCAATAGCATAGGATAAATCCTCGTAAAAGTCAATGTCCAGACACCGTTTGACCAAACCTAGCGATAAGCAGCTCAGAGCCAGGTCAACGTCCTCAATCATACTGTCGATTATGGACGTCTCTTTGAAAACTCTCACCCCATTTGCAGAGGGCAAGCTAGAGCAGCAGAAAACAAACCAAGCTAGGTCAAAAGACATGGACGGATATTTTTTCTTGAGAGCGTCAATCATACCTGGCCACTTTTTATCCTCTTTCTTTCGAATGAGATTCGCGTGGAAGAACCAATTTGTGAAGCTGTACTCGCCAAATGCATATTCATCTTCCATGACCGATTCGAACCACTCAAAATGTTTATGTTGCATGGACTGCGAGGCATCAAACAATTGTCTCATAGAGCGTAGCGGGAAGTCCAACTCGCGGGGAATTGACATGTATTTTATGCAACTCTTCATCATAACTTCGTGGCAGGTAAGCTCAGAAAAGTCGCTGGCCAGCCATGTCGGTCTTTTGTCATCATTTCCACTGGAAAGAAGGTAGTCTCGGACCGTCTGGTGGATAAAGTAGATTCCATCATTGTATACAATTAGAAAGAATTGACATTTGTCCAGAATCCATGCTCTGAAGTCGTCGCTTGGGCTCGGGTCGTCGACATTCGCATTGCTATCGAGATAATCGCGGTCGTCGAAGCTGTCGTCCGCGTCGATTTCAAGAATTCCGAGGGCAGCGTTCATCTCTCTCAGTTCTAGCGGCCTTCGCGCCGCGAGGGTCAGCTGAAGCATAGTCTTCACGTAGGTTCGGTCTTCTTCTTGGGTGGTCTCCAGAAGAGTGCTGTAGGTATCGTATACACTAGAAGGCAATGATTTAAACTTTCTAATCCAGTGTCTGGCCACGCGTTCCTGCTTAAGACCTTTAAGATATCTGAAAACAAGTTCAACGAAAAGATAGGTGCGATTATTTTGCAGATATGACTCAAGCTGTTGACGCAACGTAGCCCTGGTCTCTTGGTCCCAGATCCTTTTGTCCTTGAAGAAGGCCGCCAATCGGTCATTTGCTACCTTGACGATATCATCGTAGAGTGAGCGGTTGTATTCGAGATCTAGCATGAACACAGGAGGAGAAGATACAACCGGTATTCCATGATACGTCTGCGGTGTAAACATGTCGAGGATAGGTTGGATGGGGCGCGCAGTAGCGAAAATCTTGACTGCTTGGTTTGAAAACCGTCGTAGTTTTTCCAAAAAATCCATTAGTTGGTTCTGATTTATTTCATCAACTGCATCAAAAATGACGATCACACTATCGGGCGCGGCGCTCTGCGTTGCTGCTATGAAAATCTCCCATAGCATATCAGTATTCAACCGCAAGGAATTCTTGTCAAGGGGGTTGACTATGTCTTGAACATCGTCGATGAGATCCTCTCGATTCTTGAATAAATCATACAAGATTTTGCAAAGGGCGAGGTTCACTCTATTTTGCTGGCCACTTTTATCCTTGAAGAAGAACGAACTGATAGTTGATGGACTGGATGATTTACCAGTTATGTGCTGTAACGCGTGTTCCAATGCTTTGCTGAAGACACTCTTTCCTGTCCCAGGGTTCCCCAAAAGAAGTAATAAGCGTGCTTCCCTAGCCCTCATCCAGCCTTGAAACTCAGGGCTGTCAATGATTCCTTGGTTGGTCCCTTGATGAGGCGTCGCCAAGCGGTTCAGATATTCCTGATACGCTTCATAATCAAGGTCAGATATTTCTGGATTAAACGCCTCTATCAATGCATTTCTCTTTTTTGACTGATCTTTCTCTTTAAGGAAATGCAATGTTGCAACCACATTCTCATTTGTCTCATCAGACTTGTCGAGAGTTTGCGTTCGGTAATACAGATCCACGACTTTATCTAGCTGCGCCTCGGCAGATTTTATGCCATCAAGCTTCTCCTTCCACTTGGCTAGTCCTAGACTGCTCTTCATAATGGCAGATTTGGAATGACAAGCGTGGAATGTCAGTACTTGGTACTCAATGATGAGCCGGTAGAGTTGAACGAGGTTGTTTCGAATAGTAAGCTTGAACTTCTGGGTTCCTTCCCGTGATTTCCACGGTTTCGACCGAAGATGTTCTATAAGCTCTATATTCTCAGGCAGTTTTCCTGTGATGTAGGCGATCCCCGCTCCATTATCGTCCACTGCCTTTGCAAAGTTGGACAGCTAACAGTACACTGTCAGTGACACAGAACCAATCGTCAGAAATTCTACTACTCACAGGAGCTATAACCAAGCAAATCCCTGCCCACGCTATCGAAGCGGGCTGATAAAGGTCTAGCAGTGTACCAATAGCTTCTTGAGTGGAATCAAACACAGATATTATCCCCGAGACTGCCTTGGCTCCTTTCGACTCGTTCCCACGTTGGCCCATCAGTTTTGCCATGAGGTCCTGTCGCCTGGTGGAGTCGAGGCTTGCGAGATCGCTAACCAAGGAGTTGCTGCTGTCATTCCCACCACCACCACCAGCATCAGACTGCTGGTACTTGGATCGTATTGCTGCTTCGAACTTTTCTACTTTGCTCCTCAAATCTCCACCTTCACTCTTGGCAACGTGGTCGTATGCTTCTTGCCAGATCTCTTGGAGTTCTGGAATGGGGTCTTTGTCAGTTTCTGTAGCGGCGGAGGGAAGTGCTTTATGGAGAAGTGACGCTAAGTTGGAGTCGGTAGCATCATGCTCCGGATCTATACGCGTGGCCGCTGACTGCTGCTTTGTCTTGTGTCGTGGAAACATTTCTGCCTGCGATACTACACCGTCCCTAGCTAGGTATGAATGAATAAAGTTGTGACGGCAGATTATGACCGCTATTCTGGATTCAGCCTGTAATCCACCACGGGCCTGAAATGTCACCTACTTAGGTGAAAAATGCCTTGGAAAATAAATCTCTTGTTTTTCTGGATCTTCCAATATAAAAGAAATAAGTTAGAAGTAGAGGAATATTGATGAGCGAACCGCTCAGAAAAGGCATAAAGGTGTAGAAAGATGAATATGTGAAGGATAAAGAACGTATCTAGAGGACGGTCTTGTAGCCTTAGGAAGTTAGGCTCTAACTGTATATAATAATAGGCCAATAGAATGCCTGTGAGGCTATATGTATAATGTATGTATATTATTTAATTTTCTGTTTTCCAAAAAATTAACTAGTTACTTATGTACCCATTGATTTCAAATTCTTCTTATTCTATTCTTTCTGCTACAAACCTCATTATAAATATCCTCCACTATCGATGTAACTCAACTGTTTTATGTACCTAGAGCTCATCTTAGATCAATGACGCTATCTTAATGCTATAAACTCAACTTGATAATGATTATGGGCCATTACTTATATAACGTATTTATCCTAGAACTTAACTAACTAGTACCTACTCTATTTCCTTTTGAATTATAGTTCACCTGCTTTTATCGTGAAGTATGCCCCTGACCTTCTGAACACTCTGTGTCCTCTTCTTACTTGCCAGGCTAATCCCTCGTCTCCCCTTTCACCTTTCTCGGGTCCATCCCTGTTAAATAGTTATCCAGCACTGTATCCAAGCTGCTTCCTTATATAGAAGAAGCTCAGCTCTGCACCAGCCATACTTCAAATAGCAATAAGGAGTCAAGGTACCTACATAGAGGTTCCTCATTCAACCCCTTACTCCGTCCGGCTGTTCACGCAAAGCTTATCAATGTGACAGGGAGAGCCAACGACAGCAAGGATGAGCTATACTGAGGCAAGGAGATGAGTACAAGCAACATTTATGCTGTTTTGAGCAGACTTGCCTAGTATATGTCTAGTCCTAGGGCTAGACCGTATATCCCAGCAACGGCTTGCCACTAAAAGCAGGCAGTAGACAGTGCCAGGGGCAGGAAGACATACAACGTTTGATCTTGTCCTTCTCCAGTTGATTGCTCATATTGAGTTAATTTTTTTTTTTCGGGTCTTGTCTTCTCGTCAACCACGGACTCCGGAGAGTCTCCAACCGGGCTTTACCCGAGCGGAAAGGCCTCGCCGGCGTGATTGGCCGAACCGCCCAATCAGACCACCTGGCACACACACCGACGCACGCACTCCCTCCCTCACCACAACAACCATCAGCAACATATACACACACAGAGGGAGAGAAGAAATAGAGGAGAGAGCTCGTTGCGCTCTTTTTGTTCGCTTCCTCTCCCTGGCTGCTTTTGTCTCTCGTCAACCGTCATAATGGCACAAATCGACACCCTCGATCTGATCGTCCTGATGGGCCTGCTCGTAGGAACCGTGGCTTACTTCACCAAAGGAACCTACTGGGCTGTCCAGAAAGATCCGTACGCCGCCGCCCCCGGTGCTGCCAACGGAGCCAAGGCCGGCAAGACCAGGAACATCGTCGAGAAGCTGGATGAGACTGGCAAGAACTGTGTGATTTTCTATGGCTCGCAGACCGGGACTGCCGAGGACTACGCGTCCCGACTGGCCAAGGAGGGCTCTCAGAGATTTGGTCTCAAGACCATGGTAGCTGATCTCGAGGAATACGACTACGACCTCCTAGACACTTTCCCCGAAGACAAGGTTGCCTTCTTCGTGCTCGCAACCTACGGCGAGGGCGAGCCCACCGACAATGCAGTTGAATTCTATCAGTTCGTCACTGGAGAGAGTCCGGAGTTTACGGGTGGCGCGTCTGATGAAGAGAAACCTCTTGCTTCCCTCAAATATGTCGCTTTCGGTCTCGGAAACAACACATACGAGCACTATAACTCCATGGTCCGACACGTCGACGCTGCTCTAACCAAGTTGGGAGCCAAGAGAATCGGTGATGCTGGTGAAGGAGACGATGGTGCCGGAACAATGGAGGAAGACTTTTTGGCTTGGAAAGAGGGCATGTGGACTGCCCTCAGTGCTGAGCTCGGGTTGGAGGAGCGTGAAGCTGTCTACGAACCCATCTTTTCCATCACGGAGCAGGATGAATTGACTGCTGAAGATTCCGCCGTCTATCTTGGCGAACCAAACCTCAGCCACCTGGAACACGCTGGTAAAGGCCCGTATTCTGCTCACAATCCCTACATTGCTCCCATCGCCGAATCTCGTGAACTGTTCGCCGTCAAGGACCGAAACTGTCTGCATTTGGAAATCGATGTCTCCGGAAGTGGTTTGCATTACCAGACTGGTGACCACATTGCAGTATGGCCTTCTAATGCTAGCATGGAAGTTGATCGCTTCTTGAAAGTTTTCGGTCTCGATGCCAAACGCGAAACCGTCATCAAGATCAAGGGTATTGATGTTACCGCTAAAGTTCCTTTCCCCAGTCCGACCACATACGATGCCGCCGTCCGTTACTACATGGAAATCTGTGCTCCAGTGTCTCGCCAGTTTGTCAGCACGCTCGCCGCATTCGCACCGGATGAGAAGGCGAAAGCTGAAATGGTACGTCTTGGAAATGACAAAGATTACTTTCAGGAGAAGATCACCAGCCAATGCTTTAATATCGCACAAGCTCTGGAAAGCATTTCGTCCGCGCCTTTTACTGCTGTGCCCTTCTCATGCTTGATTGAAGGGATCAACCGTATCCAGCCTCGTTACTACTCCATTTCTTCCTCCTCCCTGGTTCAAAAGGAGAAAATTAGTGTCACCGCTGTTGTCGAGTCCGTTCGCATCCCTGGCGCCACCCACGTCGTCAAAGGTGTCACCACAAACTACCTATTGGCACTCAAGCAGAAACAGCACGGAGAACCGAGCCCCGAGCCCCATGGAGTCACGTACGCTATCGATGGCCCCAGAAACAAGTACGACGGTATCCGTGTTCCCGTTCACGTACGCCATTCGAACTTCAAATTGCCCTCGGACCCTTCCAAGCCTATTATCCTAATTGGACCCGGTACCGGTGTCGCGCCCTTCCGTGGGTTCGTTCAAGAGCGCGCTGCTTTGGCTGCCCGAGGAGAAAAAGTGGGAACAACTGTTCTATTCTTTGGATGCCGGAAAAGTACCGAGGATTTTCTCTATGAAGATGAGTGGAAGGTTTGTATATCCTTTATTTGGCTTCGACATACCTATGCTCTTTCGTAGACCCACGCTTTGCTAACCTTCTTAATTTTCTCAATAGACCTACCAAGAGCAGATGGGAGACTCCTTTAAGCTGTTCACTGCATTCTCCCGTGAGGGTGCCCAAAAGGTCTATGTTCAACACCGTCTACGTGAAAACGCGGCCTTGATCAATGATCTCTTGGCACAGAAAGCTTATTTCTACGTCTGTGGCGATGCTGCACACATGGCTCGTGAAGTCAACACTGTCTTAGGCCAAATAATCTCAGAACAACGTTCCTTGACCCCAGAGAAAGGCGAGGAAATCGTAAAACATATGCGGAGCAGTGGAACATACCAGGAAGATGTATGGTCCTAAAATTCCAACACTTAACGAAACGACTTTCTTTCTTCACTCCCTGTCTTGGCTTGTTCACTTTATAGATTGCTTCGCTTCTCCCTCTTTCATACGACAAGGACGATTTTAACATGTCACGAAACGTATTCTTCTTGCCTCCCTGGTTTTCTCTTCATTGTGCTTTGGTCGTTATTCCATCAGCTATTTATTGTTCATATTTAAACAGTCGAATGGAGCTCTCATGGCTCATCAGAAGGGGCGTCATGCGGACGTAGGAGTTGTCGGAATCGATGCTTGCGCAACCAAAGCTTTCTTCTTGGCCTTTTTGGACATCTATGTGTTTTTAGTGAGAGGGAACTTAATAGAAGGGGTTGACTTACAAATTTATAATATATGAATTCACTCAACGCTGGCTCTCGCTAAACCTTGAGATTACCTAGATGCTGCCCGAGTATGTCATCAGGCAAGCTCTTCCTCACCTGCCAAGTTACCAACAAATACCCGCCATCTCTCACCCATGATCCTGGGACACCGATCATCTTCCCATTATTGTTGTCGAACGGCCACTTCATGATATAACATCCTTTTTTACTGTGCCGCTGCAGTGAAAATGGTAGGGGGGAATAAGAGAAGAGGTTCTTGTGCGGACGTCCTAAGGGAGAGGGCGTTCCTTCCCATACAGGCGGTTGCCGGTGCTTGCCCTATCGGGCAGTGAGCTTCTTCCTTCCTCCGCTACTTCATGTCTCTTTCCCTCCTCCTCCTCCTCCTCCTCCTCCACGTCTCTTCGTCTCTTCTTCTTCTTTTCTCTCTCTCTCGTTCGTCTCTTCACGTTAGCACCACACTTCGCTTCAGTCTCTCATCGAACTCCATTAGTTTTCCCAGTCATTCTACTCATACTCTGCCTCTTATACTTTCCCTCAACTTCATCGATACTACCAAGGAACCTCGAGTGGCCTCGTTATCTCTCTCACTCTTTCATCGAAAAGAAAAGTAAGTCACAAGCATTTGTGCTGTCTTCCCATTTGCCATATCTGCTATTTCTTGAGCATGATCATGTCAAGAACTTGCCTTCCTGTTGCTTCTCCGGCTTGTTTCCCTTCCGACTATGCTAGATTCATGCTGTAGTGTTTGAAACCATCATGTATATCGACGAGGAAGAGCTGACGAGGCCATCCAGATCAATATGAACTCCGTAGTTACAGTCCCTGAGATCCACAAGGATCCTATGTACGATTCAGGTATGAGTTACAATCCCAAGTAACAGTCCCATGGCTAATGAATTCAAAGGCAAATATGTTCCTCCAAATGGAAAACTGAATGTTCCTCCTCGCATTTCCACAAAAGGTGCTGAAGGGGTCAACGGAGCTTCTCATCCTAACCCCGACTTCGCGACACTTGCGCGGGAGGCTCTTTACAATGCTCCTGTTATGGTAGGCGGGATGAATTCAAACGGGCACTTCAGTCAGCGTCAAGTCAGTCCTCCAGGTCCACTAATGCCTGGAATGCCCCTGCAGCCGCCAATTCCTCCGACTATGTACTATCCCGGTTTTGTCGGTGGTGCACCTATCACTCCTGTGAATTTCCCATCCATGCCATGGGGAGCACAGGGCGCAGGAATGAATCATACTCCCGCCACTTCCTGGTCTTTCGAGGAGAAGAATCCTCTGAACGACTACTCCGGAACCAGTAATGGCTTTCATTCGTACGGTTCGATAGTGGAACGTAGTGCAATTCCGCCCTATCCTATTCTACCGGGAATTCATCTGCAGCAGCCCTGCCTTCAGTACCAAATGATGAAAACACCCAATGGTTACATTGTCCAGGATATGGAGTTGCTCACTCAACAGGAGCCTCCTATTCCTCGGGCCATTCCTGCCATGTGGACCAACCAATCTGACCTTACCCTTGCCAAGTGTCTTGAGAACCGCGAGGGAATTACTAACGTCTACATTCGTGGTTTCCCTCCCGAGACTACCGATGAGATGCTTCACGCATACGCATCTCGCTTCGGAGAAATTGATCGATGCAAGGCAATCGTCGATCTAGAGACTGGACTTTGCAAGGGGCAAGTTCTTTCAATTCTCTGTTGTGCCATTTCTAACCTCAAATGAATAGGTTCGCATTTGTCCAATTTTACAATTTTGAATCGTGTGAGAACTGTATCCGCGGTTTCTACTATCTCGGTTATCAGGCTTCCTTTGCCCAGGTACATTTGCTAATGATCGTTACCTTGAACATTCACTAATCTCTTGCAGAAAAGTCGCAACTCACGCCTCAAGGACTTGGAGGACAGGAGCTCTACAAACATTTACTGCACAAATGTTCCGCTTGACTGGTCCGAGGCTGTAAGTGACATGAAACTCTCTAATAGATACAGATGCTTACCTAGTTATTGTAGGACTTACGCCGGCACTTTGAGCCTTATCGTGTGGTCTCAGAGAAGATAAGTCGTGATGAGAAGACTGGAGTTAGCAAAGAAGTTGGATTCGCCCGGTAAGGATCGCATCTTGAATGCTGTTGGCCTTCAGTTGACTGTCTCAAGTTTCGAGAACCGCGACATTGCTGAGCGTGTTATTGAAGAATTTCATAACGTTGCTAGCAAGTCCGGACATAAACTGCTTCTTCGTTTTGCCGACACGAAAGCCCAAAAGCTTTTGAAGCAGCAGTCTAATGAACGTCGAGCCTATCGTGCTGGGGAGTACAACTACTCGGTCGAGGTTGTACAAGGCTCAACCCCCTCTTCAGCTACTTCGCGATTGGGAAATGGACAGGCATCGCCCCTGTCTTTTCAGTCTCCAGCAGGCGTAGGCCCATCATGGACTCCTGCCACAACAATCTCTCCATCGTGCGTATTGGCTTCTGTGCATAAGGAAGATTAAGCTAACACTACTGTGCAGGATTCCTGTTATGAAGAACGCTGGTTTCCGTCGTGGAATGCAACCATTCGGAGTCCGTACCTTAACAAATGGTGAGAATACTTCATCAGCTTCACGTGGTCGAACTACTCCAGCTGGTCCCAACGTCTTGCCGGAGAAGGAAAAAAACACAATCATATCGCCTTCCAAGACCACCGTTGCTGTGACTGTCACAACACCACGTACCCCTACGAAGAAAGCAGCCATACCGCGTAAGTCCAGCTCCGTCTCACCGGTCACATCACGAAAGAACGTTGAAAAGGCATCCCCAAAGTCTGCTGCGGCTTAAATGTAGGGATATTGTCTTCTCTTTCAAGTCTCGGTTTTTCATCGTGACCACTTCCCAAGTCAATAATTATTCCGTCTTTTTATTTCTCCCTTTCCATTGCACTCGGCGTTTTATGGTCTGCCATAGGGCATATCCATCATATTCACACGAACATATCTATATACAAGATGCAGCTACATCACTATTTCTGATATACGCCATGAACTTTGTTGTTCTACGCGAAATAATCGACTAGCATTGCCAATTGGCTTGACGCTATTTACGCGCACTCATTGAAAATTCTCAACAAAGCTCAATCGAGTAAACCTAACATCCGATCTGTTTGTGTTCGAATGATACGGCGCGTCTACTATGATATATTATATGGCATATGGTTATGAAAAGTTCGGTGGATATACTACAATGTATGATCTTAGTCAGATAGAAGATAAAAGCAAGTAACTCAAAAAGCTAATGACTATGTCGCGAGTCATGTCCCGTCACTCACCATAGGGATATACTTACCCAGTGTCTGCTCTGTCGGTTTTTCTTGGAAGGAACATCGATCTAAATTGCTTGAAATTTCAACCAAAGAAAAAAAAAAAAAAAAAAAAAAAAAAAAAAGAATAGCTGAACCGCTAATCTATTCCCGCTTGCTTTAAAAGAGTTGATATCTTGGAAAAAGCTTCATAAATCCTCATATCGAAAATATCTTATAATCATCATCTCCAATGCTGTCTGTGTACTTATCCGAGTACTTTCATCTTCTTCTTTTTCTTTCCGCCTTCCTTATCCTTTTGTTTTCCTTTCTGCCAGTCCCTCCAACTGCCTATTCTCTCATCACGTGTATCCTCCCAAGCCTTTTCGGCATCTCTCTTGCGCTTGCGAGCCTCCAATTCATCCTCTTCCTTCTGCTTCTCCCTACCTTCTTCTTGCATGCGCGCTTTCATCTGCCGCCGCCTCCTCGCTTCCTCTTCCAGTAGCACCTCGACTGTCTTCTTGCGCCATTCCACTTTGAATTCTTCCGTCTTCAGCTCTGGCGAGTCGAGTGTATATTTGTGTTGGCGAATAAGCAGTCGCCGAGCATCGGCGATGGACTCGTCGAGACGTTCGCGGGCTGGCTCATCGAGTAGAGTCGTTTGTGCCTTCTTGAGCCTATCAAATGCATCTGGAGCGAGAGGGTTTCGCGTTTTGTCGGGATGGATCAAAAGTGATTTTTTGCGATACTGTAACTTGATGTCTGATTCGGGGACTCCCGGTTGAAGGTCAAGGACAGCATAGCTTTTGCAGGCGGGTAAACGTCAGTATGAGAGATCTAGACTAGCTTATAATTAAGGGCTTTCAAGGATAGCTCACGCGTCTAGTGGGAATGCCTTTCTGATTCGTTCAATCTCTGCGTCCTACATAGCATGAGCGAGTCAGTTGTTGCATTCTGCAAACCCGGCGAGTTGCATGCTGTACATCACACCTTGTTGAATTCCGAGGCTTCCTTCTCCAACGCGTTGAGCGCTTCCAATTCATCGTCAGCCATTATCACAGTTCCACAAATGAGCAAACAAATTGTGGTCGAATAATCACAGGGCGTGGGTCTATCTGATAAGCCAGACGAGAGACGACCTTTTTTCTCCGCAAAACCTTATCACATGGATGACTAAGCGCCCCGCCGGTTAAAAAAAAAAACATGCAGCAAAAGTTGCTACGTAAAAAAGAGGAACGATCACTTAACGCTCAATTCGCGCGGACACGCCCAACTCCTATAGCCATGGCTCAGGCGAAGGACTTTAATAAAAAGAGTCGAAAGCCAGTTGTCGAAAATGCTCGAACTCTCAAACGAAAGCGAAATGAAACGGAATTAACGACAATTGTGCAGCGAGTCGAAGAGCTTGATCCGAAAGTCCGACTTGAGTCTTTCTCTGACTTGCCTCTGTCGGATCCCACAGCCTCTGGTCTGGCTGCATCTCACTTCAAGTCCTTGACTGATATCCAATCTCGATCCATCCCCTATGCACTGAAGGGGAAAGATATACTGGGCGCCGCGAAAACCGGGAGCGGCAAGACATTGGCATTTTTGGTCCCCATTCTGGAAAATCTGTACCGCAAGAGCTGGACGGAATATGACGGTCTTGGAGCGATTATTTTGTCTCCTACTCGCGAGCTTGCGATTCAGATCTTCGAGGTCTTACGGAAAGTTGGTCGGTACCATACGTTTTCTGCAGGATTGGTCATTGGCGGAAAGAGTCTGAAGGAGGAACAAGAGCGTCTTGGAAGGATGAATATTCTTGTTTGCACGCCTGGGCGAATGCTTCAACACTTGGATCAAACAGCGGATCTCGACGTGTACAATCTGCAGATGCTAGTCCTTGATGAAGCGGACCGAATCATGGACATGGGGTTTCAACACACCGTTGATGCGATTGTCGATCATTTGCCCAAGACACGACAGACTTTGCTCTTCAGTGCGACTCAAACAAAGAAGGTTTCTGATCTTGCACGGTTGAGTCTTCAGGACCCTGAATACGTTGCAGTACATGAGGCTGCCACCAGCGCAACTCCGGCTACACTTCAGCAACACTATATAATAACGCCACTACCAGAGAAATTAGACACTCTCTTCAGTTTCATCAGGAGTAACCTCAAAGCTAAGACAATTGTCTTCATGTCTTCTGGAAAACAAGTCAGGTTCGTATACGAGTCACTACGACATCTTCAGCCGGGTATCCCGTTACTACATCTTCATGGTCGTCAGAAGCAAGGTGGACGACTAGACATTACAACTAGATTTGCTCAAGCGAAGCATGCGGTATTATTCTCGACGGACGTTGCAGCACGAGGACTGGATTTCCCAGCTGTTGACTGGGTGATTCAGCTAGATTGTCCAGAAGATGCAGATACCTATATTCATCGTGTTGGAAGAACGGCTCGTTACGAACGGAATGGTCGTGCAGTCCTTTTCCTAGATCCGAGTGAGGAGTCTGGTATGCTCAAGCGTCTGGAGCAGAAGAAGGTACCGATTGAAAAGATCAACGTAAAAGCGAGAAAACAACAAAGCGTCAAGGATCAATTGCAGAACATGTGCTTTAAGGACCCGGAACTCAAGTATCTTGGTCAGAAAGCATTCATTTCGTATGTGAAATCGATCCATGTGCAGAAGGATAAGGAGATCTTCAAGGTGAAAGAGCTGCCGCTGGACGCATTCGCTGCCAGTTTGGGTCTTCCTGGTGCCCCGCGAATCAAATTTATCAAGGGAGAGGACAGCAAACTTCAAAAGAACCAGCCTCGTGCATTGAGGTATCTTTCGAGCGATGAGTCCGATCAGGAAGATGGCGAAAAGAAGACAAAGAAGAAAGACAACGTTCGCACGAAATACGATCGCATGTTTGAACGGCGCAATCAAGACGTCCTTGCCGACCACTACGCGAAGCTCATCAACGACGACGGCACAATGGTCGACCAAGGTAATGGCATCAATGGCGATGCAGACGAGGACGAGGATTTCCTGTCTGTTAAACGACGTTTTGAGGCCGGCGACCAGGCGCTTGGCGGCGATAAATCCGATGCTAGTTCCGTCTCTTCTGAACATGAGATCTCTGCTGCCAAGGAGGGCGAGCAGCAGCCTGGGGCAACCAGAGAAGTTAAGGTGGTTAAAATCTCTGATGCCGCCGAGCCGCTTATCATCGACTCCAAGCGCCGCGAGAAACTGCTCAAATCTAAGAAGAAGTTGCTCAAGTACAAGGGTCTTGGCAAGAAACTTATATACGACGACGAAGGACAAGCGCACGAGGTCTACGAGTTGGAGGATGAAGAGAAATTCCGAGCTGATGGAGACGCACAGACCCAGCGAGCCAAGTTCCTGGAAACAGAGACCGAGAGGAATCGGGCTGCTGATATTGAGGACAAGGAGCGTGCGAAGGAGAAGAAAAGAGAGAAGAAAGAGAAGCGGAAGGCGAAGGAGCGTGCAATGGCAGCGGAAGAGGACGAGGACGCAGAAGCTGGCGGTGTTGCCTATTTGGCGCCCTATGAGGGTGATGAAGGTGTTGGACCCTTCATGTCAGATGACGACGGTGATGATTCGAGCAAGGGCAAGAAACAGCGGTCTCGCGATGCCTCTTCTCCTGCCGAGGACAGGGAAGACAGCCGCAAGACCAAGCGTTCTAAGCGCTCACACAAGGCCCAGTCTGCACCTGGAGAACCTGTTGAAGTCAACACCCTGGAGGATCTTGAGGCATTGGCGACTGGTCTTCTGGCTTAATTTTGTTGTCTATTTTTCTGTCTCCTTGCCGATCTTTTTCACTCTTGTGTTGATTATGGTCATGGCAAGTCTTTGAGTCTACATAGTCTAGCATTCCAGGCGTTAATTGTTCTTGTAAAGTTCTTTGTCTTTCTGGTTACTGGATAAGTATAGGAAGATATGATATACAACAGATGCTCGTCGGTGATTGGACGCAGCGGGATCTCGTATTGGTACGGTAAAATACAGTAACGCGGCAGTCACTCGCCCTAAGCGCTTGGCATTACCCCATATTTTTCTATTTTTTTTTCACATCCTTCGACTCTTTTTTCCCCCTTTTGATTATCGTCTCCGCGAATATGACATTCTGGTGTCAGGTCAAGTTAGCTACAGCTGAAGAGACTAATGGCTAATGCTACACTATAATTTTCACTCTTTTCTGTTATTCCTGTAAAAGCAAAAGAAAGAAAAAAAAAAAAAAGAAAAAAGAAAAAATAAAGGCTACCACAACTTTGAAGGTCATTCGACGTCAGGCCCACAACAGATCATGGACCCTGAGTTTGGTTGGTCGCTCAGCACGCAATTGATTTTGAGAATCTCAAATTTCTTTATGTATTGTTTACAAGTGGACTAGCCCATGGGGGCAAAAATCCTTCGTTAAAGAAAGGAAAATAAACATAAAAGCTGTGCCTGTTTCTCGCGCACACGTGGCACCTGTCATGTCTTTATTGTATCAGTACCCTCACTGAAAAAGAGCCGATTCTTTTGTGTGGTTCCAGTCTACCATCATTGCGCAGGGGTTTGCCCTATATGGTGTAGAGACCAACCGAGAGGATGGATACAGACTATGAAAAACACCCTAGGCGGTATGAGGCAGGGCAGGATGGCGTGCCTTCTGAACCGGAGGACTATCAGCCTCCTGTCGTGGTGGGCGACAACTTGAGCCGACAGCTGTCTGCTCGTCAAGTGCAAATGATCGCCATTGGGGGAACTATCGGAACCGGCCTGTTTCTGGGTACTGGGAACTCTTTGGCCACTGGAGGTCCTGCGTCGATGCTCATATCGTACGCAATTGTCGGTGCAATTGTGTTTGTCACTATGCTTTCCTTGGGAGAGATGTCGGCGTTTGTCCCTGTTGCCGGTTCATTCTGTACTTTTGCTGGGTGAGTAAGGACCGGTATGTATGGAAGTTCATGTTCTAATATCTGGTGTACTAGCCGCTTCGTGGATGACGCTTTTGGGTTTGCCCTGACCTGGAATTACTGGTTCAATGATGCTGTATCCACGGCGTCTGACCTCATTGCTCTCCAGCTACTGCTACAGTACTGGACTGACAATTTTCCGGGCTGGGCAATCAGCCTGATCTTTCTGTTCGTTGTCATTGGTCTTAATATTATCTCTGTGAAGGCATACGGTGAGGTATGTTGAGATTGATGCTGAGGTGGCCCGAGAAAAAATCACTAACGAAATCAACGAGTATAGGCGGAGTATTTGCTCAGTCTTTTGAAGGTCGTTACGATTGTCGTAAGTCTATTTTGGGTCTGCTTGAACTCAAGTCATGCACTAACAGACTAATCTTAGATATTCATCATCATTGGCATTGTGGTTAACTGCGGTGGTAACACTAGCCATCAGTATATCGGTGGACATTATTGGCATATTGGCGATGCCCCTTTTGTTGGTGGTATTGGAGGGTTTGCATCCGTCTTTGTAACTGCTTCATTTGCCTAGTAAGTTTGCACGAGGATTACAGAATCTATTATGGGGGATATTGACTATATGTGTTCTAGTGGAGGCACTGAATCTATTGCAATCACTGCAGGAGAGACCAAAGACCCTGCTAAGAATCTTCCTCGCGTTGTGCGCAACGTGTTTTGGAGAATCCTGCTCTTCTATATCCTCTCAATTTTGATGGTCGGACTAAACGTGCCGTACACCTACCCAAATCTTGACAGTGAAGACACCCACACCAGCCCCTTCACGATTGTTTTTGAAGAGGTCGGAAGTACTGTAGCTGGTAGCTTCATAAACGCGGTGGTGATGACAAGCGTCATATCAGCAAGCAACCATGCACTCTTTGCAGGCTCGAGATTGCTGTACACTCTCGCTGTTGACGGATATGCGCCAAAGGTGTTTGGCACACTCAACCGATTCAAAGTCCCCTGGGTAGCCGTTCTGGGAACATCCCTCATAAGTGGACTCTGCTTTGGTGCAAGTTACATTGGTGCAGGCCAGCTCTGGACCTGGTTGCAAAAGTAAGTTTTTCTTCTTCCCATTCTTATACTAAACTTTTACATCTGGCTGATCAACTTGCAGCATCGTCGGAGTCTCCAACCAACTCTCATGGATTTCCATCGGATTTGCCTCACTCCGTTTCCGTGCTGCCATCAAGAAGCAAGGACTTGAGCATTTGCTCCCTTTCAAGAACTGGACATACCCGTACGGCCCTATCTTGGCTGTGGTCTTGAACATAGTCCTTGTTCTAGTGCAGGGCTGGTCTTGTTTTAGTCCCAGATTCAATGGAGTCGACTTTGTTAGCTACTATATTGAAATTCCTATCATGGTTTTAATGTTCGTTTTCTGGAAATTGGTCAAGCGGACACGTTTTGTCAGACTCAATGAAATGGATCTGGTCTCGGATAGGTATGATGGTGGGCTTACTTCTGAAGAACGAACAGTGGTCTTGGAGACAGCGCGTCGCAGTCCATTTGCTCGTGGTCAGCCGTGGAAAGAGAAGGTTACTGCAGTTGCTACATACATCTTTTTCTGAGTCCTTCATGTACCATATGATATAATATTATCTAATTCATGAGGTATTCAAGGGGCTTGCCCCCGACGCAACAGTCACTGTAAGCTGATCCAGCTAATGAACTATAGACCACGATTTGGGAATCTTTCAATGCCCAATTTGTACATATCTAGTACGCATTTAGGGGTTCGACTAACAATACTACGAGCTAGAAGTGACCTCCCACAGTGCATCAACGCTGTTGGAATTCGGGCCGCTTCCTAGGAGAAATAATAAATTCTCCGTGAAAATATCTTAGATTGGTTTTTTCGTAATTAACAATAGTAGCCAATTAATCGGGGTGGACTCAGGTGAATGGCAATAATTCTGGGGGTCAGAGTCCGGAGTCCTCGTTGGTTGGATGCGCTCTTACATTTTCACGATACATACGGATTAATTCAATATCATCCAATCTGTCTATTTTCTTTAAAGCCTACTCTCTATCTAGCAGTAAGCAAGACTTGTATGTCAGGGAGAATCCATGTCTTCAGACTTCTGACGACTCGGATTGCCTCACACGCTTACACGAGATCCATGTCCCACTTATCAAGGTCTTTGTGGTTAGTTAACTACCATTTAGTGGTCCTTTTCGCTTTGCCATCGTGTTACACAGCCTCGCATTTCTTTTTTTGTTGTAGCCCTTCTTTTGACAGTCTGACGAACCGTGCTTTCTTCTGGGTTCGGGATCTTCGCGTTGGTCACACCAAACGCAGAGTAAAAAAAAAAAAAAAAAAAAAAAAAAAACTCGCGTTATATGGATGCCTACTCGCCTTGTCCTGTTCACATGGACGTTTGTGTGTGGTACACAGTGGAAAGTGCAACCAAACGCGAGGCTTGTTGTCCTCGAGTCCGCTTTCTTTTAGGTGAGGGCTACGCGTCATTGCGGATGGAAAGATAGATGGCTGAGCCGTTCAAGAGCTTAGGGTACACGGATGGCGAGAAGCCACGTACCTTGAGAGCTTTGCCTGGAAGCAACACCTTCCTCGAACAACATTCTCCATCAGAATGGACTATGATTCGACAGCAACATCGATCGTCTGTCTAAGCATACAAGATACAAATGAAACCACATCTCAGCCCTTCTCCCAAAGAAGGTCGTACAGCAGTCACTTACTCAGCTCTAGATTCGTTTTGGATGATGTTTCCAAGCCCTGTTTCGTGAAGACGAGGTCATGGAAAAGGCAATTTTAACCGGCTGGAGGGCAATTGACTAGCTTGTTTTAGAATGTTTCGCTATTGATGTACCATTTGTAGCCCAATGCAAAGCCTGAAGTGGTAAGAACAGCTACTAGCTAAATATCCAATATCGGACTTGGTCGGCACCTCTACACTTGTCATTGTGATTGATCTGTCTCCTCCGGGAAGTGTTCCGGACTCGCACTTTCGCCAAGATACCAGCAACTAAAAGAATATATTCGCTAGGAAGGTTACCTAGGTAGCTGCCTTTGTGAACACTAAGATTGCTATGAGAGAAAACTTTAGGTCCACTTTGATAGACGCTCTTTCCGTTTTGGACAGGCAGTGCAGGAGGACGTACTATCTTAAGTATGAATGCCTAGTCGCACGATATTAGGACAACTCACCGCAAGATATGTACATGTACATGTATGTATGTATATGTACAGGAGTTGCAGCACTGGAAGAAAGACCAGACTCCAGACTCAACCCTCACATAGAGTATAACGTTGCCTGCCAAGTTTACCGCTGTTCTGCAATACTCCCGGTTGACTCGTGCATGTACAGTCTCCATATTTCATGATCGTTTAAAGTTTTTTGTTGTTCCATATTCCAATGTCCTGTCCCTTAAGCATGAAACCCCCCCGTTGTCCCGACATCATCCTGTGCATGTTGCAGATGAAACCAGTCAGTCGAGCCGATAATTGGATTGCTTGAAGCAACTAGAGTCAGTAGACTGGCTACTGTCTTGCCTTGAAACAAAATCCTCACCTACCGAAAAAAGAAGTCGGTACCGCGGGTATATGTAGTATGGACATTGCTGCAGCTCGCATCGCAAGTCACCTGCCCAATACTACATCGAACAGGCTTTTTTGTTGTGCCAGTACAAAAAGCTTTCTTATGAAGAGCGCATGCACTAATGATTTAAGACATAAATGTCAATTGAACCGCCGGGGACATAAACGGTTGCATCGTCAAGTCTCATTCGTCAGCAAATTCGGGCCGGCGCAAGACCTTCAAAGCTCCTTTATGAAAAGCGTAGGACAATAATGATTGCTTTGTACTACGTACCTAGGTACGTACTTATTTGGTGATTGGGAGAACTAAAACCTTGGAGGCAAGCAATCACATCGCCGCCTGAGAGATTTCGGTATCGTGGAATCGCTCTTTCCATTTTAAATTTCAACGCAAGGCACTTCTTGTCATGTTGATGAGCCAATGACAACGATGGAATAACATCTCCGCTGCAAGATTTTGAATTTGTCACGATTTCATTGGTCCGGCGGGATAAGGAATTATGCATGCTGCTGGCCAATGCGTGCGATTCATTTTTGGCCCTTTTTCCGTTGTTTTCTTTTCTTTTTTTTCTCTCCCCTTTTCTGGAAACCCCACTGCTCAGTTCGTCATACGAGAATGACAACACAAAACATGCCCTGGGTTCGTAGATAGACTTGTCAGATTAAACATCTAATAATTGGAGGTTGAAGTAAACGTAAGGAAGTGTGAAAGGGAGGGAGGGAAGCTTTCGGAAGGGACGAGCCGTCGACGAGCCGAGCCCGCGCGAGCCGTTTCGAGATCCGTGACTTTCCTCTTTTGTACGCTGCCGGAGAGAAAAAGAAGGAAACACCTCAAGACTCAGGCAGTCAGACTCCTTTCCTTTCTTTTTCTTCACGCCAATGCATGCACTTGCAGACTTGCAGTTGTTTCGAATCTGCGCAGGGTTCTAAGCTACTTAGGGGTAACACTCAGTCTCACTCGAGTCGTACTACACAGTGGCACTAGCACCGTACCACTATAGGAACCACTAGTCTTACTCTTAGCTCTGCCTCTGTGGCTTGTTCAATAATGCAAATGCTGTATTTTAAGTTGCAGCCTGACGCCTGCCTGACTCAGTTGGCTGATGCTGACACTGCAGAATCGTGATCATCACCCCTTGCGATCGGTGCTCTTCCATTCACCAAAAGTTTGCACCGTACCATGTTGTAACTTTGCAAGAGACCGATGGATAGGATTACAAGAGTTGATAATAATATCCGTCCGGACTAGTTCAACTTAGCGGTGACGGTGCCCCCGCTTTGACGTTAGGCCCGGTCCCAGTTGCATGGTTGGATCATCTCTCTATCGTGCTTGCAGGCTAGCCTTGGATGCAATGATCAGCTTTGCATGTATGGAACAGTACTGAGTACGTAGTCGAGAAAAATACTCCCCGTATCTTCACTATTCAGTACACGTACGGAGTATTCTGTCGGAATATTTGCCTTCCTATCTTCAAGGCTTGTGCAACACGACAACTTCACACAACGGGGGTGTTCCCTGTCCTTTGTCATGTATGCGAGTGCCGCGATTGGGGGGCCCGGGGGGGTTGTGGTTCGTGTCGGAGCTTAAAGCTGACTTGTCGGGACGGATGTTTGTGCACTAGGTGACACACAGCCTAGTACGGAGTGCTCTGTGCAGCTCCTAGAAAGAAGTAAGTAGTCCTTACAGGAATGTGGAGCACGCTGGGCATAGAAACGTGGCCATACTCCGTAGTTTCTTTTGAGTCTGTACGGAGTACAGAAGCGCTTCTTTTTTCAACGTGTGAAGAATGACAGGAGATAACTCGGTCTCGGAGAAAGATGATCTGCGCTTAGTCTGCTTGAGCATATTGAATGTAGATAGTACTTGCTTGGTAACTACGTACAACTTGGTTGGATCATCACCATAACTGCTAGCAATAGTATTGTTTACTTTGTATATAGTAGTTAGTATACGGTACATACCTAGCTATAATATTTATTCATCTCACAGCCACATGACAAAAAATAACATTATTATACTCCATGTGTAATTCTTCCGCTCAGCTCTGTAAGACTGTAACTCATAAGGTATAATACTACTACTCTGTCGCCTTAGCGCTTATACGCCAGGTGACACCCTATCTATTGTCCATTAGTAGCATAAACTAGCTAACGCGCCGATCCTCGAGTGGAACGCAGAATCGGAAAGTCATTTGACTTTGGAAGTTTGCTGCTCTTCCTCAACAGGACTTACTGAGTCCCGGCCCCCTGGCTTCGAGGGCGATGAGCTCGTCTTCGAGCATAACGCCCTCGGGAGAAATCAGAATGCTCCGGGTATTTAGCTTCAAACTATTAACTATTACTCCGTAGCCCAAACTCTCTCTGGCACCGGCAAATCTAAAAATGTCTGTCAGCTAGAAAGTGAGCACTCTACCACAAAGTCGAAGCAGCCTGAGTCGCTGACTGTCGCCCTGCTGCTGCTGGCAATCTTGGACGTGTTGCTTAACGCGTTAGTTTGCGTGCCTTGTTCGATCGCTCAGATGTGATCCAAGCTTGGATCAAGGATCACAAATACTTGTCGTAACAGCCTCCATGATGCGTTTTACGCCGTCGGTCCGCACATCGCCGCAGGAGCTAATAATTAATTGCGTGGTATTGTACTGGGACAAGGCTGGAATGTAAGAGGAGGATTGTTCACATACCAGGCCAACTATCAGCAGACTATTAAACTTGATAACGTCGATCCGCCCGGGAAGCGCGCCTCCGATTGGGCGGCGGGCGTTGTTCTGGGGTCGCCCAAAACAGACAGCTCTCCATCAGGACGAACCTCTCCACACATCGAATCTTCCCCTTTGGGCCACCAGCTATGCCCCTTCTGCAAGCCACTGCATGTCTAATACACCCTCAGAGTGCTGAGTACATACAGTAGTGCCTTGAGCTCGATATGCTAAGCGCCAACTACTGGCCCAAGACCAATAGCGTCGCCTACCACGGACAGGACGCAAAATTGAAGGCCTCGATGTGACGCATTCAATCCTTTCATTCTTCGCGTCACGTACACATACGTATAGAGGATTCCATGGCGGGGGGACCTCTCCGTTATGAAGATCCAAAACCGCCTCTCTGGCAGCCTACGGAGTACTCGCTACTCCGTACGCGCCATCTGATAGGCTGGGCCCCGGCGCTGGATACAAAAATTCAATAGCCGCTGTCTTGACTAGCTGTTAGCCAGGAATGGGCGGCTTAACTTAACTATCTTGGTCAACTCAGTGACAAAGTTCCAGGCATTGCATTGAGGGTCATGACCTGCAGGTGAAGGGTGATCACCGCCATGCAGATCTCGGGCAGTGCTCGAATCCTTCTCTCATACATCATTCGCCTGTTTGATCCACATCTCTTCCTCGACGCTGTACGTATTATTTAATATTTACGGAGTTCCTGGTCTTTTCAAGCCCTCTGTGATGGGGTTCGAAAGATCTTTATGCCTGGGCTCCCCCCATTCCACCACCTCCTTGGGTCAGGTCTGCGACGTGTCATCCATTAAACTACACCTCGTCGATCCTCCCACGTTAACAATGCGCTGGGCCTTAGTGTGAAGAAGGGAAAAGAGGTTCTGGGCGTATAATCGTCTCTTGCTTATCCGACAATCAGTGACTACCCCTCGCCGACTCACCGTTTGGTTGCAGGGCCAACACTCTGATATCAAAGCCAAAGCCCTCAAAGTGCGAAGTTTCCTGCAGACCTGGAGTCGATAATTTAGCGGCAAGCACTGTTAGCCCGAAACGGTAGTGAAGGGAAAGGGGAGGCTTCCCTTATTTTCTTTCTTTCTTTCTTTAACTTTAAAAGAGAGGCAAAAGCAAAGAGAAAAAGAAAAAACAAATATCTTCACCGGGGATCGTTGACTCGAGTCGCCATAAACTTTCAAGGTTCGAAGTCCAGCAGCCCATTTTACTCATAAAGTCCATTGAACCTCTTCAAGTCACCGCCATTGCTACTTCTTGGCTCGTCATAGATGTGCTATGCAACCATCACCACTACCACCGCCGCCTTCGTCTTCGTTTTCGTCTCCGCCATTATCACCATCAACAAACCCACGGAATAAGAATATCTACACAAACACGGCGTCACTCCAATGCAATCTCTACTTCTTCCAGCTCCGTGGTTTTCCAAGTCGCATTTTGGGCCTCACCGATTTGACATCGATAACATAGAGCCGGGCCGCGTTTCTCTTTGGCCTAAATCCAGTCTCAGTGGATCTTATTCGGCTCACCCTATGTCTAGCAACTTGCCGGTGGGCACTCAAGCAGAAAGTGCAGGGACAGCGCACCGAGGCCGCGAAATCAAACCAGAAAGCACAAGCTCGATAGATGCAGCGACTCATTCAAGTTTACCCCCGAGGCTCCCGACATTGATACCTGTGGAAGGACTGAATGTGACCCAAGCACAGCAAATCCAAGTACCACGATTTCTCTCTGCGGAAGATTTACGTTCCAACCCAACCCCCCAGGTCCCCGGCATTAGTTCCGCAGCGACATTATCGCAGGCTATATCGGGATCGCCGCAACTTCATGGCCTGTCAGCTGCCAGTACCGTGCGAACTCTCCCGCCGAGATCTACCAGACGAGCCAAGGCACATGTTGCTTCAGCTTGTGTGAATTGTAAAAGGAAACATTTAGGATGTGATTCTGCTAGACCCTGTCGACGATGCGTTCTCTCAGGCAAGGCGGTAAGTTCTGAATGGCACCTGCGTGATAGGTAAAGGCTGGTATGTATGCTGACGATAGAGACAGGCGACTTGCGTTGACGTAACTCACAAGAAACGAGGGCGGCCGCCTTTGAGAGCAGAAGAGACGCCATCAAGGGCAGCGCCTGCTCTCGAGAGCACCGTATCGTCGCGGGAACAATACCAGACAGCGACCGGCCGTGGACTGGGCCATTCCAAAGCTTCCTCGAGGGAGATTCGTCCTATTACTGACTTACAATACTCCCGACCGCCAGAGCACGGCACAGCAGGACTACATGTCGGCACAAATTCATTGACTGCATCTTCAGGAAGATGGCAGCCGTATACATCGCCTCAAATACTGCCAGCTGCCCAAAGGCCAATATCATCATCAGGGCCTCCACCTCCTCCTGGCCTTAACTACACACCTTCGTCATTCATCCATTATCACCAAACGACATTTTCGCCGTCTGCCGGAGCGTCTGATATGCCGGTCGGGCTGAATTATGGGGATCGTCCACCTGCTGTCACTACACCGACAGTGTCGCCACAACAGTACCAGCAACATTATCCACCAAAATTGCAGTCTCATATCAGCCCACAGACACCAAGTCGAGGATTGGACACACCGGGGTCTTCGCTAGGGTTCCGAGATCCCTACAGCGATTCCGCAGTTCGTCTACCGCCCATCCTCCCGTCGCCTCCTACATTTGCACCTCACACGTCGACGTATTCTCATCGACGAGGCGATTCATATCCAAACATGGCCACGTATCAATCCCTCAGTAGTCCCCAGCATGAGCTTTCGCCGCAAACCGGCCGCGCTCAAGGGTCTCCGCGCTCGATGCTTGATCCCCTGTCGGCTCGACGGGAGCTTATATCGCCGTTTCCTTCTATCCCTGGACCGCCGCAGAATGTGATGACGCCTGCCGGACCTGATGAAAGAAGTCAGCAATACCAGACGCAGACACGGAGTGCTGCTAGCGTGTCGGGAGCTGCTGCTGAGCCAGTCTATGATCGCCGACGAAAGAGTGAGGCCGACGACGAAGAGAATCCACAGCCTGCAAAGAGGAGACGAATGGCAGTGGATGACATTGTGAATGACTAGTTGACAACCACCGCCAATACGAGATTACATCTGAAAAAGTATACATTAATTCTACATAATGATTCGTTGTCTATCGGAGCCGGAACTCCTCCATTGAAACTGTTCCAGTTTTGCTGTCCTCGAAGGGCATTTGATACATATTACCATACTGTACTAACGGGCACGGAACCCTGCATCTCATATATAGAGCATTCATTGTCTTTGACTTTTCTGTCCTTGAACAAGGTGTACTCTTGTTCTTTTTCGTTGTCTGTTTCTTTTGTGTTACGAAAACTTAGACTATTGTTTGGCTATCTATTCTCTCCCTATGAATTAGACCACCTTCATCGTTGCATTATTTGAATTGTTATTGCACTGTACACTACCAGGGAGCGAGTTGGAATTTTTCCTGTAGTATAGCAATTTTTCTTGAATCTTTTACAATTGTCTCTGTCTCTTTATCATATCGCCTATCAGTGTTATGTAATAACAAGGATGAATGGCGCATTAATATTGCAGTGTTTTCTATTAGAAACAGTTCTTCATTTTTGTGCCATCTAAATCCAGTTCCCCCCTAAAGTTCACACATATTAAGAAGTAGAGAGGAGTTACTTGATCCTCGATTCAGTAGCCAAAAAGAGAATACAACAACCAATAATCACAGTAGCCATAACAGTGAGCATGGCCTGCGTCTTCCATCCACTCTGCACAAGCGCCATTCTCCGACTATACTTGGTTACAGTAGTCACGTAGATGGAGAAGCCGCTGGCCAGACACGCCAAGCTCAAACACCAAAAGATGATGCCTAGGGGCAAGGAAATTCGGAGTTCAAGCGCGGTGGGCGCTGAAGAGAGATGGAAGGACACCAGGATTGCAGAGGAGACTACGGCCAGGTAGATGGCGAGGCGTAGCCAGGAAAGAAAAGTGCGCTCATTGGCGAGATGGTCGCGAGCGTCAGACGCGGTGTTTTCGAAAAGAAGGGGGCCCAGGATCGGGCGAGCCAGAAACAGAGGGCCTGAAGATGGGGGTTGGCTAATTCAAAGAATCAGTCAAAGAACAATATCACGAGTACCTATACAAGCAAACTGCTTACTCTTCGACAATGACCGGACTCGAGTTGATGGGATTGATTAGCGAGTTGAATCTGCGCGGTTGAATGGCGGCCATATTCTCCGCTTAGCTAGCCGGCCTCAACACCGGTGTAGTATTTGACATATGGCACTGAGCTGTGTAGTTAACTATTGATATACGATGGATATAGATAGATTTCGAGACGGATGGAAGAGGTGGACTTCATCCGCAAGGAGCTAGTCCTGATACGGAAAATGCAGTTGATTCGACTTTGATTATTGGTCAGGACAGCAAAACAGCCACAATTGAGCAGTAACTATCTTCCTTTTTTATACCCAAAGCCCTCTATATCCAGAGTATTTAAAGAATCGCACACTGATGATCGTATACATGCATAGTAACCCAGCGTCCTCGGTATATATTACATCAGCCAATCAGCATTAGCGACGACATCGGCGGTGGCCACCCGCAAGGACTTGCCTGATTGAGTCGCGGGGCCGGCTTTATCTTTCTCTCTCTTCTTTTTCCCACGTCGCTTCACCTCAGGTGTTGCACTGCAATTGATTGCATTGACAATTGCATTGTTCGACATACGATATTTCTTGTCCGCAGGTATTTGTGGCTGTTCAGCATTTGTCAGTGCAATTAGTTCCAGAAATCATGACTCGGCGGCCTCGCCGAAGCTAGGAACTACACTCATCCGACCTTATATTGCGCCCATTATATATCACTTGTTTTTATCCTTTTCAGATACTGATGCTCGATATTTTATCACCGTCTATACACATCGCAGTATATGATTCGGTATGGCGTCCAACAACGCTGCTCCCCTCGCAAGCCATCAGGACAGTCAGCCGTTGATTTCTGAACCTTCAGTCGCCCACACCGCCATTGCCCGGGACATCGCTTCTTACACTTCTGATGGCGATGGTAGTGATCCCGTATACTCAACTAGCAATGTGCTAGGCACTACGCCTCATTCTTTGGCGGGTTCTTATCGTCGGCCATGTCATTATACCGCCGGTCCACGTGGAACAGTTGTGCCGCACGGTCAAGACCAAGATCAATACCTCTCCAAAGAAGAATTAGAGCGTGCATACACAGAGGAGAGGGATCTGCTCAGCGATAATAATGTCATCGCGCCCGAATCTTCGAAAAAGAATAGAATGAGCAATCTAACGAAACAGCTTGGTAGTGCGGCATTATCACACCCGGCTTCTCTCCCCCACACCGATGAAGAGAGCCAACAGGCATTCGCCCCAGCGCCTACGGAGACTTCGGCTTTGCTGGGAAACCGAGAGGAATCCCTTGATAATAATGAAATCGACCGCAAGTGGGAGGAAGCAGTAGCATCCGGCCTGATTCAATCGAGCTGGAAACGAGAAGCTCGAGTAATCGGCACTTATTCACTGCCCCTTATCGTTACGTTCCTACTCCAGTATTCCTTGACTGTAGCATCCATTTTTACAGTGGGCCATCTAGGGACTGTAGAGCTGGGCGCGGTGAGTCTTGCAAGTATGACTGTCAGCATCACCGGGTGGGCTGTCTATCAAGGCCTTGCCACCAGTCTAGATACCCTTTGCGCCCAGGCATATGGATCGGGAAGGAAAGAGCTGGTTGGGCTCCAGATGCAAAGGATGGTGTTCTTCTTGCTGGTAGTCACTGTGCCGATTGCCACCATCTGGCTTTTCGCGGATAGAATCTTAGTGGCAATCATCCCTGAGGCCGAGGTTGCGATTCTTGCAGGACAATACCTCAAGATTGTAATCCTAGGTGCCCCGGGATATGCCTGTTTCGAAAGCGGGAAGCGATTCCTCCAGGCCCAAGGCATATTCACAGCATCTCTATATGTGCTCCTAGTTTGCGCGCCGCTGAATGCCTTTATGAACTGGTTCTTTGTCTGGAAACTCGAAATGGGGTTCCTCGGAGCTCCGATTGCTGTCGCCATTACCGAGAATCTTCTGCCTCTGTGCCTATTTCTATACGTGTACTTTGTCGCTGGCCGGGAATGCTGGAATGGCTTCACCTGGAAAGCGTTCCAGAATTGGGGTCCCATGATTCGCCTTGCTTTACCAGGACTTATCATGGTCGAGGCTGAATGTCTCGCTTTCGAGCTCCTCACATTAATGTCGTCCTACCTTGGAACAGAAGTGCTTGCTGCCCAGTCCGTGCTCAGCACAATCAGCAGTATGACCTTCCAGATCCCTTTCCCTGTGGCTATTGCAGGTAGCACGCGCGTCGCGAACCTTATTGGCGCAACTCTCGTGGACGCTGCTCGCATAGCTGCCAAAGTCACTTTGACCGGCGCCGTCATCGTCGGACTTCTCAATATGCTACTCCTATCCTCTCTGAGATACTCTCTTGCAAGCTTGTTTTCGTCGGACGAAAAAGTCATCGAGATAGTTGGCGATATCCTGCCTATTTGTGCGGCTTTTCAACTCTTCGATGCTCTGGCAGCATGTTGCAATGGAATTCTCCGCGGTATGGGTCGACAAGAGATTGGCGGCTACGTACAGGTCTTTTGTTATTATGCTGTGGCTATGCCGATTAGTATAGGAACGGCATTTGGACTTGGATGGGGCATTGCGGGATTGTGGACTGGCGTGGCGATTGCCTTGGGATTGGTGTTCTTTATTGAGGTCGTCTTCATCAGCAGAACAAGTTGGGAGAGAAGCGTGGATGAGGCGCAAAAAAGGAATGCCGTTGCTTAAAGTTTTGGCTCATCTCAGGTATATTGTGCAACACATTATATATATATATATATACTGGGAGGTATTCTGTTTAGTATGATACAGCGTTATGTCTATAGAATTTCCCCATACATATCCGATTGTTATCTAACGGGTCTGCTAAATCGACTCTCTAGCTTTTATTCATTGATTGGCTATTATTACAGTAATCGAATGTCATCAGTTTCAGTTTCAGCATATAAGCGCCGGTGGATCACAATGTTCCGTACTTTCAATCCGCATAACAAAGACTGGCAGAGATTGGATTTCTTCAATACTCCAAAATAGCCCAAGTATATTCATCCATAGTGGGAAAGATCAGTCCCGCCGATAAAAGTTCGTCGCCAGCCTTGATAACATCTGTCGATGGCAGCCCCAGTTTCGCAGAAATATTCTGCATATGAAGACCCTCGTTTGTCTGAGGTTCGCTCTTCAGCAAATTATAGACTCGCCGTGCCGACGCAGACATGGGTGGAAGTTGTCGTCCGCCGGCCCCAGCACTGTAACTATCTGCTCCTCCCGTTGCGTCCTCTGTTGCGCCCTTCGCTGGAGCACCAACGCCACCAGATTTCGATTGAGGCGGCCCCTGCTTGAAAAACAAATGTACTGCCGTCGCCTCCAGAAAATGCACACTTAATTCACCGACGTTCGATAATGGGCGCACATTGTGCGCTCCAAGGAACCTCTTATTTCCGAAAACCTTCAATTTCCCAAACACCTTCACGAATCCGTTCAATTCCACCTTTTTGCGTGTGCTATGTTTGACTCCTTGTCCATCCACGTCCATGTCATCTTCTAGACGTGCCGTTGTGGAGTCCACCCATTGTTTCGCTTCGATTTCACCAGTGCCGTCGTCGATTTTGTAGGTTATGTTCGTGCTTTGCGTTGAGATGTTGCGCACTTGCCCAACACAGTAAACAGATCCAATATCCGCACCGTCAATCTGGAAAGGAGCCTCGGGGTGGGCTTGAGATGCGTCGAGTATTTGCTTGATCGTTACTGGTCTGAGCGTGGGGTTTTCGCCTTGCTGGAATTGAAGTCAGTGAAAGCATCGCCGTAATCACTCAGGTGAAAAACAGATCTTACCCTTCCGGCAGCAGGACTGTTGGTCTCGCCAGGCATAAAGCCTCCTCCGCCCATACCACCTTGTCCACCGTAGGAGGTGGTTGTGTAATTTCCGTAACCACCATCTGACGCGGGTTAGCAGAAGAAAAATAGCGGGCGCAGCTCAATTCAGCTAAGATACGTACCCATGTTTGCACGCAAATTGATTGTCCTGTCGGGGGTTACAGCGTATGTAAGTGGTCAGTGTTGACTTTTCCATATATCTGTTTTGGGCGACGCTGCGGGGTGGGCGTGTCGCGCGTCGCGGCTTGAAGCCGTTGGCGGTGTAAGCAGGCAGTATTAATTATCTCTCTCACCGCCCGCGCAGATCTCAATCGAGTTTTCTGATAGCGGAAAAAAAAAGTCTATCGAGCTGTCTACACAATTGAAGGCCAGGGAAACAGAGCGCACAATGCCTCACCGATCGGCCTCCCCGGCCCTTTCCGAAAATGAATTTGATATCTCGAATTCCCTTTCTAAAGCGGGTCCAAATTCTGACACCGAAGATGAATGGAGCTCCCAAAGGAAAAAGAAGAAGCAGACACCCATATCTTCTTCGAGTTTGAACTTACTGGACGGAGATATCAACTCAGACAACGAGAATGGCGATAGTGAAGACGACGGAGCGTTCATTGCCGCAACGCAAGCTGCTGCTAATAGGAAAGCGTCCAATCTCAAGGGCCGTACGGTTAAAAAAGGCGGTGGCTTCCAGGCCATGGGGCTCAATGCCCATCTCCTCAAAGCTATCGCTCGCAAGGGTTTTTCTGTGCCGACTCCGATTCAGCGAAAGACTATTCCCGTGATACTTGAAGATCAGGATGTTGTTGGTATGGCACGGACGGGTTCTGGGAAAACGGCTGCTTTCGTTATCCCCATGATTGAGAAACTGAAGAGCCATAGCGGCAAAGTCGGATTGCGAGGACTCGTTCTATCGCCGTCACGTGAGCTGGCTCTTCAGACATTGAAGGTTGTCAAAGAGCTGGGAAGAGGGACAGATTTGAAGTCTGTTTTGCTGGTTGGTGGTGATAGTCTGGAGGAGCAATTTGGCCTCATGGTCGGTAACCCAGATATCGTCATTGCGACTCCTGGCCGTTTCTTGCATTTGAAAGTGGAGATGGGTCTAGATCTATCTAGTGTAGAATATGTGGTGTTTGATGAGGCCGATAGATTGTTTGAAATGGGTTTCGCCGCACAATTGACAGAGATTCTCCATGGGTTACCTGCTACACGCCAGACTCTCCTGTTCTCTGCAACGCTTCCAAAATCACTTGTGGAGTTTGCTAGGGCTGGTCTACAAGACCCGACACTTATCCGTCTGGACACCGAAGGAAAAATCTCGCCGGATCTACAGAACGCATTTTTCACCATCAAATCAGCAGAGAAGGAGGGTGCTCTCCTCCACATCTTACATGACGTGATCAAAATTCCTACTGGGCCGACTGAAGCTTCCAAGCGTTGGAAAGATGAAGATGATGAAGACGGTGAAGGGGAAAAGAAGTCTAGGAAGCGAAAGCGATCGGGAACCGACAAACCAAACAGCACTGAATCGCCTACAAAACATTCAACAATTGTTTTCACTGCCACAAAACACCACGTTGATTATATTGTCAGCATCTTACGTGAAGCTGGATTTGCGGTATCTTATGCATATGGTTCCCTTGACCAAACGGCGAGAAATATCCAAGTGCAACGATTTAGAAATGGAGTTACGCATATATTAGTCGTTACAGATGTTGCTGCGCGTGGTATTGATATCCCTATTCTAGCAAACGTCATCAACTACGATTTTCCTTCCCAGCCTAAAGTCTTTATCCATCGTGTTGGACGAACGGCCCGTGCTGGACAGAAAGGTTGGAGTTATAGTCTTGTACGCGATTCAGACGCTCCCTACCTCCTCGACTTGCAACTTTTCTTGGGTCGGAAATTAGTCCTTGGAAGACAGGATACCGAGGTCAATTTCGCGGAAGAAGTAGTAGTCGGGGGCTTTCCACGAGATACCCTGTCTACTCATTGTGAATGGGTTACAAAGACCACAGATAATAATACCGATATTATGGCCCAGAGAGGTGTTGCGAATAGGGGTGAAAAGCTCTACATGCGAACAAGGAATGCCGCTTCATTGGAGAGCGCCAAACGCGCCAAAGAAGTGGTGACTTCTGATAGCTGGACGTCACTGCATGCTCTTTTCAACGATGAAAATAATGAAATGGAAGTCGAACGCGAGAAAATGCTAGCCAGACTTGGCGGTTATCGTCCACAAGAAACTATATTCGAAATTGGAGGCCGACGAGGTGGCAAGAAATCTACAGATGAAGCCTTTGAGACGATTAAGCGAGTGCGTTCCGCTCTTGACAAGAAAAAGAAGAAATCTACAGTGGTTGCCGCCGATGATACAGAGAAAGATGACACCCAGATGGACAACACAGCGTTCTCCGAAGAAGAAGAAATGGACGACGGTGACGATGCACTTAAAGACAACCTAGACAACATGTCAATGGCATCGGAGTCTGATCTGGAAGTTACATTTTCCCAGTATTCGCAGTCTAAGAACAACAAATCCAAACAAAACTCCAGCACCTCTTTTCAGAACCCGGAGTACTTCATGTCCTACACTCCTGCTGATACATCTCTCGCCGAAGATCGCGCTTATGGAGTTCATTCAGGTTCCAGCTCAAACTTTGCACTAGCTTCACGCGATGCCACCATGGATCTGACCGCAGACGAAAAAGCTGGCTTGGGGGAACCAAACTCGACAAAGCGCTGGGACAAACGTCATATGAAGTATGTCTCTCGCCGCAACGATGAAGACGGCTCCAGAGGCGGGCCAGCGCTCGTTCGCGGTGAAAGCGGCACCAAAATTGCTGCGAGTTTCCGCAGCGGACGTTTTGATGCCTGGAAGAAAGGCAAACGGATGGGTCGTATGCCTCGGGTGGGTGAGACGGAGAATAGCACTCTTGCAGCCGATTTAAATGCTTCAATGTCCGGACGAAAATACAAGCATAACAAGCAACAAGCTGCCAAACCTCTTGACAAACTTCGTGGCGATTATGAGAGGAAGAAGAAATTGAAGGCCGCAAAGGATCGCGATGCCGCTGCTGCTTCAGGGGAAATTGGCGGAGCTGCTGGTGGTGGTGGCACAATGCTAAAAAATGGTAGAAAGCCGAAAAATGAGCTGCGGAATAATGAAGATATTCGCAAGGATAGGAGGCTCAAGGAAAAGAGACGGGAGAAAAATGCTCGGCCTTCGAAGAAAGGAAAGGGCAGGCGATGAAGTATCTCCTAGGATATCCATATTCGATATAATCGATACCACTGAACATATGACATTCAAGGGCATTTTCTGCATATATGAATTCCCACTCTACGTAGGCGTTTGTCGAGTGACTCCTCGATTTCTTTTCTACAAGTACGCCCTCTGCACAGCACATTCATTTACCCCACAGGAGAAAAAGAAAATCTTGCCTGATATCTACTTAGCTGCTTAACTTAAAGACTCCATGGCTAGCTAGCTATATGTAAACCTTCTCATTGAGTAAGCCATGGATTCCCCAGGACGACAGTGGTATCATAGTGAAAAAGAAAATAAGGACGTCGTAAATATAGGCATTAGGTATATAACATTGCAGGCGGGTCTCTGTCTCGTCACATTCGGCGAATGTCCTTCTCTTCCAGGTAACTCTTGAAGGTCTCAGTGCCAAAATGGCTCCACCACTCGAAAAGCATGCTATTGCAAATCAATTTGAACCATGGGGTGAACTTCAGGTTTGGGTCCGCAAACATGGTCTTGAGTTCTTCTGCTGTGACGTACTTAGTGTCTTGAATCTCGTTTGGATTGGCGTTGACATCGACATCGGCCTGAATGAAAAGGATATAATCGACTAAAGATTTTCATATATGGTCAGTTTTCTGTGCACGCTTACATGGTCGTATCGAGGAGGAAAGAAAAGCTCACTCTCGTGCTCTCCCCATTTACCGTCACTCGGCGCAAGATAGTGAATTCTAGTCAAGAATTGAAATTTATCGAGTGGGACCTGCTCGGGTTTAATTCCTAATTCTTGGTCGAGCTTGCGCTGGGCAGCTCTCTTGACTCCTTCAATCGCAGCCGATAACTCCGCGCCGGTTTCTCCAGCAATACCGAGGGGATGCTATACATGCCATTTGTTAGCTGCAGGACAATCATATGAAGATATACAACGACAGGACTTGCCGAGCAACATGTATTCGTCCACAAATCGGGGAAGGTAATCTTCTCGGCAGCTCTTTGCTGGATCAACAAACGGTTCTGTGAATCGAAAAGGAAAACCGAAAATGCACGGTGGAGAAGCCCGCGGTCAATGTTTGTCATGAGATGGCCTGTCATAATATATGTACTGGTTAGTAGATATTGTCAACCAAGTAAAAAAAACGTAGCAGATGAAAGAAACCATACAGGTCTTCTTGCTTGCGCTACCAATTGGCTTATCATCATTGTCGAGAACAATGCAAACCTCCTCCATCAAGCGGACTTGCTCTTCATCGTAACCCTCAAGATCACCTCCTGCGCGCACAGAGGAGTCAGGTGCAGTGGGCAGAATCGAGCGAGCGAGTGATGTGTCGACGTCGGGGAAAAGAGTAGCTACATTTTCGGCCGTGATAGTAGTGGCAGTACTAGGGACTGTCTCGGTGACAGTTGTCGTCGAACTCATGGCTGCTAGATACGATGAGTCGAGCGCAATAGACTCGCTCGACGAGAGGGCAAGATGTTGGCAAGCAAAGCAGGGACGTGGCCAATTCGAGCTTGATTTCGGAATGGATTTATATCGTTTTTGGAGGGGTGCCGCTTTCAAGCCACACCGGCCTGTGGCTTGACTTGATTATGTAATCACGTCGTGTGGTCACGTGCGCGATGGCCTGCATAGTTGGTTGTTCATCCATTCCTCCGCTAGATTACATTCCATTCCATATCATTCCACGGAATCCATGGCGTCAATCGAAGGGTATGGGGATTCCCTTGGTCTGGAAACATGCACGACGCAAATTGTTGATTGTAAGAACTTAGTGGTCTAGGCATGTTTTCTCGGTCATTGATTAGGGCTCCGACTTCTACACAGACGCGTTTAATTTGGAAGTATTGATCGGTAACGCCCAAGAGAATCCTCCGGTGCAAATCCGGACGATTTTAGATCGTGGTTCTAATTCTTATTTGCTTTTTCACTGCTCAGGTGCATGCTTATTGGGCCATCGACTGCTCACAACGTACTAGTCAATACTAGGCAATAGTCCTAGTGACGGCTTGTTTTTTCAAAGCGTTCAACACCGAGATATCTCCATATAGCATATACCTACTGCTGTTTCTGTCTGTTACACAATTCTCGAATCGAGTCCAACAGCAAAAAAACCTTGCGCTATTGGAGGGAACTCCGTTTAGCAGGGAAAAAAAAAGAAAAGGGTCCTAAGCGGGAGATCGTTCTGCAGATGGGGACGGGCCAGTCAGCATTCAAGCAATCCCAGTTTGCAACAATGATACGTGCCTGCTGTACCAATGATGGCATGCCAAACTACACTAAACGATGTCACATCGGAAGCGGACTGCAAGCATTATCACATTGCCGCTAGGCCTTACTCGGCTGTTTGACATAATTCGCACTTTTTTCTACGGAGATACAAGGTACAACCTGTCATCTTCGGAATACTAAGATCTGTAGTGACCCGTGAAGATCGCGAGTCATAAGATTCTCTGAATCAATATTCATTTTTTCTCCTCCCCTGCACCTGTGGATTGTGCATCCAGTTCCAAATCGGGGTGATGCTCCAGTATAGGAGGTTCTCCTATCTTGGCATTGCTAATACTCTTGCTTACAAAAATATATCTGGGTCTCTTGTCAACGAACAAATCATTGGATCTACCGATCCACTGGTTTATCGCTCGAATAAGAAGCCATTCGATTAGACGCGCTGGTTTCAATGGAGAAGGAAAGGCCTGAAGCGCTATCCAGCCATGTTCATTGCCGAAGCCTGATTGTCTAGTCCACACTACAGCGTTTGTTCAGCATAGGAATGACGATCGTTCAGATATGTATGCATACGTAATGGACGGCGATTTTTGTTCATCTGCCACAACCAAGGAAAAAAAGAACTCCGACCATGCTGTGGCAAAAAGCAGTCCAATTAGAGGGCAGAGAGAGACGGACGCTCTTGTGACCCAAGTACCTGGCATATAATAACCGCTATATGCTAACAATCTTGGAAGAGTTGGACGCCTGATATAAAGTATACTCTCCGGTGGTGTGCTTAGGCGGGGGAACGGCGTCCAAGTACATAGCGAATACGTGCATATTCCATATAATCTATATATTATTACTTTTTTGCTTTTTTAAAAATAAATGAATACAAAGACGACTTTTCCTTTATCGGTATATACTCACGTAGGCACTAGATCAGACTGGAAGTGCCTGGTTTTCATGTGCCATACCCAGGTATCTACTCAATGCCGGCCCGGGGGTATATAGGTAGGTATATGACGATGCGTCATTCTCGGCACTCAGGTGGAGTGATTCATATGCAAATCATAATGCTTGCAACTAATATATGTGACTGCTGATTGATGTCTATTTCTAATACAAACGGTTTGAAATTCACCACATGTCAGAAGACCAGCTTCTCGTTGATGCATGTGCCCTGTTATATATACAGCTATAGCATGAAATCGCTTTAAAAAAAATGAAGCAAATGCAAAAGAAGGAAATACAAAGAATAAAAAGATAGAAAAACAAAGGAACGAAACCGTATGCAGTAGTTATCCGCCCACATATGCGTATGGAATAGAAAACCAATTACTTCCCACCAAGTTATCAAGTGTCGTTTTCATTCGAAGCTCTCCTGTCGTCCTCTCGTATAACATCGTATCTCGAAAAAAAAAAAAGACTTGAAAAAGTCAATAGTATTGCGTAATTGAGTTGAGTGTAGAGATCGGTACCGTCATCGGTATATAAAAATTCTAACTGACGCTCATATACTCCCTATTATAAGGGAAGGTATTGATACCCAAGCACCGGGTTCGGAAGCCTTGTATTTACGTCTGGAAGACTCTGCCCTGCACAGCCACCATCCTTCTGATGTCTAGTAGGTATATGTTAGCACTGGGTATCAATAGTAACCGCAGAGATAAGGCGATGGAAAGACAAAACTTACCGGTATAATGTATCGAGTCTGCTATAGTAACGCCCGCATACACCGCATGCATATCTTTTCTCCCCATCATGAATTCTCTGTAAAACATAATTAATACAATCTGGAATTGCCTAGATAAAATCAATATCATGTAAAAGACTCACAGTTGAATAGTGGCGTTTCAAATCCGTCTTTCTTCCGAAAGTCTTGCCGCAGCTATGACAGGAATATATCTTCCTATTCTCCGGGTTGTGTCGTTTCATGTGTTCACGGCAATTAGATCGTCTTGTGAACTTCTTTCCACAAATTTGACAAGATAATTCCGGGTCCGAATAGTGACGGCTATTTTCGGGTGTGGCCGACTTCTTCTGGAAACGTTTCATGCTCTCCGTCGCAGAGAGCCCAGGAGATATTGATCCTTCAGAAGACCTCTGGCTAATGTCAGAGCCTAACGTGGACTCCGTATCATGCGGAGACGGGGATCGTTCAAAGGCTTCTATCTTTGTCCTCTTCAACAAAGAATTTCCATGTGGATAACTCTTGTTTTTCTTGCTATGCAAGTTTTGATGTAGGATTATCGGCGATGACCATGCAGTTTCCGTCGGGCTTGTTCGATGTAGTTCTTGTTCTGCAATCCTTTCCGGAGTGTTAATGTGTGATAGTGGTGTCATCGGCCATTTTCTTGTTGGTGCCTGTTCAAAACCTGGGTTGCCATTGTGACTTGTATTATAGCCCGAGGTGTAGTAAAGCGGCTGGGTTTGTGTGCTGCTCGTAAAGACCGGGTATGGTATGGACGTGTCGACCAAAGGGGAGTTCGCGTATTGTGGCTGATAGTACGACAGACTGCTGTAATCCGGAGCACTTACTGCAGTGTTGTAACATACTGCCGTCCCTGGGATGTGTTGATCTTGCCAGCCGTGAACCGAAACAGATTGGGAATCAGGTAGACTACCCACACCATGAATTGTGTCCAGCCTGACTGTCGACTGATGTGGATATTCCCGTGGCTCGATCTTGATTTGCACCGAGTCAGGCGACGGTATGAAGTGATTATTGAAGCCAGACATGTCCTCAGAAGGGGTTCGTCCTTGCTGGGCCGGAGCGGCTGATTGCTTCACAGAGTCATGCATTGTGTTGGAAGTCGAGGAAGGGGCCAAAAGAATCCGAGCACCTCGTCGGTGGCGTGAGATCGAGTCAGAGGTTTAATTAGAAAACGAGTGGTATATGTCGGAAAAGTGCGCGGTTGAAATATGGAGTGAACGTGTTGCGATGCGACGTTATGACGATGACGACGGTCAATGAATTTTAGAATGGGATTCACCACGGTAAAGGAATAAAAAGTGAAAAATGAAAAAATGAAAATAAGTTCAAATTAAGGACAGGCCACTAGGCGGCTCAAAGACGAAATTATATAGCACCTTCAGTCAGAGTGAGTAACAGATGACGACGACTTCGGGGTAATTATACTTGGGGGGAAAGGGGGGGGTGCATGTTTGACTGATTGTACCATTGCCAGAACTAGCAGTGAGTCAAGGGATCAAGCATGGCAGCGTATACAAACACCTACACACACACAAGGCAGACTCTGCATGAAGGATAATTTTCTGAGTTTGGGCGTTACTCTGGCGTCGGTCAAATAGGCGCGACAGGTAGCTTTGGTGTCATGCAGGGTGGATGGAGCGGTGCGATGTGGCAGCAGTGTCGGCAGGCAGCGAAGGCACGCCAGAGATTTTTCAGCGGGTCTCCATGGAGGGGACAGGGCTGGACAGAATGGCAGTTGAGCAGAGAGTAGAGTGGGATACAAGAGAAGTGCGGCGGAAAATAGGCAGGTCAGGCAGGACGAGAGGGGGGGGGTGGTGGCAGCCAACGATTCCAATGCGCGAGGATCCACGTCGCTCATGATGAAAGGCTCGAAGTGCCTGCTCACGGCGGGCCGGAAACACCTCTCTAGCAACTTAAGTGACGGTGGGTGACTTTCTCAATTTTCATTGCGTCTTGAAGCAGTTTAGTTCGGACCCGACAGTCTGGATAGACTAGTTAAACGAAGCGGCTGTGTGTTTTGAATGGCAGAGACGGCCGTCCACCGTAGGCACAGCATGCATGCTTAGCCAGAAGCGAACTGGTCCGGAGGAATGCTTGTAATGCAGACTGTGTATCTAGAATGCAGTGATAGGTCCAAAGATGTAACTCCCTAAGCAGACTCTAGTCCGCTGCAGTCCAGCCAAACGGGCGAGCCTGCGCCAATCAGTCGCAAATCGGCAGTCAAGGGGATAACGACAGGGCACGAAGCGATGCGGGTGGGATTTAAAGAGGAAGAGCTGCACAGTTGAGGTTGTCGTCGAGGTTGTCGTCAGAGTGAGGAAGGGGAAGGAGCCAGGAGAAAGTAGGGCAAGGAAGGTAAGGTGACCCTAAACCGCATTCTGCCCGTCCTCGTCCGTCCTTCCTCACCTCGACCTGCTGCCGGGCAGCTCCACGCAGAACAATCCAGCGCAGATTCTCGCCTTATTCGCTTGGTCAGAGTACGTCTGTCTGTCTAGAGATGCGTGGAAATTAACCCTTTCTCCTTCCACGGCTTCTTCAGTGCACGGTTTTCTGCTTCTCGCGGGCGTAGCTAACATACGGTGGTACAGCTTTACGCAGTGTTGCCCGAGGCCCTCCTGTCGACGTCTACGAAAAGAATCAACAAGTACATCCTACTTACTCAGTTCAAACTTTGACATCCCTTTGGCACGTACGCTATCGAGCGTTGATGGGCGCCATCTTGCTCGACCCACCCGGGGCCGGAACGGTGCTTGACGGCGTTGTGATCCCCCCTGGGAATGCCCCAATAGGCGTGCTACCGGGCCCCCGGACTTGTTCCCGGCCCGCTAATTTTGTTGTGCAGATTGCTTGCCCATAGCGCTGCCTACGGCGGAGAACCCCCCCAAAGATCTAATCGACTAGTCAGTTGTACTAGTTCGGCCGCCCATGACAGACGCGACGGGGGGAAAAAAAAGGCTTACCAAAACTATAGAGAGAAAAACAATGTAATAATCCTAATGCCCACGGCGCAACACGCCCTCTAAGACGGCCCAAAACGCAATGCCGAGAGTATCGCACGCCGCATGGTATCGTGCAGTTTGAATATGGACGCCTGAGGCTAAGCCAGCCAATGAGACCGCCCGCCATGGCATATGGCAGCTACATGGTATGTCAAGCCCTTTCATTGCTTTCGAGAACGTTACGTAGATTAAGCCTCAAGGGGTCTGGCTGATCTTCAGGCAGTACTAGTAGCCGGATAAGTCCGCAAGTACGGCACTGCATGCTAACCACATACGGATCTTGAAGTGGCTCAATGAGTCATGGATAACATGAATGATTCTTTCTTTTTTTACCATCTGGCGCATATGTGCCATTGAAAGCCCTTGACAAGGCGGCTGATGAGGAGTCAGGACAATAACGATCAACAGTGCCCACCCTCTCGCTGCCGAGTCAACGGAAAGGAAACAAGCCCACCCCTTTTTCGTAAGACTCACTCTCACCGAACTAGACATGGATGATCACAAATATAGAACGATGATGCATACCATATGATGACAACTCTAGTTATGGACTCAATACCATCGATTCGGCTGGTTAGTCTCGGTTCATTCGGCACTCGCCTCCAATACAATACAAGACATTGAAAGCGCATCGCCTCATTAAGAGTGGGGGACTGATAATTGCCAGGGGAGTTCACGTTCGCCTTGAGATTAACGTGACCATGGCAGCATGCGGTTTTCCAGGTGCTTGCTCGTTCACGTCAAATCGAGGTGTTGATAGTACATGGGCTAAATCATATCCGGACGCGGGAAAGCCCCGTGACAGACCAGTCTAAATTAGCGCGTGGAAAATTCGTGCATCGAGAGCCAATCGATTCTGGAAAACTTTCAGAAACTTGTGTAGCAAACAACAGCAGCTGCCACGCTTACATCTTGCGAGAGACTTCAGAACCAACCAATTCAGCCACCTGTGAGCCGGTATCATGGCAGTGGCATGCTAAGCGAATGGTTGCAGGTCTAATGCAACCGTTGACGTTTAGCGGCTTTTCTCTCGAGTTCTATCTCAAAGAAATCCTTTATGGAGCATGGTTCAACAGACTTTCGGTCAGCAAATGACGAAGGACAAGGCCTTGACCCATCTACGAGGCGATGACGACCCGCATGAACGTCGAAGACGCTGTAATCACTTGGCTACTAGTTAGTCCCAAGAAATGAGATCGGCACCGGGCTTCAAAGTGAGGCCCTCGAGGACAGGTGTGTGTCATTATCTATTAGTTTGAGACACCAAAAAACTCAGACGATGTGGCTGTGTTGGGCGATGACAAAGAAGTCTCGTCTCCTACATCAATGTCCAAGCTAGCAAGAAAACAGTCTCGACCTACCCTGGCCGCATCGGTGCCATGCCTCAGACAGTGTTTCATGTGGCGCACAGCTAAGGAAAACGGCCATAATGAGGCCTACATGAGAACCAAAAATAGCTCACTCATGTGCAGTACGTTAAAGGAGCACTAGACTATTTAGCCACACCCATTGACATGGCCAATGACCCCTGGTACATGCAATTTGGTCTGCGCCACAACTTGAAGGTCACGGAACTTGCTTCTAGAATGAAATGATGGGGCATCGGTACATCTCAGCCAAGGCAGACTTCTGTCTCCTAATGACTCACAAGGGAGGATGATAATAGTCACAATCTCAGTGATTCACCGACCCGAGGTGTTCTGGAGTCTCGTCCGATAAGCAAGCGTTCCCACGTCGGTCATGTCCGATTATCAAGGATTGTTTCAAATCTGCTCAGTTACCCAACCATAGATGAGTGAGCATGCCGATGTCTGATTGAATTTTTCCAAGTCATTCTATTTACTATGATACAAAGGCATGATTTACGGTTAGTGTTTACACATAGTGGCAATAACAGCCACCATCTTTGTCCTAGATATTCAGAGAATACATCCACTGAGATTGACATTAGGTACAGGAAGGTTACATTGACATTCGCAAGCTTGTCCTGCTCAAAAAAGCAATATACATCATCACATATCACAGTTGATCTTTTCGTCAATTCTCTTCGATGGAAAAAGGCACACAATAACCAATTCAACCGGATCATTCCAGCCACGGAACCACACTGTTCTCTACCCAGTTTACACAAGGAAGCGCGTGGATACTACCATCTACGAGAGCTCGGTGTGCTTCCCCGAAGCTTAGTTCAAAGATGCCTCCGGTAGGGTACGCGTTACCCTCACCGTCGTATCCGGAGAACATATAGTTTGAAACAAGACCTTAAGATATTTCTCTTCCTACTAAAATCGATATCAGGTCCGCAGAGATATCTTGAAAACTCATGACTCGACTTGATAATGCCGCAGTATCTCAACTTTTTATCCTTGTCGATGTGCAGTAAGATTATTGGAAAGCTCAACGACTACCGTCACTATTGTGCTTCATCGGGTCGTTACATATATTTGGAGAAATGACAATCCGCCTTCTGTTTATTTCCTTGCTGTCAACTCAAATCAGGCAGTAAACATAGAAATTACTAAAAAGATACTATATACATTGTATGATACTGGTAAAGCGTGAAGTGGCTGCGGGCCAATGAGAGCGCGCGTAGCACGAACCGCCTGACGTCCTTCCGCTGCTCCACCGATCGTGACGTCCACAAGTCAATATATCAGAAACACCCTTCTCCTTCAACCACGGCGATACAAGTATCGAAACCATGTTTCATCTATAACAATGATGATTATCACGATGGTATTACCCTGTCTTGGATACTTTATCGATTTATAGTTCTTCTCGACTGGGTGAACGCCCATTCCTGTCAAGATGGGCCAAGGGTATTCTTTGACCACCCTGTCCGCAGGGTCGGCCGGTATTGACGTCGCTGAGCTGTCTGACCTCGTGTATGAGAAGTCTTTGGGCTCCGCAAGATTTATGAAAAGCATCAGGGCTCGGAAGCGGAATGGCCTGGCGTTTGTCAAGGTCATCATGAAACCTTATCCAAGCATGCAGTTGGATCCCTATGTTAAAGCAATAACACGTATTTGAATTACTCAGCACCCTCGCTAGCACCTGAATACTGATATATTTCAAACAGGTGAAAGGGATCTGCTGGCCAGTATACCGAATGCCCTCGCCTATCAACGGATAATTGAAACTGGCACCAGTGGGTACTTGGCTCGCCAATATATTCATAGTTCTCTATATGACAGATTAAGGTGAGCTCTGTATTGACCATCTAGCTTCTTCTATCGTGCTGATATGTATAGTACACGTCCTTTTTTGGAGGATATTGAGAAGAAATGGATCGCTTTTCAACTGCTTTGCGCACTTCGAGACTGCCACTCCCAAGATGTCTTTCATGGAGACATCAAAACAGAAAACGTACTCGTTACTTCCTGGAATTGGCTTTATCTGTCTGACTTCTCATCGTCCTTTAAGCCAACCTTTCTCCCGGAAGATAATCCGGCTGATTTTTCTTTTTACTTTGATACTTCTGGTCGACGAACATGCTACCTGGCTCCTGAGCGATTTATGGAGGCAGGTGAAGAACCGGGAGATAGACAAGTCAACTGGGCAATGGACATATTCAGTGCTGGATGTGTTATCGCAGAGCTCTTTCTCGAATCTCCCATATTTACACTCAGCCAGCTCTACAAGTACCGGAAAGGGGAGTATAGTCCTGAGCACAGTCACCTCTCGAAAATAGAAGATCATGACGTCAAAGAGTTGATACTTCATATGATCCAAATCAATCCGGAATCTAGGTATTCTGCGGAGGAATATCTGAACTTTTGGAGGCGCAAGGTTTTCCCAGACTATTTCTACAGCTTTCTTCACCAATACATGTCTCTCATAACCGAACCAACACCAGGGAGGGCACATGTAGATGCTGAAATTGGTAACTTTGGGGAGTCTGATGATCGCATTGATCGGCTGTATCTAGACTTTGACAAGATATCTTACTTCCTGGGATCCGCCCCAGTGCATGTCAAGGATGGATCCAAGCTGACAAGGCCAAATCTGATTAACCAGTCCCTTCCAGTGCAGTTGGATTTACCCAACTCGCAGCACGAGACGTCAAACCTAAAGCCACAGGAAGGTGCTCTCATTTTCCTTACAGTCGTTGTATCGAACCTAAGGAACACGTCCAAGGCGTCTGCTAAGGTCAAAGCTTGCGACTTGCTTTTGGCATTTGCTGAGCGGCTTTCCGACGAATCAAAGCTTGACCGAATTCTTCCTTATGTCATGATTTTGCTAAATGATCGATCTGACGTGGTGAAAGTCGCGGCGATACGCACTCTTGCGCAGCTGTTATCAATTGTTCAGGTGGTCTCACCGGTCAATGCCTATATATTCCCGGAATATATATTTCCTAGGTTACAGCGATTTGTTTCCGACTCCACATCAAATCCTAGCCCTATTGTCCGCGCTGCCTATGCTTCCTGTATCTCCTCGCTTGCGCAGTCGTCGCTGAGATTCTTGGACTTGATTCAAGCTCTTAGGACTGACACACGGCTAAGGTCTGTCATTCCAGCGGGCTCCGAGGTTGATTGGACTGAAGACGCAACTTTTCACAATCTCTACGATGTGGCGAGAGCCGATCTCCTCGACTATTTTGAAGTTCATACAAAGGCTCTTTTGACCGACAGCGACCCTTCTGTGCGTCGCGCTTTTCTAGGCTCTGTCTCTAGCCTTTGTGTTTTCTTCGGCAGCACCAAAATTAACGAGGTCATCTTGAGTCATTTGAATACTTACCTGAATGATAAAGACTGGATTCTCAAATGCGCGTTTTTTGAATCCGTCGTAGGGGTTGCAACATACGTTGGAAGCACAAGCCTTGAAGAATTCATTTTGCCCTTGATGGTTCCGTCACTGACAGACACTGAAGATTTCGTTGTTGAACGGGTCATTCGGGCTATGGCGGCTATGGCAGATTTAGGCCTATTTCAACGGTCTACAACATGGGAGCTGCTTAATATCGTGGTGCGGTTTTTCACTCATCCAAGCATTTGGGTCAGAGAAGCCTCGGTATATTTTGTCGTAACTTGTTCCAAATACCTTTCTTTTGCAGACAAACACTCAGTTCTCACGCCACTCATACGGCCATTTCTGAAAACAAACATCATCGAAGTGACCGAAAGTGAAATTCTTGATGCACTGAAACGTCCGTTGCCGAGGAGTATATTTGACATGGCTTTAATTTGGGCCCAGAAAACAGAAAAGGGCAATTTCTGGAAAGCGGCTAATCGAGAGAGTACTTTCAGCCTCACTGGTAGTGATGCTATCATCGGCAAAGGATTCCCAAAAAATGTGTCCCTTGCTACGATCTCAAGGAATGAAGAAGATGCGCAGTGGATCTCAAGGCTGAAAAATCTTGGTATGACCCAAGAAGATGAGTTTAAAGTTTTTGTTTTACGAGAATACCTCTGGAGGGTGGCAATGAGATCACGCAAGAGCTCTGACGTAACGGAGCCAACGAAATTGAACAACATCCTAGCCCTCACTCAATATGGGATTACACCGCAGACAGTATTCTTTGACAAAAACCAGGAAATTAGACAAAGAAAGGCATCAATGGACAACCTGATTAGCCAGGAAAACCAGGGAGTGAAAATCTCTCACACCATAGCAGACGCATTGCTTGATGCATCGATGACTCATGAATCTCAGGTGACGGCGCGTCAAAAGCACAAGCACTCGGCAAGTCATAGACAGAAAGAAACCAACTCTGGGCGTCGGAGTTTAGCTTTGGCGGGAGCCATGAGAGCTGACTCTCAGACTCCTATCTCTACTTCTCCAACAACAGCTCAGCCAGCATCGCAAGAATCATCAGGTCCCCACTCAGATATAGAAGGCGTGGCAAACACAGCCTCTTTAGACGCGGACAGGGCCTCAGACCGAAGTAGCATAGCGACTACAACCGATACTGGAACCATAACACGAATGAATTCGCTATCTCAAATTGAGAGAAAGTCGAGCGCTATAATCCTCCTGAATCGCAAGGAGACAGCCAAAGCTTATGCAGAAACAAGTATGAGCTCAACCAATGCATTTGGCAAGGTGGACGTTCATTCTCAGAAAAATCCTTCTACTTCCACTTTGGCGCTGGCAAAGGAGAGTGTAGTTCAGCAAATAACGCCGCAGCGATATCGTGCCGAACATTCATACAAGGGCGGTGATCCCAGGATTTTGAGGCTCCTAGACAATGTGTTCGCGGAAAATTATCCCACTGATTTCTTCGACCTTGGACCATATGTGAAGGACATTGATTCTCGGCGTTCAATAAAAAGAGCTAGTGGCGAGGAGAATGATAAACCATGGCGACCCGAAGGTGTGTTGGTTGCTATGTTTGGCGAACACACTGGACCAGTTAATCGAGTAGTCACTGCGCCGGACCATGCATTCTTTGTGACTGCTTCGGACGATGGTTCTGTAAAAGTATGGGATACTACACGATTGGAGAAGAATTTAACACCGAGATCCCGTCAAACTCATCGTCACGCTCCAGGGGCCAAGGTGAAATGCTTGACGTTCGTCGAAAACACTTATACATTTGTTAGCGGTGCGACAGATGGAAGCATTCACGCCGTCAAAGTTGACTATCAAAATGTAAACGAGACATCACGTTATGGGAGACTACAAACTGTCCGGCAATATCAGTTGCCAGTAGGAGACGATGGCTCGGTCGAATATGCAACATGGGTTGAGCACTTCCGCTCAGAAGCTCAGTCAACGTTGCTAATTGCTACCAATACCTGTCGAATCTTAGCCCTTGATATGAAAACAATGCTGCCATTGTATACTCTGCAAAATCCGGTGCATCATGGTACGCCGAAAGTGTTTTGCTACGATCGAAAACACAGCTGGCTTTTGGTTGGGACGTTACACGGCATCCTAGATTTGTGGGATTTGCGTTTCAGAGTCAAGTTAAAAGCGTGGGGCCTTCCAGGAGGTACAGCCATTCATCGACTACAAATTCATCCAACCAAAGGCCGCGGTCGCTGGGTCTGTGTAGCTGGTGGAAGTGTACATGGTGGTGAAGTCACGGTGTGGGACATCGAGAAGGTTCAATGTCGAGAGGTATACCGAACCGGATCAGCGTCTAATACTGGAAATTATCTGTCTGCGCCAAATGGCAATGCTACTAGTCAGCGAACATCAATTGTGAACAACCTGGCCGCGATGAATACGGTTACTAAAAGCTATGAACCCTGGCGCGTGGATGAGGACCGGCCTGAGGGAATGCTTAGCCGGTTCGCTAATAGTACATCGGCACCGGGCATAGAATCGAATGCTAACTCGACGTCACCAAATTCATCGGGGCTTAGTGATCCAAATGGGATTTGTGCTTTGCATGTAGGATATGATATGCCAGCCGGTGGTAAAGAAAGTACGAAATGTGGATTTGTGATCTCGGCTGGTTCGGATCGCAAAGTGCGATTTTGGGATCTCGTTCGACCCGAGTTTTCGAGTATTATAAGTGGGTTTGACGCTTCTTCTGACGCCGGTGCTGCTGTCAAGCCTCACTATGAGACTTTGCAGCCAGCAACCAGTCTCACGGTCACGACTGAATATTCGCCCAACATTACCGGAACCAGCGTCAGCAGCCGAGGCGGGAATACTTCTAAGAAGGGGCATAGTGCGAGCGCTTCAAGGCCACCTCGTAGCACAGTTATTAGCCTGCAGCAACAGCAGTTACTCAAGAGTCACCTAGACTCGATTCTTGATGTAGCTATTCTTCGGGCGCCATATGGAATGACAGTGAGTGTGGACCGGGCTGGGATGGTGTATGTATTTCAGTGATTTGCTACTTTGTGTCTCTAGTCATGATTATCTTGATCATGGCCCAGCTTTTGATGCTGTGGAATAGAACATCTGCATTGTAGGTCATATTATTCATATCAATGACCTACCAAAATAAATGTGTAACGCGCAGCAAACTCGTTTAGAAAAATTAATGAAACAACCTGAAAATCTTTCGGCGGCGAGTATGTACAAGTTGAAACAGAACATACATCAGGTCCCTTGCCACATGCTAGGGAGCCTTGTGGATGGATATGGGATCGTCGCTGCACATGCTATGTATGTATGCTTGAATAGATGTATCTAACATCTACTACCCAACTCAGCGGGATACAGGATCTGGACGCATCATATAGGAATACTCTGTACTACAAGAGACATGCATATCTATGGGCTACGTAGGGACGTATCTATTCTACAGCGAGATAATGTACTCCGTACTGTCGGATTTAGAATTTGTCTTGAGCATAATAGACTGGTGGAATGTGAATTCATCGAGGCACGGAGTGTGTGGCCGTTCATGCTATGTACTGTACATACTGCCCTAACTAACATGTATTATTATTATGGAAGATTCATAATGTAGTGGATATTGTGCGACTGACGTAGATTTTCTTTCCTTTCGTTTTTTCAAGCCACTGTGCTGTCCAGGTAAACAGTACCAGATTCCTAGGTACGCATTCACGGCAAACGCGGGACCTCAGAATATTATATATAATACGGCACCTTGGTAGGCACCTAGGTGCGTGCGCATAGTCACAAGGCTTGCTTTTTGCGACAAATCAAATGATCGACTTTTTTTTTTTTTTTTTTTTTTCTTAATTCTTTCCAGGCAATTGTTTCACTTACCAATGTCTTACTGTGTTCTTTCGTAGGTAGTTCGTCAACTAGCTGCGGGCTCCCAAGTAGCTAAGGACTACTCCGTAGCCAGTTCACTTCTACGGAGCAAGCTCATGTGATACTACTGTCGATATTTTTTGGCCGTAGTACTATATATCAATGATGAAATAGCTAGGAGAACCAACATAGGTAGGTACGGAGCACTCTGGACATGTAGGAGTACGTCTCACCGCCAGGCAAGTAGCCGGATGCTCCAAGTTGGATTGAAGATCTCATACGTGGTCAGATTTATGAGAGAGATTTTTTTCTCCGAATCGGGACGGAGGACGGATGGATTGAAAAAGCGGGACCGGGAGCTTGACGGGCTGTAATGGATGGGTGGGTCAGGGGTCTCGCTCGAAATTTGGGTCGGCTTTTCCGTACAGAAACGGACCAATGCTCCGGAAGGACGAACTATCAACACCATTGCGAGTTACTATGCTCTGGCACTCTGCACTATGTGGTAGTATGGATGCGGGCTTTTGATAGTCTTTTATTGATAGACTTTATTGAGGAAGATTCTCAAAGTTGAGGCTGATGAAAACGCGAGTGGGCTGAAATGATCGGTTTGTCTGAGTTGATACGTCTGATTACCATCGCGATCTGGAAAGGCTGGAGTAGTACGTATCACCACGCCAGGTGCAAGGGACGATAAGATCAGCACCAGCATGCAATCAACATACAAACCATGCAGGAAAATGCAACGACGTTTGCTGTTCCAGAACTTCGTTGGGCATTGCCGCCTCGTACCTGGTACTCCGTATGTAAGAGGCAGGAAGCGCCAAGAGGCTTGTCAGCGATGTGTGACAGAGAGTCGAACCTGCCCGCCTGTGCAGATGGATGCAGGACAGGCCTCGCATGTCGTTCAATCGTCGAGAAAATTGTAAGTGAACAGAGAACTGGAAGCCTGAGTCTGGCTGGCGTTTTATATTCCATAACGTCTATGGAGCAGAACGTAACTCGCGATCAATTGACCAGTAAGAAGCGCAGTAGAACGTTTCATGGGATGGAATGTCTGCCCCCCAGCTTTCTGGATGCAATTCTCAGGTCTGGTTCTGGTCTCTTCCCGTCCCGGTAAGATTAGTACGGATAGATACAGACTAGCCGAGGCTAAAACGTCGCTAAATGGGGCCAGACCACTTGGTTTCCGGACACCGCCAATCAGCATGCGCTAACTCTTGGGTCTCAGCACGCCTCCTTTGTCTCTAGTGCCCCACCGGCTTCCACCTGTCTGATTAGTAGCAACTGGTGCTATGCCAGATATAATCTTTTTAATTAAGAACAGAGAGCCTGATTGGACAGACAGTGTAAATAAGATTGGCCTCTCGGATCCAAACCCCTGGTCATTGGCCACTGGCCAGTCGCCCCACCACCCACCATTATTAATATTCAGGTACGGAACCCGCGAGCTCCCTTTTCCTTGCCCTCCTATACGGAGTTTTACCCGGCCCGTCTCGCTCTTGCTGCAGCTGTCGAAACCCCCTCTCAGCTCTTCTTCCTCCTTCTCCTTCCGTGCAGGACTATGGAGTACTCTGTCTTTGCGTAGTGCACGGGATAGATTGTGTCTCCCCCCTGTCTGTGTACTTTTTGTTCTCTCTGTCCATATTTCACTCTCCGTTCTCTCGTTTGCCTGCTGGACGCAATCCAAGAGTCATCCAGGAGATGTGTATAGCGTCGCGCTGGTTGTGAACTGGGCGCCCCCTTCCCTAAATCTTCAGGATCATCAAAAGACGAGAAACCAACAGCCTCGTTTGGAAACCGACTTACTCGATTTGGACTCCTGTCTCGTTTGCCCGGATTACATTGAAGAATCGGCCCTCACTGATTTCTTTTCTTTCTTACAACTTCTTAACTATATCAACATTCGTTAACGCTGCGCACCTTGCAAAATGGCGCCCTCGCTGAGAGATCATCCATCCTTCGTTCGTCCGTCGACCCGTGACCGACCCGTGACTAGAGATCAGGTCGACAATTCTCTCGTTATTCCCAGTCGTACTTCGTCATTACATTCTCGCATTACCCAACCTATTCCATCGACTTTAAACTTGAAACCCGCCCAACGAACACCAAAAACTCTGACCCATGCCTACATGGTATGTGGTGTTGGCCGTGAACCTTCCCAATGGGTCAAGGCACCGCCGCCGTCCCAGGGGAAAGTCCAGCATATGAAGGGTGCTGTAGGCCAGTTTTGGTTACCCGAAATCCTCGGTAGCAGCCCTCGGCTGGAACAGGATAATGAGGTTGCCCGTTCTTTGCACGCTGCCATGAGGGTAAGATCAATATTGTTCTTAATGCTTTGCCTGCCATATTGGAGACGGGACGAGTACTAGTATATTAATTGACAACTGATTAAACAGGCATGCTTTCCTCACGATGTTGAAATTTGTACAGGCAAATCACAGCCTCACTGTGTCCACCATTCATTCGTTTTGCAGCAAGACTCATCCCACACATTATACGGTATCGCGCTGCGCGTTTGGTCTCGTGCTGACGAAAAGCGTGCTGAAACTATTCGTGACCTACGCAAGAAGACCGAGGCAGATTATTACGACAACCCCGATGAGACCTACTGGATCCCTTACTGCTTAAGCTTTCTGTCTCGTTATCCACTGTACGATCTTCTAGGCGACTATCTTCGCGGCATGTGGATTCATTGGAACAAGGCCACCAACCTGTTCCATGCCGAGGAAGTCTCTCGGATTTTGAGTTTCCCAGCTCCTCGCCTCAATGACCTGGTACGAATCGACATGAAAGACTATGCACTGTGCTATCAATTCCCTTCCTCTCCGACCGGATTTCAGAATTTCTCCATGTGGCCCCTATTTAATTGTCTCTCTATCCCCAACATCGTGGGTGTTGTCGAGGCTGCCGTTTCCCCGACTCGTCGGATTATATTCGTCAGCCACTATCCTGCTATGCTTACCATTGCTGCCGAAACAATCCGTTTCTGTGTGCGTGTATATGAGTGGAGCGGCCTCTATGTTCCAGTAGTCCACGCTCGCCATGTTAAGGAACTCGTCGAGGAGCCGGGTCCTTATATTCTCGGTATCTCTCCTGAGTGCCGTTCATTGTTTACTGCCCCGTCAGATGCTCTGGTCGTTGACCTTGACCGCAACTTCGTCCTCACTTCCAGCCCACCTAGTGTTTTAACTCCAGGTCAGCGTACCAAATTCATCAACCGCTTAACCCAAGCTTTGAATGGTGAAGTAACCCCATCCGGCGTACCTCAGCATTTGCGTTCTGCCTATGGTGGTGGCAAACTGGTCCCAGCCGGTCAGATCATTGTTATGAAGGGAGAGGTAGAAAGCGTGCAGGACCCTACTTGGTGGAATCAAGATGCTGTTATGAGTGTCACGGACCACGTCTGCGAGAAACTTGTTAGTGTTTTACCAAAAAGCAATGCAGAAATGAAATTGAAAGCTAACTCAAATTTAGGGACGCAACTCCGGTATGAAAGCCATTTTCGGAGGCTCCGTTAAGAAGCCTCTTATGACCAAGGTCTCTATGAGACATCTCAACGAAATCGTCCGCGAGCGTAACCAGTACTCTCGGGATACCGTGGAAGCATGGCAAGATTTCATCAATCTCAAGGGCCGTATGGACACCGAATTATCCAAAGTCACCAAGCGCAACAACTTCTTGGTCGAAGAACTGGAAACTTGGAAGCAGCAGGTAGGAATACATAAACTAGGGTTAACGTGGTTTCTTCTGTTGCTAACCCTGAATTTTAGTTCCTCAAATTCCAAGCATTTGCTGAGCAGCTCACCAAAGAGACCTCGGAGCTTAAGATCAAAATTGAGGGTCACAAACGGGAGAACCGCCGACTTTCCGGACTCATCGATCAACAAAAGGACGACATTACACGCGTCACTCTTCGCCTCTCTGGCACCGAGAAGCAGCGAGATGACGCCTTGGAAGCTTTGGTTCTTCAACAAGAAATTGCCGAGGAGCTGGAGCGCGAACGCAAACGCAATCAAAAGGAGCTTTCCTCCATGGAGCACCGAACCGCATCTCTTACCCGTCAGCGTGATGAAGCACAGCGCATTGTCGTGCATCTGCGTAGTTTGATTGATGGCCAAACTCACCACATGGAGCACATCATTCGCAACTTTGCCAACTCCACCGATATTGGCGAATACATTGACCAAGCCTTGGAGAACAGTGCACAGGAGTCTGCGTCTACACCACCTGCTCGATCATCAACTGAAAGTCCTAAGTCCATGAAACGTCTATCTCGGCCTGGTTCTCGTGTCCGCCTCTCCAGCGGATTTACTAGCCGTTCGAGCAGCGCGGCGAGTGAAATCACTCCTGAGATGGAAAGCCACATGCATGCCATGGACAAAGCTCAAAGGCGCCTTTCCCAGATGAGCATGCCCGATGTAGCCGACCGCTACCTCAAGGACAAGACCGACGCTATTGCTGCGATAATTCGAAACATCAGTGAGCAGTGTGCTGCTGCTGTGGAGGGATTACACCTCGCCCAAGACGCGGAAAGTGACGAGGCAACAACGAAGAACGAAACTCATCATCTCGTACCATCGGGCCCCAAAGCCGACGAAGGCAGTGAGGCCGGTGAAAGTGAAAGTGGCTACCTGAGCGCTGACAACCGTGTCTCGAGCATCCCACCAACACCCGATCTGGTGCACAATCGCTCCAGTACCTCCATGTCGATGGTCAGCACATCCACCATTGCAGAGAGATCTAGCCAGCAATACAACCCAGGCGAAATCCCCACGAAAATTGTGGAAGATGAGGACGAACACCTCCACGAGACAGACGGCTTCGTTGACGCCAATGAAGCCACTACAGTCTCTAAGAAACCTAGCCAAGACATAGTTCCTCCCACCGCTGGAAGAGTTGTTTCATAGAGACAGAAAGAAATGATACCAAGACAGAGCGATTCTTTTAGAACGGAGAACGAATTACGCGATCGAAAGTATGTTGTGCCAGGAAGCAACATCTTCAGATAGTTGCAGCACTTGCAGATCTTGTTTATTTATTTTTCCAGGCGTAGATAGGTTCTGATTCCTTGATTCTTGGTTCTCTCTTTTCACCCATTTTCATTTCTTGTTACATCTTTATTTATTTATTCCCCGCCGAAAGTTCTCATATAGAGAACTAACTTAGGCTTTGTACCTTTTCTGCCGGATTCTTTTTTACTCACACTCTTTTTTTTTTCCCCTCTAGTAAAGGGCAATACATCGAGTCGGTAGATTCTATTGACACTGGAAGAAATTCTAATCGATCGATTCTCAATAATTCTACTTTCCCGACTCCCCCTCCAGCCCTTGTTGTGTGTGCGTGTCTGTCGTCTAGTGAAGTGTTCCCTCTTATCTTTTGTACAGAACTTCCAAGACATTTACACTTGTTATTTCCTTCCCACGCGCAAGTTCTAGACAACTGACCAGTGTCTGATTCACAAGTCGAATCAATCATAATCTCATATGTATATTTATTGCAAGTCGTTGGACCAATTTGAATGAGATTCTCCAGTCGAGAGGAACGATTATCAAACCGTGTTTCTTGTGTGATGGAAAATGTGCATGGTTTCAAGTTTGTAGCATAGACATCTCTCAAGCCTTCCTTTCTTAGATAGTAGCCTGGTTCAGGAATACTAAAGTCTAGCCTCAGTCGCTTATTGCCTTAGTGATTGTTATCACTGGCAATGATCATCGAGATGCGCCAAGCTCAGGGCCGAGGAATGATGCCTCGGCTCTCCGCAACCTTATTGTAACTTACCCCAGCCTGAAGGCACTTAGGTACTTCAACGTTCCGAATCTCGTCCTTTCCTAACAAGAATCTGTCCCCATATACATACAGAGCACCGAGAGAATGACCCCGTCTGCCAAACGGCGACTCCAAGCGCTCAGCCAGCAACTCGTCGAAGGAATCCCGGATGCTGGCACCTTTGAGGATATCCCCCGGATTCGCACGGTTGCTCCAGACTCGGTTGGCCCGTAAGTTTGCTGGATGAAACTCAGATCAAAGGATGAAAAGTTCGCTGACATTCTCTAGGAGGGTTAAGGATAAGGTCGTGATTGTCACAGGTATGTGAAGTCGAATACCATTGATGTCAATCAACCACGACTACACTACTGAACTCTTCTCTAGGAGCCAATTCACCTACCGGAATCGGAAGAGCAAGTGCTCATCAATTTGCTCGCAATGGCGCAAAGGCCGTCTACCTGTGTGATTACGATGAAACATACCTGCCCACGCACAAGCGGGAAATCCAATCGCTCTATCCGGACGTTGAAGTGCAAACCCGCCAATTCGACGCAGGGGATGCCGCTTCCGTCAAGGCGGTTGTTGACGATGCAATTGCTCGCTATGGCCGCTTAGACATTATGTTCGCCAACGCTGGTGTCATCGGTTCGACTAAGACATTTACAGAAATCGAACCGGATGATTTTATGAAGACTCTGCGAACAAATACACTGGGGTAAGAAGGAAAAATAACCCAGAATTAATCCACGCAACAAAGCTGAGACGTGGTCTTTAGTGTCTTCCTCGCTGCCAAATACGCCGCGCCCGCCATGCAAATCACATCCAAATCGAAACCCTTCCCATCAGGATCCATTATTTGCACGGCGTCTGTTGCCGGCCTGCGCTCCAATGCTGGTGGTACAGACTACTCTGCATCCAAGGCCGCGGTAGTCAACATCGCACAAACAACCTGTTATCAGCTTTCCGGCTCTGGTGTCCGCGTCAATGCGATATGTCCCGGCATGATTGAGACGGGGATGACTAAGATTCTGTACGATGCTGCTCGTGCACGAGGCACAGAGAGGAAGATAGGCCAATTGAATCCATTGCAGCGAGGCGCTGTGGCAGACGAAGTGGCTCGCGTGGCCCTCTTTCTTGGGAGCGACGAAAGCAGCTATATGAACGGACAAGCGGTGACTGTCTGTGGCGGCCTCAGTGCTGGGCATCCGTTTGTGCCGGGGAAGTTAGGCTAAGTGTTTTGCTTCTTTAGAAGTCAGTAGACCAGATGCAAAATAAACAATGCTGTTGAAAAAAGTAAAGTCTCGGCCCCCAGTGGTTCCAGCGCAAGCCAAGGAGATGCACTATCTTATTGAAGTAGTTAACAATTAGTTACGACTTGTATCGAATCGATGTATAGTTAACTATACAGAAAAGTTACTAAGCGTATGGCATGGGTTGACGTGGTCGAAGCGGGGGACGCAGCGGAACATGTGACCTGCAGGCGGCACGTCATCCTTCGGGGGGGCATCTCAGAGCTTTGGATGCAGCTGCTGCATTGGGCCGACACACACAAACAAAAACAACGACGACAACAACAACAGCCCTCGACTCCTACCTGAGCACAGGTTATGTCATGCATGCTGTCCCAACAACATTGCTCGTCCTCGTGCTCGTCCTTCCGCGGCCTTTGATGTGTGCTGTTTTCTTTCCTTCCGACCTCGATGCGCTACCATCCCTTCCCATCCATTGCATTCCACACGATTTAGCCAGGCTGCATACAGTCGATCTTCCGTTCTTCCCTCAATTCTCGAACCCGCCCAGCTGACCCGCGCTCCCATGAAGCTTCATAGGCTCTGCTTTCGTCCTGATTCATCCCGTCGTTGCCTTGACCGCCAGATGAGTCATGGCGGATCCGTTAATCACTGCGCCGCTGCCTCGACGCTCCTCATCGCAGACCTCTTCGTCTTCCCACAAAAGCCAAAAGGCTAAACCATGCCGGCCAAAGCAGACGACAAAGCGACTCTCGGGGGTCTCTGTTGTGTCCTCTAATGTCACTACTGGAATCTCCGCTGACTTGACGTCTTTCCCGTCCCTCTTGCCGGATAGCTCTCCACAAGAATTGCGCGTTCAACCTGACCTGGACGGCGCATTTAGTCAGGGATCGCTACCAGAACCAACTGACGAAGAAAATGGCCGCACCGTTCAACGTGGTAGACAGGCAGCCCTAGAGAGACTCACCTCGTCATTATCTCAGGGATCGGGCCGTCCTGCTTTATTTGATGATTCCATTTCAACCTCTGAAGTCCCCGGGGCATTACACTTGGCCGACAGTGCCCATATCGAACATTTGCTGGAGCGAAGTGGTGCTGTTAAACTCGTTAGGCAATTCGCGCGCGACCTCGCAATCAGAGACGCTGAAATATCGAAGCTACGGAGGCGGGCAGATGCCCGAGAAAGGGAGCTGAAGAGAATGCTTCGGGATGTGGGAGTATCTAGTCAGGACATTGAAAGGCGTTTATACGATCTGGAAAACCCGCCTTCTAAAGATGGATTAGATGAGGATACGGATGGCACCAACAAGCTGGCTCCAAAGCCCAGCATCGGCGGTCTGATGGGCCAGGCTATGCAAGACTCTGTTGGTGAATTCGATTCAGCTAACGCAGATCTGCAAGCCACACTACGTCCGTACCGTAACGATAGCGATGCGAAGTCAGGCACTTCGAGTAACGAATCCGGCACCCAGCGAAGACCCGGAACGGTTCGCATATGGCAGGACTATATTTTGGGCAACATTAATTCTAGCCATAAGACTAGTCGCGCTAGTAGCGTGGTAACTGATCCTGATGATATTGAGGAGATTACGCCCCGTTCTTCAAACGCCGCGACTTCTGGGCGTCGGAAAGGTCTGGATGAGAGGCTCTTCGAGCCTCCTCATAGCCGTGCAGCTTCCCCAACTGGCGCCAGGACCTCAAATACTGGCGACTCATCTAGCGTGCACTCACGGAAATCCTCAAAGTCTGTCACATCCTGGACCGTCAAGCTGTTCGCAGGCAATTCTCAGAACAAAGACGCCCCGGCCGTCTCAAACGGGGATCGGAGCCGAGCATCGTCTTTAGGAGAGGAAAGACTCAAGAATAGTTCTAAGAATACTCCTAACAATACGGGGAAAAATGGACTTTCTGCTGTGGCTGCTTTGAAACGTATAAACAGTTATGGTGGCGCCAATGGCCAACCTACCACCACCCCGTCTTCAGGCCTCAATAGGCTCGGGCAACGGCGTATAACAGGATCGAATGTTCCACAAGGGTCCAATACAGACCGCGGTAACGGCACAGCGGCAACCAACCTCGGCCCTGTTGAGATGGATGCCATCTTGCCCCTGGAGTCTCGTCCACCAGCCCTCAGTGATTACCGCATTAACTACCAATCGGGAGAGCTATTGACGGATCATTTTGGCTTTATCTATGATCAACTTCGCAAGAAGAGACAAAAGGAAGCAGCGTTGCTAAGAAGGAGTACAAATCGAAACAGCATGACCGAGACGATTAATAGTCACCGTAGCGGAGACCTGACAGACGATGGTGAACACGACAGTGACCAGCTCCCAGTAGGGGGTGCAGTCTCAATTCCGGATCAATCTGCAACGCCCACTTCCGTTGAAGAAACTGAAGCCGAACCATCAGCAACAAAGCGTTGGCAAGACTACCTTCGGATTGCTACACGACCGACAGAATTACTGTCCCACACCCCTTCCACCGCGCCTATTGTTGGTATCACTACCCCGGATGAAACCACGAAGAGAGTAGGCTCTAGCGTTGCTCTCGACAAAGCTGGCGCACCGTCGGTCAATCCAAACTCGCAGCCTACAGCGTCAACATCTGCTATCGTAGCAGATACGCCCGAATTTGCGAATGCGGCAGCGCGGGTACAGACGACTAACGTGGCTAGCCTATCCAACGACCAAGAACCTGTGAAACTTCTCCTGGAGCAGCTAACAGAGCTTCATGACGTCCTTCAGCGTGAACGCACGACTAAATGGAATGAATTTCTACGCAAAGTTCGCGCAGAGCGCCGCCGCGAAGGCGAAGCCGCGGCAGCCCTCGACCCTGAACGTGCAAATATGTCACTTAATATGCCCGAAGCTACACTGGCTGATGGTGAAGTCGTCGGCATCGCAGGTTTGGGCAACAAGGGCAAAGTCGGACGAAACAAGTGGCGCGAGTTTCGATCATTGGTACTTTCCGGAATTCCTGTCGCTCATCGCCCGAAAATTTGGGCAGAATGCAGTGGCGCCTCAGCGATGCGCGTTCCTGGCTACTACGACGAGCTCGTCAATATGGCTACTGCTGTTGATGTCGATCCTAGCATAGTGGCTCAGATTGATATGGATATCCACCGTACGCTGACTGACAACGTCTTCTTTCGCAACGGACCTGGCGTGGCGAAACTGCGAGATGTTCTTTTAGCATATTCCCGCCGCAACCCTGAGGTGGGCTATTGCCAAGGAATGAATCTTATCGCAGCGTCACTACTGTTGATAACGCCGACGGCGGAGGATGCCTTTTGGATAATGACATCCATGATTGAGAATATTCTGCCCCCGCATTACTACGACCATGGTCTTCTTGCCTCTAGAGCAGACCAACAAGTTCTGCGCCAATACATTCGGGAAGTCCTCCCACGACTGTCTGCCCATTTGGACGAGCTCGGTATTGAGCTGGAAGCGTTAACTTTCCAGTGGTTCTTGTCAATATTCACCGATTGTCTGTCCGCGGAAGCTCTGTATCGCGTGTGGGACGTCGTTCTGTGCCTGAACGTCACCAGTACGATTAACAGTACTTCTTCCGGGAGCGCAAGCAGTAATAATCGAGAGAGAGCGCCGTCATCTGCCGTTGCAACTAACATAAAAAAGGATTCGGAAGATGATGCCGCAGTTGCAAGTGGTGGTGGTAGCACATTCCTGTTTCAAGTGGCTCTGGCTTTACTCAAGCTAAACGAGCAGCAACTCCTGACGACGTGCCATACACCTGCTGCGGTTTACACTTATGTCAATCACCAAATGACAAACCATGCAATCAGCATTGACGGCTTGATTCAAGCAAGCGAGGCACTTCGGAATGTCGTCAAGAGAGAAGATGTTGTTACCAGACGAGCTGCTGCTTTGCGAGATGTGAAAACCGGTGGATACTCTTATGAGAGTTCAAATGTTTCAGATGAATGATCTTCTACACGTCCTCACCAGGGCTTTTCCTTTTACCCTAGGTTTTCTTTGATACCGTTTGATTGTATTGTATTATATTGGCTTTGCTGTTTGCATTCTTCAGCCTCATTTTCATTTACATTAGGCGGGTCCGTTCCTTTATTATTGAGATGGGGAGTACACGCAAAGCATACAATGATACCCACTCTTTTTTTCATTTTTGTTCCATCACTTTTTCATACTCTGGGAGTCATTGAGCTGCAGCATTTTTTTGCGAGGGATCAGACTGATACTTTGGCTATATAGAAACATCCACTATCATTGAGCATTATAATATAACAAATAAAAGAAACAATTATAGCAAGTAAAAGTCCACTGGGTATTTACAGTACCTTGTATGATAGTCGACTTCTTCAATTCGATATCGATGTTTATACCCAAAAGCTTCTGTCCACGAGTCATGTGATCTTTCAACAAGCGGAAATCGGGAATACGTCACGGAGTCTAGCTCAACATCCTAAATCCAACGTGTTGATCGATGAAAAGAGAGAGGAAAAAAAGGGCCTTGGCTTGTGCAATATCAGAGACTTTGGCACAGTGATATTAATACACATTCCCAACTTTGATTCGAACGAATCAAGATTGAACACCGAAGATGGCTTCGTCATCTAAGCCGTCCAGCACCCTTCTATAGTAAGTTCGACTGCGTTTCAAACCAATATAACTATATCTGATATTTACAACTTGTATACTGATTGTAAATACCATGTCGCAGCTCCTGCATAGCCCACGGCACTACGATCCTGGCCGAGCATTCTTCACCGGGCGCCTCTTCGACGTCAGCCTCGTCGCTCGCATCAATCATCCTGCCTAAGATCTCACACGACAAACCTCAAAAACTCACATACACCCACGACCGCCTCTTTGTACATTACATTGCCGATTCGCCATCGGGGCCTGCTAAAGATGGCAGCAATCAAGAAACACTATCATCGCATTCCTCGCTGAGCTATATCGTCGTGGCTACAGCTGAACAGGGCCGTCGTATCCCATTCGCCTTCTTACTTGAAGCAAAACGGAAGTTTCTCACAGTTTATCCTCCATCTACGACCGATTTCTCCGCCTTGCCAGCCTATGGGTGCGCCGGTTATAATCCTGAGCTTCGCGCTCTGCTGCAACAATATAATACTGCTCCGCCTTCGGACTCTCTTGCCTCTGCGCGGCGGGAGATTGATAGTGTAAGAGACATAATGACTGAAAATATTGAGCGGGTGCTTGAGCGCGGCGAGAGGATTGACCTGTTGGTTGATAAGACAGATCGACTGGGCGGCAGTGCGCATGACTTTCGCATGCGCTCAAGAGGGTTGCGCAGACGAATGTGGTGGAAAAATGTAAAAGTGATGGTCTTGCTATGCGTCGTTATCGTTTTTCTGATTTATCTGTTTGTTGGGATGGGCTGTGGCTTGCCTGGCTGGGGCAGATGCGTTGGTGGTGGGAAGAGCGAGTAGCTGAGGTCAAGAGAGTATGATCTCATCATTTGATCCGCATCTCCAGTCGAATACGCCGTCGAGTATTATGTATATCACAGTCGTAATTTTTTAACATATAGCACAGAAGAACTTCCGACTCCGAGGGAGGGCTTGTTTTTGCATGGCGTGACTTCTGATGTAGATCTTGACTTTCTCGCTCATGCAATTGTTTTTACATGAATCTATAAGGTTCTTAAATAAACTTACATACCTAGGCTATGTACCTCACCATCAAACCCGTTATCATCATCGATAAAAAATCTCGAAACGAGTCTGCAGGTGAGTCTAGAATTGGCCAGTCTCCCCTTCGAGAAACAGCTTTCCTACTTTTGTAGAGAAAGAAAACCAGTTTTCTAGAGTTCAATCTACGCCAGCCGTATACCTCATAAACCATCAAAGAAGTAGGTTAATGCGGAGATAATCTGGCGTATAACTAGTTGTATGTGGGAGGATGAGGGGAAGAGGAGGAAGCCTGTTGGCTTTTGGAAACGTTGCAATTCTGTTTCATTGACCCAACTGGAGTAAATTCGAATAAGTATGACATTCTAGTAAGACAAACATGGCAGCAAACGATTCAAACGAGTCTCGAAATGACAAAGCCATTATTGTCGTGAAGTAAACCACATTTTTGAGGAATCCCGGGAGAAAGCTTAGGCTAGTTTCGCTTTGTTGGCGAAAGATATTCTCATTTCATTGTCGACAAAGTAAAGTTCGCGACTGCTTGCTTCCGTGGCAGACAGACTTCTCTGATGCTTGGTGAAGTGAGGTTAAGATGGAAGAAGCGACTTGTTGATAGTAAAATCTGTGCGTCACATGACTACGCTAAGCGGAGATGGGATTGGCTGATTTTATCCTGCAAACTAATTCTGTTTGGGATTAGTGCAAGGCTTGCTGGCGGGGCCGTCACCCGTGAACCTTTGCGCGATTCGCTCAAAGTAGATACCCAAATTGACGCCAAAAGGGCGCAGACGAAGGAAATCGCGGACTCGATAGGCCCTTCATCGTTTCCAAACCACGTCCTCTCGCTGAAGCGCGCTTGCCTGGAGTTCGCGTACAAAGTCTGCCTCTTATTTACGGGCTGTCGACGTCTCTGGCCTTATCTACGATCTAAAACCACGGCGAGAGATATTCGGCGAGCGGCCGGTCATGTCGTCTTCCTCTAACTTCTACAACTCGTATCGATATGGCAACAATAACAACCAACGGAATTCAGGTGACAAATTTGCAGGCAATCGCCAGCCCGTACAACCGCCTCAGGGGTATATGGAAGCTACATACAGTTGGAATAATCAAGGCGCAACATCCGGTTTAGACAACCAACAAGTCCAGAATTCGAAGGTGTATTCGAACAATGACGACGTGCACTCGCGTCCTCAAGACCCTTCATCGAGCTTCGCCCACTTACCGGCTGCCTTAGGAAGCTATAACCAAGCCGTGGAAAATACGCAGCGGCCCACGGGTTTGAATAGCCTGGCCTACGCTTCGTCGATGAAGTCCGAAAATCCAAGGATGTCACAGCCGACGAAGGCTTCGGCGCAAGGCTCTAGAGTCTTCTCCCAATACCAAAATACGGTGACTTCGTATAATTACTCGTCGCACAGCTCAGCTCCGAATCAAACAGCAAATTCGCGCGCGACAATCAACTACAACCAACAACCTCAGCGATCCTCCGTCGCTGCTCCTCAGACAGCCGCGCCTTCATATACACATTTTAATTTATCTACTCTGCACGATCCAGAGAGGCAATCTAGTACACAGCCTGCTCACATGTCACACTCAGAGCGCCGACCATCTCCTGAAGGGAACCCGCAAGCAAATGCTCTACGACGAGTATCGAATTACAAGAGTCCACCGATATCACAAGCCTCCACAAATGCCTCATCAAATGCACCTGTCTATGCTCAGACCTCTCAGGGTTATGGTTCGTTCACTTCGAACACCTCGTCTGCTGTCAGTCACCAACACACAGCGGCCTCCAGAGAGCCCACGGTGACAGGTATCACGCGTACAAGCACGCCGCCCACAGTACCGCAGAACTATATCCATGCAGTGCCTGATAGCAATACGAATACAGCATCAAACTCTGCCATGGAAACGAGAGCTTCAAATCAGATATCCCCATCAAAAGTTCAGTTCATTAATCCAACTGATCTGTACACTCAGCAATATTTTCTTGCACAGGAACGCGCCAGAGCGGCTGAAGCTGAAGCGGTGGCAGAGGAAAATCGCAGGAAGGAAGCTGAGGCTCAAGCGCAGTCCCAAGCAGAAGCAGGAGCCAGAGCTGCAGAAGCTGCCACAGCCACAGATACGCTGGCAACGCCTACAGGCACGGACAAGGGGAAGTCTACCAAAACGAAGGCTGCCAAGAACTCTGCGAAAAAGAGATCATCTATAAAGAAGAATGACGCTGAGAAGGCTCCAGCAACGGCGGATGCTCTAGAAACAGATGACGATATGGCTAGTGAAATGCGATTGATGCTAGAAAAACTTCGTGGGATGCGGACAAAAGATCCTTTATTGTTTTCTAAACTGTGGGATGATTTCAAAAAAGCACCACCAAATAATCCAGCAGCTTCAACCACCCAAGCCCCATCTTCGGGACCAGTGACTGCCACTGCAAGCCAGCACTTGACGGGTCAGGCTGCAACAGAAGAAACTCCTGGTCATGAGCCTTTGCCAGATCTTGGTAAATTCCCTGCAATGCGGCGCAAGAGGAATCGCAAAAGCGACATTCCCAAGCCGCCGCTCAACTCCCAGTTAGATCTTCCTGCAACCACAGCACAGGCTAATGTTGATTCCATGCTAAACCAGCAACGCCCATCACAACCGCCCCCAACAGCATTTGAAGCCCAGCACGCGATTTCTAATAGCACTTCTAACAGCGTGGTGGCGCCAACTAAAGCGAAAAAGGCATCAAATGCTCCTAGCAAACCGCAACCTAAGACAAACACTGGCCAGGATGCTACATGGCCAGCCGCGACCCAACAAAAATTAGCTCAAGCTGCATCGGAGTATTTAGGGAAGGATCCTGCAAACAAAGGGAAACAGTGCTCACCAGAGTCTCTTATGCTTCTTTTGCGAAATAACCCAACTTATCCAGATCTATGCAGCCAACTAGAGTCTCGCGGGTTTGCCCTCGACAGGCAAGCTATGGCCAGGTTCCTCCTCTCATCAGTGCCTACACTTGTCAACAGTAACAATGGACATCTGACCGAAACGAACAAAATAGGGCCTGGGCCCCCGTCTAAGGTAGCGCAGTCTCTACCGCTAGCTACAACACAGCCGATGCCACCTCAGCTTAACGGAGCTACAGTGCCACTTCATCTCCCTCAATTGTATACACCCAATGCGCCTTTTCCGGAATGGCAGCAAACAATTTCTGTTACTAAACCCCAAACGCCACTGATGACTCAATTGAACTTGAATACGGGTGTCGCTACAACTGTGCCTTTACCTGAATCAAAAAAGAAAGAATCAAACAAGTCCTTATCACGTCCACGAAAATCTGGGGGCCAGTTTGCTGCGATTCCCGTTATTGGACCCAAAGCTGAATTGTCGAGGAAGAGATTGTTTTCTGAGATTGTAGATATGTCTCAGCTCAGTAGTGACGAAGAGGATGATGATCCATATCCTCGTCCTAGAGCGAGCTCCCATTTCGACGTCACCCCCAATGGGCAGCCAGGGCTTGGTCTAGGCCTGTCCCCAGATGCCATGGACCTGGACACGGACTCGCTGCCTGCAACTGAGCTTGATCTGTCTGGTTCTCGCACTGCCAGAGAGGCTGATATAGCTCAACCGGATATAGAATACGACCCCGATGATGAGTTTGTGCTGGAGTCAATCAAGAAATTGCCAAACCTTGCCAAGCCACTGAAGCCTTCAGCTGCGTTGAACCGAGTCTACTACAACCCGAAATATATTGCGCGAGATATCATGCTTGCTACAGGCCGCCATCCGTCTGAACGCCCTTTGAACTACCATTTGCTGAGGTTCACGCAAACATTCCCGGGGGTCAGTACCAAGTCAGATTTCGAAACATTCCGGTGGGATCTGGTCGATCCAGGCGGGCCATCAATGCCTGTTGTCGAGCTCGAGGACATCCTCGTGGAGCCTCCTCAAATCACTCGCAAGCGAAGACAGCGCGTTGGTGCATCATCACGTGACACTGAAGACGGCAAAGGCCCCACATCCGATAGCCAAGCTGCGCCTAAACCGACCTTCCCTTCCATTTCAGTTTCTCAGTCCACACCACAGGCGGTTCACAATTCCATGGCTGGGACACCGACCTCAGGCCAAAGGACTGGCCGTCGAGGTCGCCCTCCAGGTGCAAAAAATAAGAACCCATCAAAGGCTGCTCTGAAAGCTGCTGCTGCCGCCGCCGCCGCAACTGCGCCCCCTACAAAGACCATTCGCATTGCAGGGCCTGAACCCACTCCCAACGTCCCCGAGCCGACCTATCCTGTCTTTACGTGTGAGTGGGCCTCGTGTCCAGCACAGCTTCACGACATCCACACGTTGGAGCGTCATGTCAACAAAGTCCACCTCCCTGGACAGAAGACGTGCCAATGGCAGAGTTGCCCCAACTCCACGACAGAGTATAGCGACGAAGCTCTCAAGGGCCATTTGGAAAAGGCGCATATTCAGCCTCTGGCATGGAAATACGGGGATGGTCCGTCCGTAAATGGAACTGGTGAGAAAGCGAACACTTCGCAGGCTGTTATTGATGTGTCATGAATGATTATTGAGATAAAACCTTGACCCCCTTCTCTACCCTCTATCTCACTAGATTTTGAACTCGATCGATATCTGAATGCCAATGGATTGATTGTTACGCCGGATACTGCTACGGCAGGCGATAACGATGCGATTATTTTCCCTGTTGAGCAGAGGCCGATTCGTGCATTCAACAAGTTGTACGGAGACCAAAAGCCCACAGAACGAGCACAGCAAGTCTTAAGGGCTATACGAAAGCGACGAAGACATGTAGGCATCGGTCTCGAGCAGGAGGGTTGTGAATTCTCCAACCCTGTCCGAAACAAGCTATTCGTGAACGACGAAGAATGGTACCAAGTGGTTGCCGATGAGGAGGATGGGGTGGACACGTGGTTTTCACAAGGAGACGACTCTTACTAAGGGAACGCACTTGTTGTTTGTAACATACCTTCCCCTTCGGATCTAATGCAGACGTCGGTCAGATTGATGGTAACCTTTAATTCCCGGAGATACGGAGTGCTTTGGCGTTGAGGATCGGGCATTACTCTAGTTTTCTTTATGAACTGAAGTATCAGTTTTAAAAAGTGAAAAGCTGGAAATCAGCTGAAGCAAAAGGTTTATATAAACTTGACAGCTCAACCCATCCTCTCTCAGTATGTGTACATATGTTTCTCAACCAGGAGAAAATGCGAAACAAGAAAAATAAAAATAAAAAGTGAAAACTTGTAATAGCCAACCACGAAAATGCATACATTTCTACATTCTATGTCGCCTTCCCCCTCGAAGCCACGGCGGCGGCAGGAGCAAAAACAAGCGGGTCGGCATTCGCTGGAATCTTCTTGTCTGTAGACGCCGGCTTTCCATCAGATGAAGAGAAAGATGTGAGTGTCGAGTCGTCGTTGTCTTCGGAGTTGACTTCGAGGAAGTGGTAGAGGACAATGAGGAGCATTGCGAATGCGCCTAGGAAGAGGGCGAGGCGGTAGAGCTCGCTGTCGGCGATCATGGTTGTTTATTAATATCCTTTGCTTTCTGAGAGAGAGAGGGAAAAAAAAAGAGGAGATATTCGCAATGCGGATTGATGGAGCGGTTGGCCAATTCAGAGGGTCTATACTCAGATTGTTAGCTGTGCTGATTTCTGAGCAAAGATGCGGACGTCTGGCCAGCTTGCAGTTGCGGACGTGTAACTGGCAGCATATACTGTGCAACAACGCACCTTGTGACGCCAACGATAAGAAGACGGCAATAGGCAAATACTCCACCAGCCAGGTATCTGGAGATGCAGACAATGCGCTTCTGGGCAGGTATATCGTGAGGTGTCAGACTCTCCAAGCCTGCGTCTTCACTCTACGAGGAACAACTTGCTGACTAGTCCACGTCGCAGCCAATCAGCCGCGAGTACCGCCTGGTCCAATCAGCATCCGCCGTCCCCGCAGTATCACGACCTGCTAGATCGTTCTGCCTTCATCGAGGGCTACAATTCTAGAATAACCCAGTACATATGCGCATATGCATATATCACACATCCATTATTCATTCATTCGCTGCGAGATGACCCTCAGTGTTGTTCTTGGATCTCGACCTCCGATCAACGATCCGCGTGTGGATCTCACTAGCAAGAGGACGGAGGGTTATCACTAATCCGATTGATCGTTTTGTTTCATCTCTCTCTCTCACTCTCACGAAAATAAAGTCAACAAACACACACGCACACAACCGCAACTGACGAGTCGTGTAGTCGCTCTGCCGCGTGCTTGCGAATCCTACTCGAGCGGACAGTGACAGACACGTACGTACGTACGACTCGGGGTGGATTCATCTCTCCTCCGGTTGTACCACAAACTAACTGCCACAGCAGCCTTGCGCATCCTCGATTTATCGCCCTTTTTTATTTATCAAAAAAAAGGACCTTTGAAAGGACCATACGCCCTCGGTTGACACGCGCTTTTTCGCTCTTTTTTGAATAAGATCATTCATAGGTGCTGCGACCCAGCGCGGTACCGTCCACCTCATATACACGCTCTACATCATAGTAATCACCACCATGAATGCAGGCTCATTCTCTTACGCATTTGATCCCATCGCATATAGCTACCCAAACCTAAATGGCAATGGCAATGGGAACGTCAACAATAACGGAGATAACGGAATTGTAACTGGTCATGGAAAGGAAAATGCCAACTGGAATGCATCGACGACTGTGTCTGCGTCTGCATCTACGAATGGAGATGAAACTGGAAGCACAGCCCCCAAGCCCGCAAGGCCGTCGCCACTGGCATGCTTAGCGTGTCGACAGAAGCATCTCAAATGCGATGGCAGACAACCGGTATGTGGCCGATGCACAACAGGCCAACTGACCTGCAAATATACGGCTTCACGACGAGGTTACAAGGGACCCTCGAAGAAGCGCCGCGCTGATCCTCCACCGACGGAACAACAAATCATCGCTGATCCGCAACTCTTTGCGCTTGATGGTCGCAAACCGGAGATTTCGCCTGAATGGCACATCCCATCGATTCTGGGCTCTACTTCCCCAACTGTGGTCCCTGGCGGCCCAGCCGCGATTACGCCTCCAGACCTGACAGGTACAGCAGTACCAGCGGCAGCAGGGCCTACGACTACGCCCCTATCAGGAACTTCGCAAGCCATGAAAATGCGGTCGCCGTTGACTCCCGAATCAGGATCAATAGCAGTAGGAGGAGATGGTTATCTAGTTGATGTATACTACTCGAATTTCCACAACTCCCATCCGATTCTGCCTCCGTTGCGCATGTTCTATGACTATGCTCCGCCCCCATACCTTGAGCAGGTGGTCAAGTTTATCGGCGCCCACTTCACGCCAGCAGCTTCTCCCGACACGTATCGACAACCAGTAGTTTTGATGGTTACTGACCAAGCACCGTGTCCGGAGAAGGTGCAGGCATTGCTGCTATTGACTATTGTCCTCCATTCACGCAACGAGCGCCAAGAAGCAGGATCGCTGTTGGCTCAAGCCATAGATCTGGCGTACGAGCTCGGCATGCACCGCCGGTCATTTACAGAGCTCATAGCTTCAGAAGACCCCATTCGCCAAGAGAGTCTGCGGCGAACCTGGTGGGAGCTGTACGTCATTGAAGGCATGTTGACGGCGCTAGGCGTGCGGCCGACTTTCACAGCCAGCACTGTCCCGCCCGAGGTCCCGCTTCCTTGCGAAGAGCGCATCTATCAGGAGGGATTGTACCCTCCCGCTTCTCCGCCCACACTCGCAGACTTCGATGATCGAGTGTTTGCCGATGAGGATTTCGACTTCTCCTCCTATACTTACCGCATTGACGCCGTTCGAATCCTGGGCCGTGTGGTCTTACTGTCGGATCCTGCAGCGGGCCGTCATGATGTGATAGAATCGGTAGATGCGCGACTTGCTTCATGGAGCCATCACATCCCGGAGTCTAAGATGGAGCTCATACGCGCGGATGGGACAATTGACGAAATGATGTTTCAGGCGCGAATGATCATCAACGGCGCATCAATCTATCTGCACTTCCCCCGGTCAGACCTGCTTTCATCACCGGCCGTGGCGGCGGAGGTCATCTGCGGGCATTCAGGGGTGTGTCTAATGCCAGCATTTTCGCATCATGATCACGCCATGAAGGCCCTCACAGCAGCAGGCGAGATATCAACGCTGGCGGCACTCCGGATGCCGGTCACAAAACACACGCCGTTCTTCATATGCGCTCTGGTGCTGAGCTCAATTGTGCAATTGGCTGCATACTCGGTCAAAGCAGGCCAGATGCCGGACCCTCAGCGCGACCGGCTCACTCTCACGGTCGGCGTGTTCAAGTCCCTCGGCCGTACATGGGCGATTTCGTTCTCGGTCATGCGACAGATCAAGGCGGTTGCTCGCGATGTGCTTGATATCGGGATGCGGCCAATGGTTGAGAGCAATAGCCTCGATTTCGCTGCTTTTCTGGAGGGCAGCCAATACTGGCTACCTAATTCACAAGTAGTATATACCGCATGAATGGTATATCGTATTTTTTTTTTTTTTTTTTGACCTATCCGGCGCCCGGCGTACATGAGAGAAATGGAAAAGCGAGGGGGTGGATTGCATTGGAGAATACTCGTGTCTGGAATGCTGGGCATGTACAAAATCAGTACGAATGTATCTACGACATAATGAATATATCCCATCTCACTTCTTAAACAAATAAATTCCCTTTCCCCAACGCAGCCCAGAATGAAGCCTTTTCCGCGGCAAACAGATATATCCGCCGGAACAAGACAAGAATGCGTGGTACCATACAATACCACAGCGATGGTACGGTGTTACCCTATCAGCCCGTTATCTCTGGTAAAATATGTAAAACTCCGTACATTCGCCCCCTTATCTCTCCGCACGAAGGATGGATATATTACGAGATTTCCCCTCACTGAGGCTCTCACAACTTTCTTTTCTTCCTTCGCCTTTTTTTTTGGCTTCCTTCTCTTGGTATCCTGCCTCTGTTATACCTCATTCCAGCCATTGATTGCAAGGCGTTAACCAAATCCGGGCTGGACATATCCTCTCTCTCTACTTGAACACGCGGAGAAGATTTCCACAGAGAGTTAAAAAAAAATGTGCAGAAAAGCTACCTGCGCCACCTGCCGTACGTCTAGCTGGGCTATTAGCTACTAGCTACTAGCTAGTTGCCCATCGTATATACCATGTCAAGCTAACAATGCCAACAGACAAAGTAACTTGGTGGGGATGTGGGCTGCATGTGCCCATGGTCTTTGAGACCATCCCAGAAGCCGACTGGTGTGTCTGTGCTCCCAAAGTCGAGCGCGATGGAAAGGAGTATCCGCCCAAGGGGACAGCGGCGAATTGAGCGATCTTAAATCGGATCGTGGGTGTGTGAGGGATGGACGGATGCTTCAGGGGGGAAGGCAGACAAGCTGGATTGATTGATTGACTATTGTTTCGTTTGCTGAGCGAGGTGTTTATGATATATCCACGCGTCTTTTTTTTGCTTTTGACTGGAGGACCGCTTGTTTGTTCTACCCTGTTTGTGTTTCTGGGTTGTTCTCTTTGCTGCGAGTCGATGTTGGGATGTCAACTAGCGCGGCATTAGCAGCTGTCAATCGCATGCCGAATGGATCACATGATATCAGGAAATGAACGTAACGCATTCTGTTTGTCGGCGCTGGTATAGGATCCGGACAGGACACCGCCACAAACGGACGACCACCGAATAAAGAACCAGAGAGCGAAGTATCCAGGCAGCACAGAAATATACCATTGATATACTTTATACCATGAATTGAAAGGATACCATCACACAACAAGTCGTTCCATAGTAAGTACTACTTAACGTGATGAATGGTTAGGGTTAAGATACGAATATTGGTCTGCTAACGAACGATCTAACCATAAAACAAGCGTTAATTCACAAAGGATGAAATGTAAAGGTTGGCTAGGATTATCTTTACATGTCTTCCCTGTCTGAAATCATATCAATCGTATCATCGTTGTCATCATCTAACAATTCAAAATCATCACTGCCATGGTCGGCATCACTGGTCATTTCAACATCACAATCATCGTTTGTGGTGCTCTTGATATCTGTATCCCGCAATGGCTGAACAAGTTCGAAATCCAAAACAGATGTACTCACCGATGCAACACTCGCAGTCGTGGCATGGCTGACAGTAGCTTCGTGCGAGGCACGTTCTATAGTACTGGCGGCGTCATCTGGATGAATAGTGTCAAAGGAGTCCATGGAAAATGTATCATAATCATTATCATCACTAGCCAGACGAACAGATGGACCGGCCGTCGAAAATCCACTGCCGTCTTTCACCAGTGGAACACCCTGATCCTCAAATACGCCGCCGGTACCATCATCGTTTCCTCCAGCCCATAAGGGGAGGAATCTGAACTCTTTCTCTTCCAGACAGACGAGTGTATCGATCATCTCAAACTGGACACCAAGGGCGAGTGGAGTAGGCGATGATTCAGTGTTTGGAGGGTTGGTCATTCTGGACGACAGACTCTTCAAATAGAGCATAACATCATTTTGAAAATATGTAAAGTCAAAGTAGATGCCTGGCCCTGATTCGTAATGAGGATATTCGTTCACTCCAGACAGGAAGTAAGAAATGGCTTCGTCAACTGAGTGCGGTGAGACCTTTTGAATAATGGCTTTTCCTTGATCCTGCAGATTAGGCAACGATGGTGCTAATTCTTTCAGCGACAAGCACTCCGGGACATACATATCAGTAAGCGAAGTGGCCTCTCGGAGATTTTGCCAAAAGGTGGATGTCAAGACCCGACAGAAAATTGGCATACGGGATTGTGCATCAAGGAAATCTAGCCCCGGGTACTTTGTCTCCGTTCTCAGGTTGAATTGGAATCTACTGCTCCGTGCATGACGCTGGTTCAGGGATCGGCATATGTGGCTGCGCACATATCCTTTGCAAAAGTCAATGAGTTCGTCAACGAATGGTTGGTGTGCTGGCATGTTTGGTGATCCTCGGATGTTGTTTATCACTAGGCGTTCCACCCATAGCATCTCGGTTCCAGCAAGCTTAATGAAGTCATCGAGAACTCGATCTAGAAAGATCTTGCTAGCATATTCTACTCGCTGCACTTCTGTGTCATCTAGAGGCTCGCGGGTGCGTCCGTGTATTGTGCGAGTCCTATGTTTAGGCACAATTCCCCTGACTAACGAGTCTAAAACCAACAGGGCCTCTTCACCCACAAGAATGGCAAACGAATCTTGACAAAGACCGCGGTTCTGCAATCCACACGCTATCTGATAGCTAAGCTCAGGATTAACTTCCACGAACAGAGCATTATTGCCTTGGTACAACCAAACCAGGATGCGGTCACCAATGTCTGGATGAGTGGCAACTTGTAGAAGCTTTGCCAGAGCAAAGAAGGTCCATAGTTTTGGTGCAGTATCAAGTTTTGGGTCGAGCCCTTCGAGAGCATGCAAAACACGCTCTAGACAGGTTCGATGGCGAGCGGGTGAGTAATCGAGAGGAAGACCAGGGAATCTTCTCAGAGCTTCTGAAACTTCCGAGTCTCTCTGAGTGCTAGTATTCTCGGTCTCGTGCTGTTGTTTTGCTGGGTCTGAGGGTGCTTGGTCCGAGTCCGCTCGTAGAGTGGGCAGGTTTCCTCTCCAGTTCAAAATCCTTGGTGGTGGAGGTGGATTACTTTTTCTCTGAGGTTCGTTCTTCTTCATATCGCCACTGTTAGCAAGGTCTTTGATTTTCTCGTTGTCATCAGATGCGCTGATAACTATGGGTTCTCTTTTAACTTCGACTCTAGGAACTGGAAGCCATTCTACTTCGTCCTGGCCACCAACGCAAATGGCTGGTAGTTGCCACAGAGATTGCAGTTCGAACCATCTTCTCACACCCATTGGACACGACAGCTCCGTCATGAATATGACGGCCTCATCACCTTCGGATGGCGGGGTAAGATCGATTGCGTACTTGACACCCGGAGGCATTTCGCGTGTGAGACCATATCGCTTTCGGGCTCGTGCTTGCTTGCGAGGCTGGAAAAGATCCTTCAACACGTCTGATCCGGTACTGAGTAGCTTCCGACTATGTACACGGTGAGGGATGGGCAGCGCTTCTGCCTGCAGTGAGGAGCCCCAGTGATTACGTGTAGCTTCGTCTATCTGCTGAGGAGCCGATTCGATATAAACAAAGGTGTCAGCGTCGTCGTCAGAGAGCAGAAGCAAAGGCATTCGCAGATTCGCTTCAAGGGTGCTAGATGCACGGTCGAATACAACTGCGCGGTTTGTGGGATGAGAGATGCCAACGGCAGCCTCCTGGACTGAACTCTGCGACATATTTGTCTGGCAGATTCAACGTGCAAGGACTGACTGAGTATGTTGATTCTCATGTACAAGAACAAGCTAAGCTCGCTTGCTGCTTGAGCATCGGCAGGCCGTGCTCTGTCGAGGTCCTGCTGCGGTAAATATCAAATTGGTGCTGTGTATCAAATAGAAAATTCCAAGAACTCACGCAGAGAATGTAAATGTCCTGGCATGAAGACGCAGAGTGAGGCTGTTCCAAGAGGCTGAGTGATAGCTGCTGCCTGGGGAAGGTGCAGCAGCCGCCCCGCGCCTGCAGTCCATCTCCTCTTCGCTCTTCTCTTCCTTCTTACATCTATCGACTGACTTATATACTGGACAGTCTGAGGCTTTAACATATCTTTGCTTGGTCAATAGCTCGCTCATTGCACGTCTGACGTCAGCTCGACCTCGGAGACAGGTCCCGTCACCCCAACATAAAAATGGGCGACAGAACCATGCTTGCCACTGTCGACTCTCGCTATGTGACTAGACCGTTCGTTCCCTGACGTGAACTCCGTCTACGAAAAATTCTTGACCTTTTCAAACTGCGCATATTTTGATCCGGCGTCTACTACCGCTTGTCATAATGGCCATCGCGTCAGAGGGAATGATGAAGACAGCCCGTAGAACGGGCATGTCGTAAGTCTGATTATTTTATATTCGTCTAAACTACTCTCCAAAGCTAATCTGCCTTTCTCATCACCGCAGAAGTCGCAAAATAGCCGTTTTGAGCACCGTTGGTGTTATTGGCGGCACTATACTCTTCTTTCAATACCTCAAGGGAGGCCAGAAGATCGTGACTGCTAATGAACACCTTGCCGTGAGAGGTGGCAATGCTGATCCGGGCGCGCAGACTGATCAAGGGACAACCAAGTCGGCTCCACGAGTGAGGTTGCATAGTCGTAACGAGAGATAAAAGGATACGAGAGCGGCTACTCGAGGTCGACCGGGTGTTTCATCTCGAATTCGATTGATAATACATTTGATACAGTGCTATTCAATGAATGATTGGACGTTATATATATATATATATATGATTGCGCCTAATCTTGTGTATACCAGTTCTTCTAGATACTAATCGTCCTGGAGAAAACGAGAAAGAAAAACAAACAGCAATACTTAAAGCAATAACGTATGGGTATCTAATGCAAAACGAATAATTATAACACCCCGCACTCACTGTCGGTACAATCGTAGCTAATTTTTCAACCACTTTTGGCCTTCCCCTTTTCTCCTCGTATTGAAACAATGAGACGAGAATGATTCAAATTTCATCGTCAATAGTTTTTCGGCTCGAGTACCTGGACTCGCGGCCCGGTTTGCCATGTAAGTCTTTGACCTCTTTTAGTACCTCACGGAACCCTGCCTCTATATTCTGCATGCGTGCTAGGACCAATCGACCAACAACATCGTTATCGATTGCGATCTGCGTAGCCAAACTAGATGGAAGAACGCCAGCGTCACCGATATCAGACCCAATGGCACGATTATAGTTGGGGGCTGACATAAAGTTCGATCGTTGAGCCAGAGCCAGATTCTCTGTCTCTAATCCTTTCAATGGGGATGCAGAGGAGGGGCCTGGTAGTGCATCGTCTGTGCTGTCATCGTCCCGGGGATGATGGTTGTGCAAAACAGTTACACTAGACGCGTTACGTGCATGAGGATGGCTTGACATCGGGCGATTCCGGTTCGGACTGTTCTTACGGGAATTGAACACTGCAGTAGACGGACGAGAGCTGAAGAATTTCGGCGTGGACTTGCTGCTGGGTCGAGGTGTATCCCCTGCATTCAGAGAGTTTAGGATCGAACTTTCTCGATCTTCATCCGACTCATCGTCGTGGTTTTCATCACTCGATTTTTCATCATCACCTTCGACATCGGTTGCGTGAGAAGTGTATCTTGCCAAACGTGCTGTTGCACTACGCAAAATCGAATGCTCGGGGACCGGACGGAGATTTCCGTGGTTGAGGAATTCCTCGGGGTCAGATGCGACAACGGAACGAGTAGTTTCAGTATAATTGCGATGCAACGGGGGTGAATGCACTCTGTGGGGAGCATTTGAAGTTTTCGGCGTTAATTCCTCAATAGTATCCATGCCCTGCATCCAATTCTTCACCATGGTATTTTTACGCCGCCCATCTGGACTTTCGGCAATATCTTGCATAGACTGCTGGCGAAAAGGTCTTCGAAAAAGCTCTTCCAATACGCGATCTTGTTGATAGGTAGCAATGGATGGCTCGCGCGTGAGGCGATGGAATGTATCAAACCGACTCTGTCGCTCGTTCCTCGCTCGTAAGACTGCCGTAGAACGGCCGTTGAAATAACCGCCAGCTTCAATCAGCTCAGTAGGGTCAATTAAGCTTGAACTTAGAATTATTCTCTCATATAAGCAAATAGACCATAAAATAGGGAAGTGGGTGATTTTGATGAGAGTGCGGTTGAGCTTGACGAAATCCTGGAGTGGGATGAAGTAGCGCAACGGAGTAAGTAGCCAACCGATGATATTAGAAGGGGCCACATAAGAGAACAGCGCGTCTGACTTGACCATTGAGATGGTGTTAATAGCAAAAAGAAATTGGTGCTCTTCATGTGCATTTTTCACAATAGCCATGAAAGAATTGGTGAGAACCGTGATCAAGATAGTAACCACTACGAAATGACAGATGAAGAGGAAAATGGTCAGAATGATGCGTCCTAGAGCATCATATTCTTCCCAAAGGCTCCATGCTGTGGGGGTAAATCCCATCAGAATCTGAAATAAGCCATATGTAAGCTCCTGAGGGGATTGCGACGACGCCGAGGAGAAGGAAAACGCCACCAAAAATCCACTGCAAGCAACAACAATCAACAAGAACACGGCCATTAAATCGGCCGCCATAATACGGAACGCGATGAGCAGCTGTGAAAAGTACTTGTAGTGGTCGAGAACCGAGAAGAGGCGTGGGAAGAGAAGAACAGCACCAGCAGCCAACAGATCGTAGGCTTGATTCGCGGCAGCCAATTGCCGAGACTCTGGCATAGCCATAACGTATAAACGGAGGATCGAATAGCAGAAAAGAAGCAGCAAGATTCCCAGGTCAAAAAGATTCCAGAAGCTCATGAGATAGAGGCTGAAACCTTGTTCATTGAAACCTACAAGCTCGTCAAGCATGAAGCCGGCGCTCCAAAACCAGAAGATGACCTCGACCGTGGTGATCGGTATAGATCGTTGAACCAGAACAGCGAGGTAAAGGCCTAAAAGAACTGCAAACGAAATAGTAGAGAGAAAGTGTCGGTAACGAGGCACACGGAGGCGTGACAATTTGAAGAGGGACGCATCTCTGGGGTCGTAAAGCGTCACAGCTCGGCGTGGATTGTCCGAGGACTGGACAGCGTATCTAGCGTTGTTGCTGTGTTGTCGGTTTTGGGATGAATTTATGGCCCCATAGCGCGGAGACCCACGACGAACAGCTGCGCCATGTGGGCGATGCAAGTTATCGGCCGCTGAGTGAAATACAATGGTCCCAGCCCATATGGCTTCCAGATGCTGAACAACTAAAGGGTGAGAAATGAAGCGCTTGGCCTGGGCTCGGATGGCTATTTCCAAGCACGAGATCCGAGCGTCGCCCGTTGCGCTTTGGCTCTTGGAGTAAGATTGATTCCAGGTTGGTGCCCGCAAGTTGGCAGCCGAAAGAGGAACTTGTCCTTGAAGGGGATAGAAGTCGTATGAAAGCGCATCAATCAACTCACGTGTTGTGTATTCCTTGAGCAGTTTGATGGCTAGAAGCTCACCGACGAGTGCCCTCGTTCGTGAGGTCCCACTGTTTCCTGGATTCAGATCGGCTTCTTTGTTGAACTGGAGGCAATTGGCCATCAATGCATATAGGGTGGACCGATTGAACTGGGAGTCTCTTATTTGTTGCTGGATAGGCTTGAGAAGGAATTGAGAGACCTGCGGGGACCTTAATTGGTCCCAAGTCAGGCTGGTTTCACATCGCGCCACAATTATAGACCGGATGGAATGAGTGATACTGTAAACGGGAATGAGGTCTGTATATATCAGCAAAGTCCTAATTGCACTCGTCGTATTCGAGGCGTTGCTGCTCACCCAGGTGCGGCGACGAAAATATTGGCAAGAGGAAGCCTTCCTCGCTGTCATCATCATCTTGTCCCGTTTCTTCGTCCCCATTCGGCTCCTCTGGCTCGGACGGTGCCAGACTTCGATCGTCGTCGCGCAGGAGGCCACGGAGAAAAGGGGTTGTCTCTTGCGGGGGTGAAGCAGAGCGTAGGACAGGACGGCGCGACTTCCTGGGTCGCAGCAGTGAGGCGAGCATGACGGCGTTGTCTGCTGGGCAGATGTGGGATGAGGGAGTTACGACATGAGAGGAGGACAAGGCGAGAAACGCCGAGAAGACACGAAGCCACGCAATAAAGACAAAAAAAGCTCTATCGAAATAAGAATTGAAGCGATACTGACAGAATTGGAGGGTGTGGAGGAGCACCTGCGAGCAGGTGACTTTGAAGTTTGGACTTCACATGCAGAGAATGGGGGAAAGCGATCATCTGATTTGTCGAGAGTTGCTATCGGGACAGCGGAGCGCTCTGGCCAATCGGAGCCTTCCATTTTGGCCAGGGTAGGTTTAGCGTGTCTTCCGGGGGGTCCTTGCACTAATGCAGCATCAGATCAGATCCAGCGTTGCGTCCAGGCTTGGGAATGGATTTTGGTATAGGCCGGATCAAATTGGGCGATGAGGAAAGGATCAAGGATAAGGAGTACAAAACAAAGAATACAGAGAAAATGCAATTGGGACCGCAGAACCCGAGCTCCGCCACGGAGGAAGGCAGTAGTCGGGGGTTTGCCGCTCACGATTAGGTGGACATTGTGAAGCAGGAGGGGTTCAGGCAGCTGATTCGAACATTCAAGTACAGTAGGAATTCTGTAATACTGCCAATTGAGAAGCTGCGCTAATCTACAGGCATTCATGAAGTTATGAGCTACCTAGGTAGCCTTGATCTGCGGAGGGGTTGGTGGACACACGAAACAACACGAGAGGTATATTAGGGCTACCTCTTTGCTTGTCTTAGACGTCCATGATAATGCATGCTTTCCCAAGGTTGTTTCCTGAGGTCCTATTTTTCCTTTCTTTTACCTGCATGCCTTGCGTTTCACTGCTATAATATCAAGTTGTATATAACCCTAACACAACACCACTGAATGCTAGGAATGATAACAGAACTAGCATTGCCGCAGTAGCAGAAGGCGCATCGAGCATAATGCATGCTAACGCAGTGAAGTCTCAACTATGCGATATGCTCTTGTGCGTGCTATGCTGAGACTCAAAGAGGGAAGAGCGAGGGGTGTAGGCGGTCAAGACGCATTAGCCACTAGCTGCAGGCGAGCAGCCCCACTTGGAGCTCCACAACCAATGGGAGTGACGTATTGGCAGATCTCCGCCCACACGAAGTGGGCCAGACATACACAAAAATTTATTCTGCCGCTGACCTTCCTATGGCGTTTTCTCCCTCCCGCCTCGTTTCTTTTTTTTTTTTCTCCCTCTCTCCAACATTCGCCTTTCCCTCCCTTTTTCCTTATCCCCCTCATCTCCGTGCAGAGGCAACCGACGAGACAGACACTGGGTCTTGCAGGCTGCTAATGCTTCGGTAGAGTCAATTATCCTGACCTTGTCCCTCGGAGGACCCTTGATTTCCCATATATCATACCGGGAAAAAAAAATATTGCCATGGCGTCGCAACCCGAGCCTACCTCACCCCGCACTACTCGTGCGAGCGACATTGCAGCTCCTCTAAGCCCTTCAAGCGGAGGTGCCTCTTCATATCAATCGGCAAACAACCTGCTGCCCCTGCCGGTGATGCCTGCTGCTGGCAATGGCGCCCTGATTCCTCCCGCGTCGTCCCCCATTGTGGGAAGCTCCGACAAGCAGCTGGCCCTGGAGCTCGAGGATGGAACTGTTTACCAAGGTTACAGTTTTGGTGCTGAGAAGAGTGTTGCCGGTGAATTGGTCTTCCAAACTGGAATGGTAGGCTACCCGGAGTCGATTACAGACCCCTCCTACCGTGGACAAATTCTAGTGATCACTTTCCCGCTGGTGGGCAATTATGGTGTGCCGTCACGGGAGGCCATGGATGAAGTCCTCAAAGAGCTCCCTAAGCACTTCGAGTCATCTCAAATCCATATTGCTGCTTTGGTTGTAGCCACCTACGCAGGTGAAGGGTATTCACACTTCCTGGCGCAGTCATCGCTTGGTCAATGGCTCAAGGAACAGGGTGTTCCGGCCATCTATGGTGTTGATACTCGTGCCTTGACCAAGCGGATCCGAGAGGAAGGAAGCATGCTCGGTCGGTTGCTGCTCGAGTCTTCCAATAGGACGGAGAGCAATGGGATCATCCCCTCGACTGAATGGAGACAACATTTCGAACATATTGATTGGGTTGATCCAAACAAGAAGAACCTTGTTGCAGAAGGTATGTAAACGCTTGAGCCTTAACTTGTGACAGCATACTTATTTACACTTATTCTAGTCTCTATCCGAGAACCTCGTCTCTTCACTCCTCCGCAAAACGTTGCATTAAAGCACCCCTCCGGCCGTCCAGTTCGTGTATTGTGCCTAGATGTCGGCATGAAGTACAATCAACTTCGTTGCCTCCTGTCTCGAGGTGTTGAAGTCCTGGTTATTCCTTGGGATTATGACTTTCACAATCTTGCGGGACGAGAGTACGATGGGCTTTTCATCTCGAACGGTCCCGGTGACCCTGCCACGATTGCTGCCACTGTCAAAAACATCACTAAAACTGTCCAGGAAGGTAGAATTCCTATCTTTGGTATCTGTTTAGGACATCAATTGCTCGCTCGGGCAGTTGGTGCAAACACGATGAAAATGAAGTTTGGTAACCGCGGCCACAACATTCCTTGCACTAGCATGGTCACTGGAAAGTGTCACATCACGTCTCAGAACCATGGTTTTGCTGTTGACGCTTCCACTCTTCCAGAGGGATGGCAAGAGCTTTTCGTCAACGCCAATGACGGCAGCAATGAAGGTATCCGGCATACCAGTCGGCCATATTTCAGTGTGCAATTCCACCCGGAAAGCACTCCCGGTCCTCGGGACACAGAGTTTCTATTCGATGTGTTCATTAACTCTATCAAGACGGTTTTGGCTTCACCTGAAGCTTTGAACAAGCCTGTTGCTTTCCCCGGCGGTACCATCGAGGAAAACGAGAAGAAGGCGCCTCGCGTGTCTGTCAGGAAAGTTCTCGTTCTTGGCAGCGGAGGCTTGAGTATTGGCCAGGCTGGAGAATTTGATTATTCTGGTAGTCAAGCCATCAAAGCGTTGAAACAAGAAGGGATCTACACCATATTGATCAACCCCAATATCGCCACAATTCAGACTTCTAAGGGTCTGGCTGACAAAGTCTACTTCCTCCCTGTGAATGCCGACTTTGTGCGTAAAGTCATCAAGCACGAGCGTCCAGATGCCATCTATGTCACATTTGGTGGTCAAACGGCATTGCAAGTCGGTATTCAATTGAAGGATGAGTTCGAAGCACTTGGTGTTAAAGTTCTGGGTACTCCTATCGATACGATCATCACCACAGAAGATCGTGAGCTGTTTGCTCGAAGCATGGAATCTATCGGCGAGAAATGTGCCAAATCTGCTTCTGCTTCTAGCATCGAAGAGGCTATGCGAGTCGTCGAGGACATTGGATTCCCCGTCATTGTTCGCGCGGCATATGCCCTTGGTGGTCTAGGAAGCGGTTTTGCCGATAATTCTGACCAGCTGCGAGGACTCTGCACAAAGGCCTTTGCTGCCAGCCCGCAGGTTCTCATCGAGAGGAGTATGAAAGGCTGGAAGGAGATTGAATACGAGGTTGTCCGAGATGCCCGTGACAATTGTATCACTGTCTGTAACATGGAGAATTTCGACCCGCTGGGTATTCACACTGGTGACTCCATCGTCGTCGCTCCATCGCAGACCCTTTCAGATGAGGACTACAACATGCTCCGGACCACCGCTGTCAATGTCATCCGTCATCTAGGAGTTGTTGGTGAGTGCAATATTCAATATGCTCTCAACCCATTTTCAAAGGAATACTGTATCATCGAGGTGAACGCGCGTCTATCTCGTTCTTCGGCTCTTGCCTCGAAAGCGACTGGTTATCCTCTTGCTTTCATTGCAGCCAAGCTTGGTCTCGGTATTCCATTGAATGAGATCTCCAATTCGGTCACCAAGGTCACTTGTGCATGCTTCGAGCCGTCGCTGGATTATGTTGTTGTCAAGATTCCCCGCTGGGACCTGAAGAAATTCACCCGTGTTTCCACCCAGTTGGGTTCATCCATGAAGAGTGTGGGTGAAGTTATGAGCATCGGTCGGACATTCGAAGAGGCAATCCAAAAGGCCATTCGCTCTGTCGACTTCCATAACTTGGGTTTCAATGAGACAAATGCCTTGATGTCAATTGACACTGAGCTTCAGACGCCGTCCGATCAGCGTCTGTTTGCCATTGCAAATGCTATGCATAATGGGTACTCTGTCGATGACATCTGGAAGTTGACTCAGATTGATAAGTGGTTCCTGCGCAAACTCAAGAGCCTGAGCGATTTTGGCAAAATGCTCACCAACGATTTCAATGCCACCAACGTTCCAATCAATCTGATCCGCCAGGCTAAGCAACTTGGTTTCTCTGACCGTCAACTTGCCAAGTTTCTGAGCTCCAATGAACTAGCTATCAGGCGCATGCGTGTAGAGGCCGGTATCATTCCTGTTGTTAAACAAATCGACACAGTCGCAGCAGAATTTCCTGCTTTTACCAACTACCTTTACCTTACCTTTAACGGCTCAGAACATGATATTAAATTTGATGATCATGGTGTCATGGTGCTCGGCTCTGGTGTCTACCGTATTGGTTCTTCCGTGGAATTCGATTGGTGCTCTGTTAGAACCATTCGTACCCTCAGGGAGCAGGGACACAAGACCGTTATGGTCAATTACAACCCAGAGACAGTGAGCACTGACTATGACGAGGCAGACAGGCTCTACTTTGAGAATATCAATTTAGAGACAGTTCTGGATATCTACCAGCTAGAGGCGTCTAGCGGTGTTATTATGTCCATGGGTGGTCAAACTCCCAATAATATTGCTTTGCCTCTGCACCGTTTGAACGTTAAGATTCTAGGAACTTCTCCAGAGATGATTGACGGTGCTGAGAACCGATACAAATTTTCTCGAATGCTTGACCGTATTGGAGTGGACCAGCCCGCCTGGAAGGAATTGACTAGCATTGAGGAAGCTACTGTCTTTTGTGACAAAGTCAACTACCCAGTGCTAGTCCGGCCGTCCTATGTTCTCTCAGGAGCTGCTATGAACACCGTTTATTCTAAGGACGATCTGGCGAACTACCTGAAGCAAGCTGCTGAGGTCTCTCGCGAACACCCCGTCGTTATTACCAAGTACATTGAAAATGCGAAGGAAATTGAGATGGATGCTGTGGCTCGTAACGGTGTCATGGTCGGACACTTCATTTCGGAACACGTGGAGAATGCCGGTGTCCATTCTGGAGATGCTACTCTCATCCTACCTCCACAAGATCTAGACCCTGAAACTGTTCGACGCATTGAGGATGCTACTCAAAAGATCGGAAATGCGCTCAATGTCACTGGTCCATTCAATATTCAATTCATCGCTAAGGATAATGATATCAAGGTCATCGAGTGCAACGTTCGCGCTTCTCGCTCTTTCCCGTTCGTTTCCAAGGTCATGGGCGTCGACTTGATTGAAATGGCAACCAAGGCTATGCTTGGAATACCATTCCAAGAATACCCTCCAACCAGCATTCCTAAGGACTACGTTGGTGTCAAGGTTCCTCAGTTCTCTTTCTCTCGTCTTTCTGGAGCAGACCCTGTGCTGGGTGTTGAGATGGCTTCAACTGGTGAAGTCGCTTGTTTCGGCCGTGATCGAGCTGAGGCTTATCTCAAGGCTCTCATTTCGACTGGCTTCCGTCTTCCGAAGAAGAACATCCTGCTTTCTATCGGTTCTTTCAAGGAAAAGTTGGAGATGCTGCCTTCCATTCAGAAGTTGCACAAGATGGGCTACAATCTCTTTGCTACTGCCGGTACCGCTGATTATATCAAGGAGCACGGTATTCCAGTCAAGTACTTGGAGCTTCTCGCAGGACAGGAGGAAGAAGATCTTAAGTCTGAATACTCTCTTACACAACATCTTGCCAACAATCTGATTGATTTGTACATCAATCTGCCGTCAAGCAACAGATATCGCCGCCCAGCTAACTACATGAGCAAGGGTTACAGAACTAGGCGTATGGCTGTTGACTACCAAACTCCTTTGGTCACCAATGTCAAAAACGCAAAGATTTTGATCGAGGCACTTGCACGGCAGTATGAACTTGAGGTTCTTACCATTGACCACCAGACCAGTCATCGTACTATGGTACTGCCTGGTCTCATCAACACCGCCTCTTTCGTTCCAGGAATTGTTACCCCAGGCTCGACAGACTTCGAAGTGGTCACCAAGGCCTCTGTTGCAGCTGGCTTCACTATGATTCGCGTTATGCCAGTTGGAGTGGACGCCTCAGTGACGGATGCCGTTGCCTTGAAGGCGGCCCAGCAGAACTCCAAGACTAGAACCTACTGCGATTTCAACCTTTCTGTGGCCGCCACGGCTAACAATTCGGAGCAAGTCGGCCAGGTGACCAATGACGTGGGAGCTCTCTTTATTCCTTTCAATCATCTTTCTGGCAACATCAACAAGGTAGCCGCTGTAACCAGCCATTTCGGGGCCTGGCCAGCCAGCAAACCAATGATTACGGATGCCAGGGCTACTGATCTTGCTTCAATCCTTCTCTTGGCCAGCTTGCACAACCGCAATGTCCATGTTCTGAATGTATCATCAAAGGAAGACATCAACTTGATTGCTCTCAGCAAGGAGAAGGGGCTCAAGGTCACTTGTGATGTTTCGATTTACAGTCTTTTCCTCACCCAGAAAGATTACCCAGAATGCACTGGCTTACCTACAGTTGAGGATCAAAATGCTCTTTGGGAATACTTGAGCACCATTGATGTTTTCTCCATTGGCACCATTCCCTACCAGCTAGCTGGAAAGGAAGCTAGCCCTGCGGTTGGTATTGCTGATGCATTACCTCTGCTGCTTACAGCGGCTTCTCAGAACAAGTTGACCATCAATGATATCACTACTCGACTTTATGACAACCCGAAGAAGATTTTCGAGTTGCATGACCAGCCTGACGCTTTGATTGAAGTCGAAGTTGACCGTCCCTACATCTTCAACAGTGGTGATGTCTGGTCGCCTTTCAATGGAAAACTAATGACGGGCGCTGTCCACCGGGTTGTTTTTAAGAACAGGACTTCCTGTCTTGATGGTGACATTCAAGTCGAGGCAGCAGAAGGTGCAGACATGTCCTCACACCGCATTGCGCCACAGTCACCTTCTGTGAGAGCCTTCTCTCCACGTGTGCAACCGAAACTTGACACTTCCATCGAGCGGCGCTTCTCGACCAGCACTCCTGTTCGGCCTTCCCGCCCAAGGGTAGCTGACTCGGTTCCTAATATTCCTGAGCTTGGACCTCCGCTCTTCTCCCCCTCTTCTCAAACTTCGACATCCCTACGGGACCTTCTCTCACGCTCCAACTTCAAACAGAAGCATGTCATTTCCGTCAACCAATTCAACCGTGCAGATCTTCATCTGCTTTTCACTGTTGCACAGGAGATGCGTCTTGGTGTTGAGCGACAGGGTGTCCTTGATATTCTCAAGGGCCGTGTTTTGTGCACGTTGTTCTACGAGCCTTCCACGCGCACTTCGGCCTCTTTCGATGCCGCCATGCAACGGCTCGGTGGTCGCACAGTTGTGATCTCCACGGAGCATTCCTCAACAAAGAAGGGAGAGACGCTTCAGGATACCATCCGTACCTTGGGTTGCTACGGAGATGCCGTCGTCCTGCGTCACCCAGATCAGAGCAGTGCTCATACCGCGGCAAAGTTTTCTTCAGTCCCTGTCATTAATGGTGGCAATGGAAGCCTTGAACATCCAACTCAGGCGTTCCTCGACCTTTTCACCATTAGGGAAGAACTAGGTACCGTCACTGGTTTGACCGTCACTTTTACCGGAGATCTGAGGTATGGCCGTACGGTGCATTCCTTGATCAAACTTCTCCAGTTCTATGATGTGCGGATTCAGTTGGTGGCCCCCAAGGCTTTATCACTGCCAGATGATGTGCGCAAGCTAGTTGTGTCCTCTGGTCAGCTAATCCGCGAGTCCGAGGAGCTCACTCCGGAGATTGTTGCCCAGTCCGATGTGTTGTACTGCACTCGGGTCCAGAAAGAGCGCTTCGCCGACCTTGCTGAATACGAAAGACTTAAGAACACTTTCATCGTTGACAACTCGGTCCTGAAACATGCCAAGAGCCATATGGTTGTCATGCACCCATTACCGAGAAACGCAGAAATTGGGGAGGAGGTTGACTTTGACCAGAGAGCGGCATACTTTAGACAGGTAAGTTCTCGCATGGATTACGGGAGATGAGTAAGAAAGATAAACTGATTATTTTCTCTAGATGCGCTATGGTCTTTATTGCCGCATGGCATTGCTGGCTCTCATTCTGGCACCTTAAAAACTTTTCGACATTGTCGAAAATGATATAAGAGCAGAAGGAGGGCAAAAAAGACCATGCTTATTTTATATAAAAGAAAAAGTTGATATAACTTTCTTTGTGATACTTTCTTGCATGTACCAAAAGTTTACTGTCTTTTGACTACACTAAAAAACAGAACGAACGTAGATTAAAGTGTTAGGAACAGATAGATTCCTATATTTGATATGTATAATGTGTCAACTTTGGTTTAAATGGGTATTTTATGTATATGGTTTATCCATGTTATGTGTTATGTGTGATGTGTGATGTGTGTGACGTTCTGTGTTTTGGTTGTGTCTGGTGTTTGGCTTGGTTTGGTTTGGTTTATTTGGCGTGGCGTCTTTTCGTTTATTTCTTTTGGCCTTTTGCATAGCGTGGATGGGTTGGATATGTACGAGTACAATGTTTATTTATTTAATTTTCAATATATGTTGTCTTTCAATCGATTCTTCTGTGATTCATTGAGTTTGTTTTGTAGAATGTATCCACTGTGGATTATCTAGGTATCTACGAACCTTAAGAGCGTTATGGATATTGAAGTTTAGGTCACTCTAGGTCCTTCAATTTTGTTCTATTATATTTATTATATTATTAGTAATATGATCTGTTCGTGTACAAAGAGTAGATAGAGATCTCCTTTAGCAATAAAAACATTGAGTGCGCAGTGCCGCGGGGTAGGGCTAACTTATGGCTTACACTTGTACCAATCAATCAATAGAGCTGATTACCTAGGTATGCTTTCGTAAGAAATCTGACGTTATCTTCGACAGTATCTATCATGATCTTATTTTTTATGGTTAGTTATTAGTAGAGATGTTCATCCGAATTGGAAGCATCTCGATATTCAATTCCGATGTTTGCTTCACTAACGACAAATAAGCGCATAGTCTGTTTATATTTCTCTCGTACGAAGCTTTTAGTTTCAAAAATAAAAGAAGAAAAAGGATCTAGTTCGATGCACCTCTGACACGGTTATTATCAACCTCAGAATTATCAATCAATAGCACAACTTTGCGCCATTCAACCTCCAACACTTGAACCATCTTCTCCAACCTTGAAATGGTCTCGATGTACCTGCTGGTCGTTCTCTTCTCATGCTTTATCTGTTCCTCGCTTCGTTCTAGTAATATTCCTAGACGTTGTATGGTGTTTGCTTGTATCTCAAGCGCTTTGATTCGCTGCTGTTGTTGCAGGTTGCTGTCGTCGTGAGATGTTTCTCTGGTGGTGTTGTTATTCTGTTCTTGCTGCTGTTTCCGCAGAGAGACAAGTTCCGAGTTGAGTTGTTCTATGGAAAAGCTCAGCATTTCTATGAGCTCAATGATGCCGGAGGAGCCTAAAGCTTCAATGCATGAGGAAAGTTTGTTGTTGGATTTTATTAGACGGTCGATTTCAGCCGTGAGAGTTTCCCGATGTTGTAATTGGTCATCTTTTTCCTCATCATCGTGAGGTTGTGCCGTGTTTTGTCGCTTTTCTTTGATGTTTTCTCCTTCAATATAGGGATGGTTTTCGACCTCTTTTCCTGCGGGGATGTGAGAGACAATCAAAGTATCGATTTTCTCCTCTAGCTTTGACATTTTGTCAAGAAGATCAGATCCATATCCGCGAGGTAGGGTCTGGTTCTGTCTTTGAGATTTTTTGGCCGGATCTGCTTCATGATATTTTTCCTTTCCTACTTGCTTTGACATATACGGTTGTTGCCCTAGGACTGCTTCTTGCTGTTCGGGCATGACTCGATTCAAGTGTCGTATATTACTGTCTGACCGACGACACAGCCATCTATATTTTGAAGTTAGCAGGATTATTCTTCTTTAATATACTTCATATGATAACAATGTACTTGAACGGATTATGCTCCTTGTCTTTTATACGCCGGAATGTAAAGGAGGATATCGACTGGTTTGGCGACTTGCTTTTAAGATCTGCTTTATTCTTTGACTTTTGTCGCTGCTGCTGAGCAAGTCTCTGGCTGAAGATGCTGTCGTTACTTAAACTTGTAACTCCCACAGAGCTGGATATACTTTGTGCACTCTCTTGACTTTTGGAGACGAGGCTACTTCGTCCACTTGTCTCACTTTTAGCGACACTGCCTGGTCGTTGTAGATGTCGCTCTGATGAAGAGTATATGGAGGAATATGAGGACAAGGATGCTGCTGTCCCATCGATAGAAGTCCCGATAATGCCGGCTTTTAACCAAGACTCTGTGCTGTCGTTCTTGGCTGCAGTCATCTTCGCGTCTATGTGCGGCCCCTGAATGTGAAGGTGTGACGAGTTTGATGACGTGATGGCACCTTCGATGTCTGCTCCATGTTGATATTGCTCTTGAGCCTTGTTGCCGTTTCCTAAGGTTGGCATAAGTAAAGGGGTCGACGCCGATGACTGCGCGCCTAAATGCTCACTGTTGAGGCAGTATGGAGAGTAATCGCAGCCTTCTGGTAGCAACTGTAAGTCCAGATTTGAGGCATTCCTTGAATGGAGAGGAGAATGATGGGCTGGACGTGGCTTCTGCAGTAACATTTCCATCTCGCTGCTGTCTCTCTGTCTTATCCATTGCGATTACGATTGCTGAAAGTCCTGGATGCCAGGTTCCAAGAGAAGAGTAGGCAAAAATCTGATGTAATGCATTTCCATGTCGATCCGTGGGCTGTATGGACTGCCATCCACGGTTTCATGGTGTTGGTGAGTTGCAGCCTTGGAGCCTTGGAATGATATACCTATCTTCGACGGCACGTGAACACCAAATGCAATTCGTTATGCCTTTCTATATACATGTATATATAATTTTATCCGGAGCCATGCTCTTGAGCAGTTCTTTCAAATCTATGCATCTGGCCAATACTTCTTCAGCAGATCCTTCTTATTGACCTTGCCCATAGCGTTGCGCTCTATACCGTCGACAATCTTCAGTATCGTGGGGATTTTGTACGGAGCCATTTCCTCCTTCAACTTCGTCCGAAGGGCACCCAGTTCCAAGGTGGCAGTCTAATTGTATGATGTTAGTTTATATTCAAGTGAAAGCGAGTTATGGGTGTCTTTGCTTACGCAATCTCTCAGCTTCACAACTGCAGCAACACGCTGCCCCCATTCCTCGTCTGCTATGCCGACAACGGCTACTTCCTGTATAATCTCCAAGCCGAGTATTCTACGCTCGACTTCCAGCGCTGATACTTTGTACCCACCGGTCTTGATCAGGTCGACTGATGCACGGCCTTGGATATAGTAAGCGCCGTCGTCTTTTGACCGCTTCGCAACATCTCCTGTTTTGAACCAGCCGTCAGAAGTGAATTCCTTCGTGGTGGCTTCAGGTTTATTCCAGTATTCCAGGAACACGTTATCGCCCTTGATTTCAACCATTCCATCCTCTTCACTGTCTTCTTCAATGATCTTGCCGGTTCCTTTATCTGTTAGCCGCACTTGAACGCCAGGCAATGGCCAGCCAACGCTTCCATCTAGTCGCTGAGAGATATCCAGGCCGCAACTAATACCCATGCCAATTTCAGTCATCCCGTACCGCTCAAGTAAGACCTGGCCAGTTATTTCGGCGAATTTGGCTTTGATGGGAGTCGGCAAAGCAGCCGACCCACTGACGACGAGTCTCAGAGCTTTGGCACCCTCTTTCGACGGTACCTCGGCCTCTGTTGAGCGGATATGTGCATCGAAATAGTCAACAAGACGAGAGTAAATGGTGGGGACAGCCATGAACATCGTTGATGAGCCCTTGTCCTGCCATCTTTCCCAGATAGTCTTGGGGTCGAACTTGGGGTACATTTCTACCGTTGCACCGCTCAGAAACGAGGCAGTGAGACCGTTTATAATTCCGTGGACATGATGCAAGGGCAGGACATGTATTAAGTGATCCGAGGACGTATACTTCCATGCGTTGACCAGACAGTCTGCTTGGAATGTTATATTCTTGTGTGTCGTCACACAGCCCTTGGGATTCGACGTCGTGCCAGAGGTATATATCATGAGCGCTCGTCTATCCAAAGGCAACGAGTCGTGGAATGGGGGCAGTGAGATTGAAGATGCGCTCCCGGAGCGGAGAATGGGTATGAAATCTACAAATGGCACATCGACAACCTTCTCGCGTAACGCCGGCTCGACCTTGGCGAAGGCGGGGTGAATAACCACCAACGAGGGCTGGGAATCACCAATCGTATAGAGAAGTTCTTTAACGGGATGTGTGGTGCCTGTGCAGTTGATTAGAAGTTAGAAGCATGTCGCGATCGATCCAAATCACTTCAGCAAACCGACAACATACAAAGTGGCACGCAAATGCCCCCGGCGGCCCATACAGCCCACTGCATCACGACGTAGTCATAGCCATTCGGAACGAGAAATGCAATCCGTCTTTGGTCTAGGTCGGTAAGCGATAGATGTTCTAGCAGCCATTTCTTCTTTGCTGACACGTCCGACAATAGCTGCCGGTATGTAAAGCTCTGCCCCTTCGTGCGATCGATCACAGCCACCTTCGCGTCGTCATTCTTCGCATGACTCCGTGCTGCGACAAACAGCGGCAGCGAGGGAATAGACGCCAGCTCTGGCAGCTCACGACCTCGCATGGCGGCCGCGGCGACAATAGGGACGGTCATAACCGCGGCGATGATGTTTCCAACCGAAGAGGACACAGGCGGGGGAGCTGCTCGATACTAGCGAGGCTAGAAACCCAATCCACGCCTCCTAGTTATGACTTCTCAGCCAGTCGGCTTGGAAGAAGTCGGCAATGCAACAGCAAATCCAGGAACCAGGGCCTCGGAGCTTCTTCTGGATGCCGAGCCGGCCGAGGATGGATGGCTGCGTGCGCCCCTCTGTGTGGAGTAGACAATGGGTATTCGTCTGCTTCACAGATACCCTCGCAACGACTGAGCTGAGCTGAGCTGAGCCATGGAATAATAGAAAAGAAAAGAAAAGAGAAGAGAAGAAAATACACGACGGGCCCCCTTCCCTTCGGTGCTGGACTGTCATAACTGCTGTTGAAGCGGCAGCTGGCTTGGCATTGGCAGGCGGCGATATCGCGCTAAACTCTAAAGAATTTATCGAAGCTAAAGCTCAGCTCGACCGACCGACCGACACGACGCACTGCGCAGCCAACGTCTTCCACGGTTCAAGCGCTCCTCGGGTGCCTCTTATCATCACACTGGGAGGCGTCGCAGCGCAGAAATGCTGAGATACCCAGCACTTTTGTCGAGGACGGGCACACTCTCGATATCGTACCGGACTGTGCGCCATGCCGCTTCGACGTCAAAATCCCCGGCGAGGTCTCCGCCTCCTTTGATAAAGATACGAAATGGAAGCTTTTTTCGTTCTTATCCTTCATCGGCCGGCGTTGACCCGACCAATCGTCCGCTTCTTACCCAAGTCGATTTTACCCTCGACTCTAGGCCTGCGGAGACACCGGATGGTACGAAAACGAGGCGCCTACAACCCGAAAAATCAAAACTACGTACACCCTCTCACTGGGCCGTGATTGGGCCTGGAAGCACTACATTTCTCAATATTCTGCGAGGCCAGCACATCGCCGTGCCTCCGAAGTCACGCTCATACCCCTACTTATCGTCAGACGAGTTTTCTCCGAAGGAGTCAAAGCTAAGGCACCCGAGCAATGCGATTCAATACGTGGGTTTCAGTGGCGAGGGATCTCAGGCCACTGGCGGGACACGAGGGGCATATCTCAGCGCAAGATACGAAAGTCTACGCGAGGAAACGGATTGGACCGTGCTGCAGTACTTGAAGGGCCAAACAGAGTTAAATCCACTGGAAGGCAAAGAATCTACGGAGCTGTACGATGAGACTCGCTTTCAAGAAGTGGTTCAGAACTTGAAATTGCGAGACCTTTTAGACATGCCGGTCTCCAACTTGAGCAACGGCCAAACGCGACGTACACGAATAGCCAAAGCCCTGTTGGCTCAGCCAGAACTGCTTTTACTAGATGAGCCTTTCAGTGAGTCTTCTTAGTCTGGCATCACAGAAGAAAAAAGCAAACAAGAGCTGACAAGTGGCAATCTAGTGGGACTTGACCCAGCAACAGCTGATAGTATATCTTCACTACTACGTAACCTCGCGAACCAGTCTTCACCCAGAGTTCTACTATCATTGCGCCCTCAAGACCCTATACCGGACTGGATAACCCATATCTTGGGACTATCAGGCAATGGAATTGCTTTCAGCGGAGAAAAGAAACAATATTTGACGAGAGTAGCGGAAACAATCTCCGACCATCAACATCACTCTAACGGGAGTCTCAAAAAGGACATTGGTCAAACACCCCGGACCCCTATTACTCTCGATGGGGAACCCATCATTGAAATGGACGGAGTTCGTGTCCAATATGGTGAAAAAGTCGTTCTCGGAGATTGGAAGCAGACCGTACTAGATGATGATCAGAAGGAAGGCTTGCAGTGGCAAGTCCGCCGTGGTCAGAGATGGGCCATCCTGGGGGCCAATGGCTCTGGGAAAACGACGCTGTTGTCTGTTATTACATCTGACCATCCGCAAGCATACGCACTGCCCGTTCGCATGTTTGGTCGTTCCCGTCTGCCTGAACCAGGAAGACCTGCTATATCGATTTTCGACCTACAATCTCGCATCGGCCATTCATCTCCCGAGATACACGCTTTCTTCCCTCGACAGCTAACCATACGCGCATCAATTGAATCCGCATGGGCAGATACTTTCCTCGCAAAGCCAATCTTGAAATACGAAATAGACACACTCGTGGACCGAGTCTTGGAACATTTTAGGCCAGAATTAGACCCCAATTTCGCAGATCCCAAGGGCGATGTGAAGGGAGTTGACTTGTCATTTATGCCTGAAAGGTTTCAAAAGAAGGTCTTATCTGATGATGATGATGATGACCCTCTTGAGTGGCAGATCAAAGGTGCCACTACACCCGGCCCAGATCATTCCACTCAATACGCCGAATCCGTGACATTCGGCCAGCTCACCGTTGCCCAGCAGCGCTTGGTGCTTTTCATTCGCGCCATTATAAAGAAACAAGACCTTATAATCCTCGACGAAGCCTTCTCAGGCATGCCCGCTTCCATGCGCGAAAAATGTTTTGCTCTTCTCAACAGCGCTGGACCATCCAAGACAGAGATTGCGGCGTCAGAGGAAGGATCTATCCCTCATCTCCCGTATTTAGGCCCTGACCAAGCATTGCTCGTGGTCAGTCATTTGAGAGAGGAAATCCCGGACTCAGTACGGTTCTGGATGCGTCTTCCCTCTGAAGTCGGTGACGGCAAGAAGCTGAAATTCGCTCTCGGCCTTGTACCGGATAGCATTACGTTGGCAAAGGACCAGGATGCTTGGAAGACTGTTTGGTCTGTCAATTCATTGACCTCTGCAAATATGAAGTCTACTACTGCTGGCGAAGAGAGTGAAGTTGATCCTAATGATGCCGAAAAGTATCATTATGTGCTTCCAACCGTTGACTAGAAAAATGCTTTTTGATTAATAGGTCGCGTTTGTATGCATGGATCGAAACTGGGAGTTTGGGCTGAATAAAAGAAGATTGGCCTTCAGAGAAAAAATGTCTCTGCTGGATGCTGACACTGGTTTTGGTGTTTAATCAACAATATAAATACTGTACTATATTATGTAACATTCGTCTCCATTTATGGCTACATTGAAAATGAGAAACATTTCTTAGAGAGATCTGTTTTAGTCATTATACCTAGCATGCTTAGAATCTTACCTAGGTAACTTACACAATACATGTACATACTTTATTGACATGAAATAGAACGATTAGAGATGCTAGTAGTTCCGAAAATCGCTATATTGCAATCAGATTACTCCCTATACCGGATGCCATATATGCCTAATCATAATATATATATGTGCAACGTTCAAAAAGCATCGTGGCTGCGTCACAAATCGCCAATTGAAACTACATTGTACAATTCAATGTGCCTCGGCGTCAATAGGCTCTCCAATATCTGCCTCCTGTTGTACGCCATTTCCGTTCTCGAGGCCTTTCTTGATCAGATCATTGAAATCCACTCCAACCTCTTTCAACAAAGCAGCCTGATCATCTAATGTGTCCATGCATTTCTGCCAAACTGTCGTCCCTCTCTGTACACTGCTTAGCTGCCTCACAAGTATGGCGTTGAACTGGTCTAAATGCTCCTTTGCCCATTTGATGTTGGAACTTGTCATTATAGGTGGGAAGCATTGCTGGTAGGTGCTGATGGTGTTTTTGATGAGAGTGAAGTAAACAAATGATATCTGAAAGATATACAAGGGTAGGTCCCCTTCGAAAACGCATTGACGCACGCGTTTGTGAATGACTTCGGTGCGGGCACGCAGATAAGCTTCGCGTGCGCGATCTTCGAAGCCGAGGCGAGCAAGCCAGAGGACATGTGTCTTCGTAGACACCAAGAACGAATGGGTGTCAACCAACGTACGCGAGAGGGTGCTAGCGAGTGTCGTTGCTCGTTCGTCTACTTTCTGATTGATAGCATCCTGAGCAGCGGCGTTCCCTTTGAGGCCTCGAGCAAGTTTTCTCAGCCGTTCCACGCTAGAGACAGCTTCTTCAAAGTGTTGCAATGCAATATCGATGTCAAGTTCATCGATTTGGCCTTCTACCCATCGTAAATTGTGCTGTTTACCGTCCACATCAATCCGAACTTCGGGTTTGTCTTTGAAGCTCTCGGCGCTATCGTGCAGACCTGATTTTCGAGCTCCTTCCAGTTGACCGAGGGTGCGAAATCCATCGCTAAGCTTGCCTGAATTCTCAATTTCAGATCGTAGTGTCTTGCGAAGGTCTTCTACAGTCTTGCGGAACGTTGCCAAAAGCTCGTTCTTGGCAGTATTGTTACGCTGATCATATCGGTAGGTGTATGATTGAGAACCAACGCGTATGTTGATTGCATGAGCTACACCTCTATGCTCAGCTTCAGCACGTGCGGCTCCTGACCCAAGGTTTGCGCCCAAGTCAATCATATCGATATCTTGAAGCTGCCAACACTCTTCAGCAACAAGCTTAGTTGGAGCTGGTCCACGGTGCTGGCTGGGACCATTTGGATCGATTCGCTTTCGTTTCTTGGCGGCAACCAGCAGGTGATCATTCAACAGAACAATATGCACCGGCCGTCTTGGTTTCCATGTCGCTGAGTCAAGCTCTACCCAGTGTCCACTTTCCAACACAATATGTCTACCGGGGATTGTCGGCAGGAACTTTTGGGACCCTTCGACCGTTTTCCATAGCGTCTGTAGCTGTATGTTCCACATATTCTCGAGATTTGCAACAGAGCTACGATTACTGCGCTTTGACGCGCGATCATCGGCTGCCAATAGTGGATTTGATCCACTAGCATCATGAGTCTGTCCCAGCGTTGTAGTGAGCTCCGACATTAAGGTGCGCAAAGTACGCATTTCGCCCTTGAGCTTCTCTGCTTCTTCACTAATCTTGATGAACTGGGTTCGATTTTGATATACGTTTTGCTGTAAATCCGTTGATGTACGGTTCTTGACTTTCCGTAAATTCTGCTGGTATTCTCGAATCTCCTCTTCGGAGGCGTTGGCAAGCAATCCGGCAACATCTGTTGACAACACATTAGCTATCTAGCATTGGGATAACAAAACAGATAGAATCTGCTACATACATTTTTCCACTGGCAAAGATGGATCTTTCAATGCTCTGAGGTTTACCTCGAGTGTTACACCTGGGCCGCCGGGCTGTAGTGCACTGGGCACAGCGGGCGCGCCGGCCGGGCCCTTGAACGCTTGTATATCTGCTGGAATGCTCGGTACTGGGGGAGCATCGAAGGTTGAATCCGAGGCCTGGTTGAAACGAGCAGAGTAGCGACGCTTGACGAGATCTGAAGTTGCACCACCCTGCTGAGCACCCGAGGGTCTCCTATCTGCCGGCTTTGGGCCGGAGATAGGCTTCGGCGCGCTGATTTGGGGTCGACGTCGTGACTTGTTGCGCAACGTCAGGCCAGCGCCGTCCATGAGCTTGTCTAACTGCGAGGCCATTTTCACGAAGCCTGCGCGGTGCAGGTGCCAACTTTGGAGGACAGTCAGTGAGTTGCAACTACCCGAGCTGCTGTCCTGATGGGCCGGAGCGTCGCGGCGGAACAACAATGATCCACCAGCTCAAAATTAATTTGATTTAACCAGCGAGCTTCGGGACGCAACAACAACATCCCTCATCGCAGCATTTGTCCGTCAATCGCCTGACACCGTCGTCTTCCTCTGTGTCTTTACTTTCACACTCACATTCGCATTCGCCATGAAGACATCGACATTGGTTGCCCTTTCAACGGGTACGGTGGTCACGGGCTTTCTCGGTATGCTTTCTATCGCTCCTAACCTTGCCGGGCACATTGACTACCGTTCTGACCGGCGCTGGCTCTTATCTAGCATATGCCGTATGGTTTGACTACAAGAGACAGTCGGACCCCGAGTTCCGCAAAGCTTTAAAGAGGGACAACCGCCGGATGGCGCGCGCCGCAAAGGAGGAGGCTGAGGCAGAAGGTGCTGCTCAGCGGGAGCAGATCAAGAAAGCCGTCAACGCAGCCAAGGATGAAGGCTTCCCTACTGATTTAGAGGAGAAAGAAGCTTATTTCATGAGTCAAGTCGCCAAAGGAGAAAGCCTGTGTGCCGAAGGTTCGTTGGAGATTGCCCAGTCGCACTTTTAGCCCTGGCTTTATATTGACTTCTATCTTCCTTCACAGGCTCGGATAACATTGAAGCTGCCCTCGCTTTCTACAAGGCTCTTAGAGTCTATCCCCAGCCGAAAGATCTCATTTCGATATACGATAAGACCGTGCCTAAGGATGTTTTGGAAATTCTTGCCGAAATGGTTGCTCTGGACAGTGGATTGAAGCTCGGCTCCTTCACCACTGAGAGTGGTGGCCCTGACAACCACGGCGTGGAATAATCGGCTCACAGAGGGCTTTTTACACTCAAAAACAATATTTACATCGACTAGTCTTACGTCTTCTTCGAAACAGTATGCCTCACAAACACACAGAAATATCATGCTTTACATCGGCTTTGACTCGTCATGACACGCTCTCCAACTCCACTTCTTCACTGTACACTTCCATCGCATTTTATTCTCGGACAGGCGACGAACATTCTGAGATCTGTCACAGTCTCACATGACATGCTTGATGTCAGATCTGGTGCTGATTTTCATTGTTGTATTACAAACGCAGCTTGATGCTGGCATTCTTTGCCTGCCACCATGAGATTTCACTTTATAAGGACTCGTTTTAATTGTATTTTATCTTGCAAATTCATAAGTTAGATTGGTCTTTCCGGTTTGTCTGTGTACTATTTTGTTTCTTTAGGACCCAGATTCTCTTCATATATATGCACTATCAGTGTTTTGCATTGGGTGCTAGACTGAAACGCCATTTTACCGTGAGAGTTTGTTTCTGCTATCTAGGTGCTGACTGCCGGCTAACAACGGAATAGAGCGCTTGGACAAGGCACCCGCAAGAAACCCGACTTTTCTTCTTCGCAAATCGATTTTCTCATTTCTTTCGGAGATATATGTGATCCCTGAATCAAACAGGAGATGACTTTCTATCCACATCAGCTTTTCCAGTCCAATACCGCATAAAGTTCATTGGAAGGTCTCTCTCCTTTACATAGACAATGGCCGTCCATACGAAAGCCATCAAACACACAAAAAGATAGGGCAGAATCCACCATCTCCATGTTAGCATTTCCTGGTATGCACTTGACAAGTCTGCCTTGTATAGCGGAAGTGCTAGTAGTGCTTGGTACCAAGTCTCTGGCGTCCAGCTATCGATATTATACGGTTTGCCAGCGAGGTTTCTGGCAACTTGAATGTCGATTTCGTTACCCAAGGTCAGGTACGTGACAGCAAAGACGTAGATGAATGCCGAAAATGTGAACAGGACTAGGAGACCTAGAGCGATAGTCATACTGCGGAGGATGACTTTATGATGCTATTCACTGGATTAGCCCCCCCCCCGCTTTCCTATTCCATTCTCGCATGGCAGAACTAGGAGACAATACCCTGGAGGTATTCATCAAATGACTTACTCTATAATAGAGATTATTCCGCAGAACAAACGTGCCCGCCGAAAAGGCAATACTCAGAACCAAGCCATAACCGGCAGCGCCATTGGTGGTATGTCCTTGATTCACCGACAGCTTTTCCGGCAGGACGTATAGATCGAAATTGAGGCTTTCATCCTCATATTGACCGGTAGTACTGGCGTTGGCGCTGGAATTGGCGCTGCTGCTGTTCGTGTTGATAGACTCACAGACATAATAGCTACCAATATCTGCCTTTTGGATATGCAAAAACGCAACCATTCGAGACACGAGGGCAAGCTGAGTGGTTGAAAAGACTAGTAGGATGGAAAATGGTATGAAAAGGGATTCCTTGTTCAACATTTTGTTCCTTTTCTGTTCTTTCTTAGGTAGTACCTATGTGTACTACCGAGGCAGGAGTGCAGCTGTACGTTCAAACTTGTAAAGCTGGTGGTAGATCGGAAATTACATGGGCATGCTGAGATGTACTAATGGGCTTTCTAAATACGAAGCACAAGCATAAAGATGTTTCAAATTCACAGCAGAGCAAAGAATCCCGTCCCTACTCCAAGTCGGATGACATTCTGGGAATAAAGTACTCGAGACAAATGCTTGAGTCAGAAAATATCCAGGGTGGTTCATTGATGTTTCATGTTGAAAGAAGATGGAACCAGACAATACAATGATCATTGCAGCTAGTTTAGAACGCATGCTACTATATGCGAAAAGGACTCACCCGTCTGCTAACAAAGACGTACTTTCATGCTATAATTCGTCTTATAGACTGCTGTAAGGCGGTATGGAATACTCACCTTGGGGTGATTGGTGGCGAGGACGAACTTAGGGTTAGGGTTATAAGCAAGCATAAACTGTTTAAAATGTGCCAAAAAATCACAATGAAGGCAGAGATAATTTCTGATATGTTCAATCATCAGTTAAATAATATACGAAACTGCATGAAATTGTGGGAGCACAAGGGAAGTCCAATCGGCTGATATCCATGGGTGCCAGCCAGCCACCCCGAGAATTCCGAGAGCAAGCCATAATTACTCAAGGATTCTCAAACTGTGAATATTGGCACTATTGTATTCTGGCAGTATAATCCCACGTATTTTGCCTTCGGCCTGTCATATAATCATCATCGTGAACATGGAGGAACAGATTCCGGCGTTCACATTGTATAGCTAAGGAGACGCCGACAGCATCGCCTCGATAGTCATTATGACGGAGCAATCAACGATGGCAATGTTGGTTGGAGAGAGGAATAAAAGGATGTATACTATCCTTCCAGGGAAGAAAACTTCGATATTTGCACATGCCACATATATTTCTTACTTCCCCTGCGACATACAGTCATATTGAATGAGTTATTGCCCACTTTTCTGAAAAGAAGTCGATTGTCCACCATGTCCTCAGGAACCGAAGAAGCTCAAAGACTCATCAAGGAGCACTCGGGGAAAAACCTTGATGAGTGCTGCCGGGTGTCGAACTTCAGCAATGAGGTCGAAGAGGTAAGTTGACTGTCTTGGTTCGAGCTTGAGTCTTATTTCCGCCCACCACCGATGAATGAAAGCTCATAGATGATTGTTTTAGTCTATTCGAGGACATATCCACGAAGAACTGGTAAGCTGGTTGTTTTATCGAAAGTTGGCAGGCGACTGTATGCGAGCAAACATTTCGTTGCATGGATTTGCACTGTAAGATATTCCCATCCATGAAAAACAAGGGGTATCTTCATTAAGCCAATCAAAAAAAAAAAATACAGTCTTTTCGAACGATCTGCCATGGAATGCCTCGCGGACGCAACCTGGCTTGAGAAATATCTCATTCAACGCGGCGGCAGATGCAAGCCTACCAATATCGAAGCTCCCAGCTGCGAATTCCCGGATAACCCTGTTGAGCCGGTTATGCCAATTAGCAAGGCTGTCGGCATTGAGCGTAAACTACTCGAGGACCTCGAACGATTGATGGCACTAGCAAGCAAGACTGGAAATTTCTCGCTCTGTGCTGTCCTCGACAAACGGTACTTATACAAGCAGACTCGCCATGTCAAGGACATGGCAGATCTCCTACAGCAAACTGTTCGCGTGTCGAAGCATCCTGGTCATGGTATTTTCCATCTTGACCGCGAGCTGCGTATCAATCAGGGCACCCTGCCATGGGGCAATGCGAATGATCCTGACGCCATCGATACAGCTTTGCAAGCCGTCTGCACACAATTGGGCAAGAGTGACGTGTCTTCTGGTGAATATTGTGATTGAGTAAGCTGGCAGATAAACTTTGAATGGGACTTTTTGTCGTCAAAATGTATGCAGAGAGAACAACCAATATATGACCCACAGCTTTCACATGAGGACTTGCTCATTTAGACAGAACACTGAACGCCATGGAGATGCAAAAAGAAGCCCCAGGAAAACACCCCGAGTACATACGTAATCTATAGGTCAGTCCCACGCCGGTCCAGGAAATAACACTATCCGGGAGAAAAATAAAATAAAAATAGGTACAAGGAGCGAAGCTATCCGATGTCCCTGCAGCAAACAAGGGGGGGAAGGGGGGTGCATGGTGAATTCTAAGGCCCAATCCACTTTAATAAAACCGAGACTAGATGATGCCGATGAACCGGTTTCGCAATATAGTCGTTCATGCCGTTGGCCAGGCATATGTCCGCATCTCCTTTTAAGGCGTTTCCAGTCATGGCAATTATGGGAACATCACGACTCATCCCGCGGATTGCGACTGTCGCCTGCACTCCATCCATCACGGGCATGTTGATGTCCATTAAGATTGCATTGTAGGATAGAGGCTTTTGCTTCACTTTCCGCACCGCTTCGACGCCATTCCAGGCCGTGTCCACCTTTTCGAACCCCATCATGCTGAGCATTTTCAACGTGACTGTCTGGTTCATTATGTTATCTTCAACCAACAAAAGCTGTTTCTGAGGAGCTACCTGTTGAATTTGCGCATTCAAATCTGGATACCTCATTTCGCTGGAGCGTGGCCCGCAGATATTCTTATTGTCGATTATACTCATATTGACCGTCAGCCAGAAGACACTGCCCTGGTTGTCCGGGTTTGGATGAAAGCCAACAGTTCCATCCATGAGCTCTGCTAGACTTTTACAAATCGACAAGCCCAGCCCTGTACCCTGGTACCTTTTATGACTTGACTCGGCAAATCGAGTGAAAGGAGCGAAAAGTGAGCTCACGGCATCTTCAGGAACGCCGATACCCGTATCAATGACTTTCGTCGTGATCTCATAAGAGTTCTTATCTTCCGAATGCTTGGAGCATGTGACCGAGACTCGGACACTACCCTTCTCGGTGAACTTGACAGCGTTTCCAACGAGGTTCTGTATAATCTGTCGATAACGTAGTGGATCTCCCCTCAAATGGTTTGGTAAATGATCGGGGTAGTGAACCTGCAAATCAACCCCTGGTTTCAAAGACGAATGACAATTCCGAGCGACCGCACCAACAACTTCTTGAATATTCACAACGTCCGAGCTTATAGTGAAGGTTCCAGACGACAACTTGGAGTAATCGAGAACGTCGTTGATAATCTGTAGCAAGACGGAGCCAGTGTCTTCAATTATATCAATGTACTCTTTCTGCCTTCCATTCAAAGTTGTCCCAGCAAGCATTTGAATTGCCATTAGCATGCCATTCATCGGTGTTCTAATTTCATGGCTCATGTTGGCTAAGAAGTCAGACTTGAGTTTCGAGGACTCATCAAACGCAGCGATCAGTCGACCCTCGGCTGCCTTTCGCTCAGTGAGATCTCTTGTGACTTTGGCAAAGCCAATATGACGACCAACTGTGTAGACCGGGGTGATCATGACATTGGCCCAGAAGCGCGATCCATCTTTCCGATAGCGCCAGCCTTCATCTTCAACTTTGCCTTCTCTCAGACACAACTCCAGTTCTTTCCCTGGTTTGTCAGCAGCACGATCATCATCACCGTAAAAAATTGAAAAATGGCGTCCAATGATCTCGTCCGAGCTGTAACCTTTCAAAATGGCAGCACCCGAGTTCCACGTAGCTATGTGACCCGATGTGTCTAACATGAAAATAGCGTAGTCCTTGACAGTATCTACAAGAATTCTGTACGTCTCATTGAGGTAGACTAACTCTTTCTTGCTCTGCCGCGCTGTGGATTCTTTCGTCACGTCCTGGGCCGCCAGAAGCACATAGCACAGCTTTCCTTCTTCCTGAATAGGGGTGATGTGGACGTTGAACACGGTGACATCCACGCCATTGTCAATCTCAACATCGTCAATGAGCTGAACAGTGCCACTTTCAACTGCGTGAGTGATGAAACGGTGCAGACTAGTGGTATCAGGAGCGGGGACTTTATGAGCAGGAAGATCATAAATACTGTGGCCTATTACTTCAGTGCGATGGTAGCCGCTGAACTTTAGATGACTGTCGGACACTTGGACCACATGAAGTCTTGCATCGAGCACGATAGTCGGCAATGGAGACAAGGAAAAGATACGCCCAAGATCAGAGTCGCTTGCCGGAGCTGGCTGCTCAAGCGGATCAAGCGGATGAAGCTGCTGCTTATGGTGCGGCCGTCGTGCAGACTCTGGTTCCGCCTTGTCGACGTGAGCGACAGAGAGAACGGGTGGCGATTCTTTGGGCTGCAGCTTGGCTCCTCCGGCCGACTTCACTGAGAGGGGACTGAGCATATTGGCCAGCATCTCATCGCCGCGTTGATCAATGGCCATTGCGGATGATGCCTGGCGGGGGATGGCATGCAGCGGGCGGGGGGCGATAGTTGTAGTAGTAGCCAGCCCCGAATCCAAGTCGCGAAGAATAGCGATAGTTGAACAAAAGGATAGTTTGACACGCGAAAAACCATCGCAGTTAAAACATGGTATCGCTCTCTCGCCTTCTGCAGCAAGAACCAATCAAGGCCTGCGTGGATGTCGCTGCAGAGAAGGCGCTGCCATCTGAGGAAATCCGGTTTTGAATGGCCGCTGCGGCTTCTGATTGGCCGGCAAAGAGTTCCCCCAGGTTAAGGAAGGAACGCCTGGAACGGTACTAACTTCTAAGGCTTCCAGGCCAGGCCCGACCAGAGCCTTGCTGCCTTGGGGCCTTACTGTGGCCTCAGGCATATTTAAGATTCTGCAGTTGCTTGTGTACCGGTAGAGTGACACTGATATATTAATCTTTACTTTTTCTTCTCTGACTGCTTAATACCAAACTGATACGTAAGTGCCCAGATAGTCCAAGCCTGTTCCGGCTTCCGGTTGGCTGTTTGACGCCCGGGCTCGGATGGCCTGAGGAACAGAAAGTTACAACCGCCTTCATCGTCCATCCAAATGAGCGCCCTCCTTCGAAATACGCAAGGCTGCTGGACCTGCCGCGTGCGCAGGAAGAAGTGCGACGGAGCTCGCCCCAGTTGCTCGACATGCCAGTCACTGTCAATCACCTGCTACGGATATGGCTTGAAACCGGACTGGATTGACCGTGGCGAAAAGGAGAAAGCAATGATCGATAGCTTCAAACAAGTTGTGAAGCGCACATCGAGAAAAAAAGCTGTCGCCAAGCCTTCACAGGCCAGTGCCCAACTTTCGACAATTGCACCTAAGGGCTCAACTGGTTCCTCCTCAAGTCCTCGGTCACATGGCTATGAGCCAGATCATGGCTCATCTATGGACGAAAGAATGAAGACGTTACAAGGCGGACTATTATTTGTAAGTATGGTGATATCAGAAAGCGCTGTTGAGCTTTGATGCACATTGTTAATACGCTTACTAGGAACAACCACGCAAGGATCACCATGACAATTTGGTTTTATTCCCCATTTCAGCTCAGGAGTCTGCCTCTTTAATGCACTATCTCGACAACGTATTTCCACTGCAATATCCCATGTACAGAGCCAGCGTTTTGGAGGGAGGCCGAGGCTGGCTCTTGGCCCCCATGTTTCGAATAAAGCCTCTTTATCATGCCACGCTGGCTATCAGCTCATATCATCGTCGAAAGATTGTCAGTTTGCATCATCCCTGTCATGTGGCTGGGTTAGTTGAGCAAGAAAAGCACCTTCAAATTTGCCTAGCCGATTTCCAGGAGCTGTTAAAATCAGCCAACACGTCGCTTGAGAATCTAGTTTGTCCAAGCCATGGATTAGGTATTATGGCCTTGGTCGTTCAGCTGATATTTGTTGAGGTATCTATATCCATATCATTATATTTCGACACACTCTAACTCTGTCTCTGTACTGACAACTTTATCCTATCCCGCTTTGCAAAGTTCTTTACCGGCCAAGGCAGCGAATGGAAGATTCATCTCCGTGCGGCAACAAATATGCAGGAGCGATACTTTCGAGATAACTTAGTTGACTACGGTTTGAGCAAGGGAGCAGGGGCTATCCTGCGCGGTAATCGCAATTTCTCCGTGGATGATGGGCCGACGGTCATGGAAGAGATTGTGATATACAAGTTCTTTACTGGGGTGATAATATGGCTCGATATCGTATCGTCTATCACGGCGGGAGAGGCGCCGCATTTACTGCCCTACCATTTCCGTGATATTTCTTCGACATCTCCTTGGGTTAGACTTGAGGAAATCATGGGCTGTCAAAACCAGGTGATGCTCCAAATTGGTCGGATCGCTGCGTTATACGAACACAAAACCCAAAGCCTACAAAAAGGCTACTTAGTGAACACCTCCATTGAGGAAACCGTAAGGGATATCAGTAGGGAGATTGAGTCCTGTCTTACACAGACAGCATTGAGAGGTCTTGGCTTTTCTATTGGGACAAATACTAGTCCGGTACCAAAGTCGTTGATAACGTCGAATTCGACCACGCTAGTCACACACATGTTTGCTCTCATGGCATGCATTTACCTCCACCTGGTCATATATGGCTTTCAAAACCTAGAGTTATTGGAACCAACCACTTATAAGGCTATGGAGACACTTCGCACCAGGTTTCCTGCTCATCTTCTGCCGGCTATAGTCTGTCCGTTGTATGTGATAGGATCTGTTGCAACACAGGAGGAGGACCGCTTATTTTTCCGACAAGTTTTTGCCTCACCGCCATTGCTGGATCCTTTGTTTGAGCATCGAACGAAAGTCCTGACTGCTCTAGAGGAGGCTTGGAGGAAAAGAGAGGCCAGAAACGACTTTACGTGGGGGGACAGCTTGGAGATGGTCGACGATCTCCTGCTCCTCTAAGCACGTATCATCTTCGCAAGGGGCCAGGAGAGAGTAGCCGGAGTTATTGACCAGATAGTCCTAGCTGTGACCATCATCATCAGTATGAACAGTAATTCATCCTATGGTGAAGACTTGGATCTCAAATTCGTCGAAAAGCTCAAAACATCCAAACTACGCAATGAAAAATGAATATTGAAGATTTGGAAAATGTACTATAATGTTGGCAATGTGTCGTCAAGGTCGGAATTGTCCTGTATATAGGTATTGATCGAAAGCATCTGTAAATATATTCTAGTACATGAATAACTATTCCTTTCCTTCCTCTTCTTCTCAAATAAGGGGTGCTCAAACAAGGGGTGCGGCTTGTAAAAAATAGGCTTGCTTCCTACAGCAGCCACATTCAGTGGTGCAGTGGCCATACAAGGTAGATTTCTCCTTCGGTATCGATATTAGAGGAGTTTCACAACATCCGCAATCTCTACTACAGCAACCCCCGCTCCGAACACAATGACTGTGATGGTTTATCCAAATGTATGGTCTATCATGCCTCGTAATGAACGAATACTGTGGCTTTCGAGCCATGATCACCTCTCTACTATGCACATTGTCCATTAGTTGGGTAGACAATAATCGCCGGATTTTCAGTTGATGCTCATAGTAAAGGCCCTGAGTTTCTCGCAACTGTTTGTCAATGTCGGATAATTCCAGTAGTAGCTCCTGGTGTTGCTTCTCATGTTGTTCTAAATGTTGTTGTTGTTGCTTTTCAGATTGTGCAGCCGTGGATATGATTTCCTCTCTTGTTTGGGAAAGACGCCTTTCTCGTTGTAATATCATAATACCTATGGATTCCTCTTTTTCGTAGGCGTCCCTCCATTCTCTTCCAGGCGCGAGATGACAGACGCCCCGGATCCATCTTGCTGCCGGGTGAAGTCGGCAGAAGTCCATTGCTCGATCATCTTGATATCCCTCTTGGTACTGTTATCTTTCAGAGTGACGAGTAAAGGAAGTGCAAGTGCAAGAGCAAGAGAAATAGAACCACCGGAAAGAGTAGATACTGAAACAATCAACCAGTGTACTCGTCATTCATATGTTTACATGCAGTTTTATAGTGCGTGTTTGAGGTGGAAGCCCGGGGCAGCGCTAATCACAAGCGGTAATTCACGGCCGAGCGCGCTCTGCGCTCTGATTCGTAGCTGGCTGCGGTGCGTAGTCCGCGCTGATTGGGTGTTGTCCGCGCTCTGCCCTATGATTGGCTCAAACGTAGATATAGTCTTCCATTTTCCAACGACCATCGAGGCTCGTTTGCACAGCAAAATAGTACCAAGATGCGATGGTTGTTAAGTATTTGTAATCTCTTGCAAAGCTTGATAATCATGGCGGTGGCAGATGAATTGCTTGAATATATAAACGGCTTGTACCTTGGCTCTTCTCGTTCTGCAGATATTCATCTCTTCATTCACGATTCCTTTCCAACATCAACCGATAGTTAGCACGCTGCCATGCAAGAAACAAAAACCATAGTTATCCTTGGAGGATCCTTTTCCGGTGTGAGTATTGCTCATCGAATCTTGAAACAATCAGCAAAGACAGGGTCGTCCGTCAAGATCGTCCTCGTGTCTCCCAATACCCATGTCTATTGGAGTGTCGCTACGCCTAGGGCTTTAATCCCCGGACAATTCGCCAACGACAAGCTTTTCCAGTCCATTACTGAGGGCTTCAAGCAGTATTCCTCCAAACACTTCGAATTCGTCCGCGGCACTGCCCAAAGCCTCGACCCTGCCGCTCGGAAAGTGGGAGTTTCTACCAGCTCCGGGGCGCAGAAAACCGTTGAGTACGACTTCCTCATCCTCGCCACTGGGTCTAGGAACAAGGACAATGATGGCGGAGCTATAGTGCCATTTAAGGGACTAGAATCAACCGAGGCAACAAAAGCTGCTCTGCAAAACATCCAAGCAGTGGTAGACAAATCGAAGACGATAGTGATCTCCGGTGCCGGTCCGACTGGGGTCGAAACTGCTGGAGAATTGGCATACGAGTATGGAGCAAAAAAGAAGATTATTCTAGTAAAACCACCATTTTCCTTTTCGCCTATAGCGAGAAAGAAACATATGACTGACTATATATCGAACAGCTCACCAGTGGTCGGACAGTTCTTACTACAACAACCCCTAGTGTTTCGAAGACAGCATTAGGCATGCTCAAGGATTTGAAGGTCGAGGTCAAGCTAGAAACAAGGGTTACTACGTCAACACGGACGACAAGAAATGGCTCGGATCAAGTTGAACTCAGTCTGTCGGACGGAAGCAAATTGACCGCTGACCTCTACATTCCTACATACGGCCTAGTTCCGAACTCGTCGTACATTCCTGGCAAATACCTTAACGCAGACGGGCTCGTCAAGGTGGATGAATACTTTCAAGTTAAGGGGCTCGAGAACCAGCATGTGTGGGCCATTGGTGATATCTCCGACCTTGAATCACCGCAGGTTCTGCCCGCTGATAGACAATCAATTCATCTGGCCAAGAACATCGCCTTGATCTTGAGTAATAAGCCTCCAGTACCATACAAGGAGGGCTCGCGTGGTTAGTTTGCATTTCTCTAGATATTTCAAAAGCTTTGTTTATGGTTCTAATGTGTGATATCTTCTCACAGCTTTGGGTCTTCAAATCGGCAAAAAGACTGGCACTGGGCATTTTGGGAGTTTCAGAATTCCGGGCTTTATCGTCACTTATCTCAGAAAGAACTTGTTCGTTGAGCAATTAGGGTCCATGGTCAATGGGTCTGCGTATTGATCGATTTTGTTATTCCCCCTTCGCTACAGGCAATGCGTACATATAGATAGAATGCTCGAGTTCGTCGGTTAATGGTTTTCTTCGCCTTCAGGGCATGATTATATTTTGTTCTTTCTTCATTTATTATAACCATGGATATTCATACGTTGACACTTTACACAGGACTCGCTAGTCTTTAGAAGACGTAGAAATTAAATATGATGAGCTCAGACAAAAGAGGAAAAAAGCAGGCTTACACCTTTGCAGCATCATCTCCTGCTCTACCAACTTCTCTTCCCAAAAGTCTGAGATACGTCTTGAATCCCTCCCACGCCGTTTCGCCCTGAATACCCACAAACGCATACGGAGCAGTCTCTTCAACGATCCTGCCAGGATTGCCCTCTCTCACCTCCCTCATCACCCTAGCGCTCTCCCTGATCTCCTCCTCAGTCACCCACAGCCATTTCATATGCTCCGCCGGAGACAAGCGCACTTTCTCCTCCCACTCCGGCGTATCAACCGACTCATGCACATCAACCACAAACGTAAATTTAGCAACTCGATGATTTACCCCGCGTTTGTGCACCGTCCACGCGTCGACTCGTACCAATTCCCGGATTTTGCGCACATGGAAACCCGTCTCCTCAAAGACTTCGCGCGCCACGCCGTCCAGCAGGGTCTGGTCAGTGGGCTCTAGCGATCCGCCGGGGAAATCCCAATAGCCACCCCATGAGTCTGTGATGGCGCGTTGGATGATTAGCATGAGCGGTTGGCTTTCTGGTTTGGAAGTGGGCTTTGACAGGTGCTCTTCTTTTGCAAGACGAGAGGCTGACGATGCCGGTAGGCGGTGTGTGAATATAAAGGCTCCAAGAACATAGTGGGTGTGCTGGGGGTGCGCGATGGCAAAGTCAGAGATGGGCACGTCGAATTCCTCTGCTAGATGAGGCGCAACAGTGTAGCTATAAAACGATGAGCCAGCTTTGTTGGTGGCCATTATAATACTTTCTTTTTTTTAGCCCCTCAGAATAATACGTGCAGTATTCTCTGGTCGCTATTTCATTCTGTTCGATGAGGAGTGATAAATTTGTCGGATACCTTAAGACTTCACAAATGAAACATGAAGAGTGGCCGGCGGTTACCTAGGCCGCCATCCTTACATATGTACTCGCTGTTCACAGCGAGTCAGCCTTGAGAGTCTGAGTGCGCTTCGACACTTTAACAAAGCCAAATCGGTTTGCTTGGTGTTCATGAATGTTTTGACTTGGACATTGCTAGTTAACTATCAATCAATGTAATGACTAATCTCATGGTCCGGTCGTTCCTGTACCTGCCAATAATTCTAATAATTCTACCTAACATATACATTGTGGTTGGTATGCTGCAAATATCTAAGTCTGTGGAAATTTAATCTATCTACCATAGTAATGCCATGAGCTGCCCTGCAGACTATTATCTCAGTGCTCAGGCAGCTCAATGTCATCTTCGGCTGGCAATACTCCGTCAGCTTGCAACTTGAGAGCAACCTCGTCTACCTTCTTCCAGACTCTGAGCAAGTTTCCCCCTGCTACCTTGGCAGCATCTGCATCACTAACCCCGCGTCGGAGTAATTCAGCAATCAGATCTGGATACTTGGAAACATCGTCGAGGCCTGCAGGGGTAGACTCTATTCCATCAAAATCACTGCCCACGCCAACGTGGTCGAAGCCAATGAGATCACCGATATGCATGATGTGGCTGGCAATATGAGAAAGAGTTGCGTTCGGAGGGTAGTAGTCGGGAAGCCCATCTTCTCGGTCGGATGCTGTGCAGCTGGTGAATTGCGGATAGAAGTTGACCATAACCAGAGAATCAGTCTTCTTGACCAGCTGCAAGATCTCATCTGTCGGATTGCGAGGATGCGGGCAAAGAGCATGAGCGGAGCTATGGCTGAAGATAATTGGTGCTTGGCTGCCAATCCATTCGTCTTCACCGGCCCCGAGGACATCGCGCATGGTGTCCTCGCTGACATGTGAAAGATCAACAATCATGCCAAGTCGATTCATTTCGGAGACAACAATCTTCCCTTTCTCGCTGATACCGTTCCATACTGGATCCGCCTTTTTAACTCCGCCTCCAGGAATCTCCACCAAGGCTGCATCTGCATATATATTGTGACAATTGTGCGTCAGTGTCGCGTACCTGACACCAAGTTTGTAAAAAGCTCTAAGATGTGTCAGAGAATTGCCAATAGAGTGCAAACCCTCGATGCCCAAGGGTGAGATGATTTTGCCGCTACGGAACTCTCCTAGTGCTGTAGTGCCATTGGGAGATTCCGAGAGGATACTGCTGAACTCTTGCTGAATTCTCGTCATTACATCGACCTGTTCATAGGTCATTTGCACGCTTTGTGCGTAATTCTCGTTGGAAAAGTCCTCTCCGTCTTTAGGGCAAGGAACGAAAACACTCCAAAAGGTACCGCCCACCTGACCGTCGGCCAGCCGTGGGGCGTCCACATGGCCAGTCAAATTGCCAAATGCGAAGCGCTTGATAAAATCCGAGCTATATATTTTGTTTCCATACGCGGCTCGAACAAGAATGGGAAGATCATTGTGGCCGTCTATTAGGAATCAGCCGCGACTCGGTCTGCCATTTAGGAGCAGCAAGATAAACAACCACTCACCGATCAGAGGCGTGTCACTCAGAATCTTGTGGACTCGGTCCTCTATACTTTTAAGTGGCGATATCCCCGTAGTATGGCAATGCCGGAAAGACGTGGTACTCCATAAAGCCAGGGCGATTACCGTTAACAGCGATGCAAGCGCGACAGACCAGAGTCTGGAGCGCCGGGGAGCGCCGATGTTGATGCTTTCTGTGGTCTGCAAGACTGCAGGAGAAGACTGGCCCTCGTCTAGCAGGAGGCCGAGCTTCTCATCGTGAGAATCCATGTCAGCTGGTGAATGGTTACGAGAATGGGGGGAGAAAGCAGGAGGAGATAACTTACGATGGTAAAGTTGATCTCTAAGCAGGAGCTTCCGCTCGGCCAATCACGTCACTTTGCGTCCTGAGGCAACCACTCAGGCTGCCCCGCCGATATCTAATCCGATTTTTCTGTTCCTCCGCTCAATCGCTCACTCACTCACTCAACTCGCTCAGTCAGCGTACCGGGTCAAAGATCCATTTGATATGGCAGACTCTTCCCTTGTGTCAGGTAAGATCGTTCGCAGTAAAGCATTAGTGAACCTGGCTCACGTACCACAGGCTTGCTGTCGGCCTGGCACACCTTCCGCATCCCCATTATCGTTTCGCTGGCGGTTGTTGTCTTTCTCGTACGATCACTCAATCTATCACGACGATCAAAATCGCCATTATCTAATTCGCTGCCGCCGTCGCCGCGCCTTGGAAATGCCACATCCACGGAGAAACCTGACGTCACTCTGCTCGATTCAGAGTCGATTCAAACAAGCGACAAGCCGAAACAGAAAGCCGCTGCATCTGGCCCAAAGAGGGTCATCGGAAACAAGCAGCTTCGAGGGGGCAAGCACTCGCGCCAGGCCGATCAATTAACTGGCCCGTCATTCATCAAACCGATTATCTTTTTCGCGTCCTTGACCGTATCCACCGAAAAGCGAGCGCGTTGGCTGGCAGAAGAATTGCGCAAAGCGGCACATAGAAAATCGCAGCCAGGTGATAAGGAACAGGGTCTTCTCCCTCCGGATATTTATGATCTGTCCGAAATAGACTTTGATGACCACTTTGTGTCCGCACCGAAATCACCGCCAAACTCTCCCAATACCAGATACGTCTATTGTATTCTGATTCCGACCTACAATATCGACACCATCATCGACACATTCCTTAGCCACCTGGATGAGATTCATCATGACTTCCGCATTGATACCGCGCCATTATCAAGTCTGGCAGGATACTCCGTGTTTGGATTCGGAGATAGAGAGGGCTGGCCCACAGAAGAGGAGGGTTTCTGCTCACAGGCCAAAGACTTGGATCGTTGGATGGCCAAGCTTACTGGCAAAAAGCGTGCATACCCTCTTGGCATGGGCGATGCCCAAACTGATGCTGACAATGCATTGAAGGAATGGACGAGCGGGCTGGCGGAGGTTTTGTTTGACATTGTCGAGACTGGTGGTCTAGGCGAAGGTATTCCCGGAAGTGGCGATGCTTATGAGAGTGATGAAGAATCATTAGCCGAAGATGATGAAAGCATCACCAAAGCTTCTAGTAACGCCAAGGGTGCACAGACTGTGATTGACCTGGAAGATATCAATCTCGGTGGGAGCGGCAAGAAACGAAAAGGTGGTCCATTACCCGTTGATTTTACGACCATGGGGAAAACCCCAGCTAGTCAGTCGAATCTGAAAGAAATGGTGCCGTCCTCTTCACCGACCTACGCCGCTCTCACGAAGCAAGGATACACAATTGTCGGATCCCATTCTGGTGTCAAAATTTGCCGATGGACCAAGTCAGCTCTTCGAGGTCGTGGTTCATGCTACAAGTATTCTTTCTACGGCATCAAATCTCATCTTTGCATGGAAACTACCCCGTCGCTATCATGTAGCAACAAATGTGTCTTTTGTTGGCGCCATGGCACGAACCCAGTAGGAACCACGTGGCGATGGAAGGTTGACCCTCCGGAGTTAATCTTCAAGGGAGTCAAGGAGGGCCACTATAAGAAAATAAAGATGCTGAAGGGTATTCCGGGTGTCCGAGCCGAACGATTTGCGGAAGCTATGCGCATCCGACACTGTGCTTTGAGTTTGGTCGGGGAGCCTATTTTTTATCCTCATATCAATGATTTCCTTGGCATGCTACACGATGAGCAGATCTCCAGTTTCTTGGTATGCAACGCACAGCATCCCGATCAACTGGCTACTTTGCACCGGGTAACACAACTATATGTATCCATCGATGCAAGCAACCGTGACAGTTTACGAAGGATTGACCGTCCTCTGCATCGCGATTTCTGGGAACGCTTCCAACGCTGCTTAGACATCCTTCGCGAGAAACGCCACATTCAACGAACGGTCTTCCGCTTGACTCTTGTGAAAGGGTTCAATGTCGAAGATGAGGTTAGTGGATATGCGGACCTCGTTGAAAAGGGACTGCCATGTTTCGTCGAAGTCAAGGGCGTTACATATTGCGGCACAAGCTCAAGTGCAGGCGCAGGCCTGACGATGCAGAATGTACCTTTCTACGAAGAAGTGGTGGCATTTGTCGTTGCATTGAAAGACGAACTTCAAAGACGGGGTTTGAAATACGGCATTGGCGCAGAACACGCGCATAGTTGCTGTATCCTGCTCGCGTCTCAGCGGTTTTATGTTAACGAGAAGTGGCATACAAGAATTGATTACGATCGATTTTTCGAGTTGTTGCAGAAGGAAAAATCCGAGGGGATCTCATTTTGCCCGGAGGACTACATGAAAGAAACAGAAGAATGGGCGCTTTGGGGCAATGGAGGATTTGATCCGAATGACACACGGGTTCGTAGGAAGGGGAAAAACAAAGATCCCGTTGTCGTTGAGCAGTGAAACCAGAGCTGCAAAGAAGAGGCAAAAAGAAAAAAAAAAGAATAACCGGATATGATGTCTCCAATGATATCTATTCTAAGGATCTCCGTATTGAACGCTTTGTGAGAAATTGTGAGAGAGTATCAATACATGAGGCCTTGATTGTCTGGAGGCGTCTTCAAGACAATGCCACCCTTGCAGCTAAGAAATGCTGCGCGGCGTCTGATTACGCATGGAGCTTTGGGTTCTGTTTAACAAACATAAGGAATCTATGATACTATTAGATAACCCGAGCTTGGAACTTATGTCTGAATCCAAGTGCTTTTTCCATGTCTATGCTATTTCTGTCTAGCATATGCATATGACAAATGATACATGCGTACAACCATGGGTATAGAGATTTATCAGTACGCCAGCCTACCTACATAGTGTCAGTCTTATCTATTGGTCATCGTGTGATAGTATAGATCCTTCCTTCAAATCAAACACTAGGCATAAAACTGAAATTCAAAGTGTGCTGGCTCTGTTCAACCTCTTCATCGCTCACAAAATTCGCCATAATCTCAATATCATCATGGTGGAAGAAGTTGAGAGAACTCTCAGGTAGCTAAAACCATGTATGATCAGAATCCCCTTGTAAACGAATCAATCATATAGACCGACGTAGATCTCACCTTCAATCTCTGGGTGTAATTTGGATACCATCGAGCCTGATACCCCGTCGCCAGCATGATCCGGTGCTCATCACTCGGATTGGGCATACCGCAATGCCACAAACGGAGATCTCTTAACGAGATACTCCCCTTTTTCATACGGACCTGAATCGGTGGCCTTTCAGAGCGACGCTGCTCCAGTCGTTCCTCTTTCACATTGCACGTAATATTCCCATCCTCGTCATAGGCCTGATCATCTGAAGTCGTGGCCCGGTGCGATCCTAGCCAGAACTCCGTCGAGCCATTTGCAGGCGAGAAGTCGCTTAGTGGCACGTTGGCGATTACATAGAATGGGGCTGTGACATGGTCAGGCCATCGGATATCCTTGTGAACTGGTTGGCGCAGACCGGCTGTATGTCTGAGCGCGTTGTTCCCCGTGATGAAGTTCCAGCGCGGGCGAGCGCCGAGGTATGCATTCATCACTTGGATCACGAATGGATTCATGTAGATGTCTTCAAAGATATATCCTGGTTTGAGTGGGGCGCAGTGAAGAATGTTTGAGCGAACGCCGTGGTTGAAGTATGATCCGGGTTTTTCTAGCAGATGATCGGTCTCTTTTTGCATGTAGTCGTTGATGGTGTCTACATGGGCGATGTCAACTACGTCTTCGAGAACGACGAGGCCGTCCTCATGCATCTTGACTAGGATCTGTTGCAGCGTGCTGATCGAGTACTTTTGCTTGGCTTTCTCTTCCGGGTTCGCCTTGAAGGCTGCCGGGCCGTCGATTTCAGCCATGATAAATTCTTTAGGGAAAGCTTTCTGGTACGAAACCTCGGTATTTGACGTCGGTTGGTTGGAGTACAGATTGATCTGGCACTGGATTGTCAACTATATAACTAGTATTATAGTGAGATAGCGAGGCCTAACTGGATTGGACGAGTGATTTGGGTATTCAGAGATTATAGATAAGAAATCATAATCCAACCTTGGAACTCCACCTAGGTAACTAGTATGTAACCTGTAACTATAGTAACTCCATGTTATATAGACTTATAGACCGTGATGTACCTAGATATACAATATAGTGGACATACTGCTGACATGATGGGTTTATCTAATCTAGTATCCCTTGACGGTTTTCACATGTTTAATATTCTCCCAGACCCACGGCGTAAGTGTAGAACTAAAATCGTTGCTGAATTTGATATTGAGATAATTATAACCCTCGTCAGGAACCCAGTCAACCGCGAACTTGGATTGAGCATAGTTCTCCAATGACTCGATGGTTGGACGAAGAGAATGCGGCATGGGCGTTTTGACGCCGTTCTTGTACCAGCTGCTTGTAAAATGTGTTGTTAGCATGAATGAATAGCCAGAGGAGAGGCTAAGGGAAAGGTTACTCACGCAGCGTAGTAGACGATAGCAAGCATAATTCGTACATCCGACGTGGGATTTGGCATTCCGGCGTGCCTACAACAACAACAACAATTGTCGATTCTCAGTACTGACTCAGAGGAGAAATCTGTGGAATATCTTCTATTCACCATAATCTTAGATCTCGTAGCACGATCGAACCCCTCTTGATCCTGGGATAGCATGGTGGCCTGATTTTCCGGCGCGCCTCCAATTTGTGTTCTGCGATCATGGGCTCTCCGAGTTCACGATGATCACTGATGTTCGTGTTTTGTGTGCCTAGCCATAGCTCAGTAGTGCCATTCTCGGGGCCGGTATCAACGAGGCAGGTGTTGAAGGCGATTGCGAAAGGATGCTCTGGATGCTCGAACCGAATGTCGGCATGAACCATTTGACGCTCCTCTGTGGCTAGTAGTGTATTGGAGCGAATGAAGTGAACTTCAGGTCGTGGACCGAGGATGTTTGACACAATTCTAGCTCCGTGTTTGTTGGCATATACTTCCGGAAAAAGCCATTCTGCGCCATAGTAGGTTAACTGGGGATTCTCAGGATGTACAAGTCCAAGAAAGAACTTTTATCTACGTTTGTGCTTTAACGACCTCACCTTTGTCTAGTGGTGGGACTTGTGACAAGTTTCCCCCTGCTGCTGGACCCTTGGTTGCGGCATTGACATTCAAGTGGCTGTTGTTCTCTTCAGTCCTCGGTCATAATAAAATACGTTTAAAAGCCCTAACAGACTCACTTGAAGTGCACTTCACCAGCACCACCAAGAAGCTTCTCGGTGTCTTGCAACATCCTGTTATTTAGTTTGTCGACTATTGCTACATCAATGGCATTTTCAACGACAACCAGGCCATCGGTGAAAAAGGCCTCTATAGCATCGTAGAGATTCTGATCACTCATAAAACCACTGTCTCGTTCCTCGTCGGTGAGGACAATGACCTTGGGCCCATCAACAGTCAATGCTGCAGGCATAGCGTAATTGCTCCAGGTTTTAGGGCTAAGTAACGTATACTCTTGCGAAGTTTGTGAAATGAGATGAAACGACATCTCATCATGCACCCAAATTCCTTACCTCAGAAATCTGGATCTTGAAATCATAATGCCATTTCCTCAAGCCCCGCGCCGCTCATACGCTGGGGTTGAGGAAAGACTCCAACCCTATCGCTGCGTGTGGCTATTTAGGAATTCTGCCGACCTCCATCGGCTGCAACTCCGGCCAAGCGAAGTACATTCATGCGGAGTTACCCCCGCTACTCAGCAGTCTTCCTAGACCATCGGTCATTACGCCGACGATGCAAGCAGAGTGATGTTCTGAACCGGACAAGCCTATGATATCAATCGATTACCGCTAAATTGAAAGCAAGCCAAGTGATTTCGGATAACCTTTAGAATACCATGGCCGAACAGCACGTCTCTTTCAAAATCGAAGACTTATTCTCTGTCAAAGACAAGATAGTTGTTGTCACCGGAGGTGGCTCCGGTCTTGGTAAAGCCATCGCCGAGGGCTTCGCTGTCAATGGCGCCAGAGTGTACATTTCTGGTCGAAGGAAGGAGACTTTGGAGACAGCCGCGAAGCAAATTGAAGGGGATATCCATGCGTGAGGTTTTGTGTCATCTGGTTTGAATTCCAGCTGACTTGAACACAAGAATCCAGGGAGACGTGCAGACGGAAGCAGGCTGTAAATCTATTGTGGAAATAGTTACAGCCCGTGAAACCCATGTTTGTTCCCTTTGGATTCTTATTAGTTCTCTTAATACCCAAATGCTCATAACGTCACCGGCGTTCTGTAGATAGACACGCTCATCAATTGCGCCGGAGTGAATAGTCCGTGGAGAGTGAAGGCCAAAAATCATAACGACCGTGAGTCTTCCCAAGAAAGCAGTATAAGATAGAAAGATATTCCATGACTTGACGCAAGACTAACCCTGTGCAGCCGATCAAGTTGAAAACCTTCTAATCAACGGAGTGAACGAAGAGGATTTTGACCGAAGTAACCAGAGTTAGTGCCTTGTCACACATTACGTTGACATTCAATCAATAACTTCAATTGCAGTTAACGTCAGCGGCGTCTACTTTCTCACCGCAAATTTCATCCCTCTTCTGCGCAAGTCAAAAGATCCAAATGTCTGCATAATTGCCTCGCTGGCGGGATTGGGCAACCAAAGGTTAGAGATATTTTTGGCATTTTGCGGTCTCAAGGCTGACGTATAAAAGGTCCATGGGATCTCTGACCTACGGTGTTTCCAAAGCTGCTGGTGAGCGACCTTTTTATTGTGTAGTGAGTGGCTGCTTAGACTTACGATGTTTTCAGTCATTCACCTTGCCAAACTCCTTGCCGGCCGTCTACACCCGTAGGTTTTCTGCTAGGGCATTTGCATAAGAACCATGTTCACACATATATGTAGTATTAAAATCCGCGTTAACACCATTTGTCCCGGCATCTTCCCCTCTGAGATGACTGGCGTAACCGCTGGCAAACATAAGTACAACATCAATCATCCGGCTGAAAAGGCGGCACTCCGGTCTACTGCAGGCCGCCCCGGTCGTCCTGAGGAGATCGTAGGCCCTGTGCTCATGCTGTCCAGCGCGGGTGGAGGATATATGAACTGCGCGTTGTTGACGGTGGACGGTGGACGGCTAATGGGCGTCTCGATAAATGATGGGATTCGCATGCCAGATAACTTGTATACGTGAGTCTTGCTTCCCACAAAAGTTACGGACATATGTAAGTTCAGTGTGTTAATAGAGATGTCCTCTAGTGATGAGATCCTAGGGTAGGTTCTGCCCTAATTGTGACATCAAGTTGGACAAAGAAATCCAAGAACAAAACATACAAAGTATTTTTATGTACCCTGCTAGGGGTTGGTTCGATTATGAATTGCCAACAGATTGAAGCAAAAGAAACAGATATGATGGCCGTAGTTGAAATCAGGTGACACTTCTATCACAGATGGCAGTTTCCTCTTTCTACTCTGCCTAACTCTCCTACCTGAGACTTATGGATTGAAAATTGATCAAGTTCATTCATACGCAAAGATCACTAAGCTTAATGCAACAAGTCTTCGTCTTAGCGCAATGCCAACCAGCGTCTCAAACGCTACTTCCGTACTGAAGGGTGCTTTTGAAGGCCCTCAATACCCAATATATCGCCAATTCAAATCAATTTGTTGTTCAGTGACTCCGCTCTTTATAGCCCGGCGTTGCTCTTCAGGAGTGCCTGATAGCAGCTTATTCAACCCCCGAACGTGCATCCTGTAAGCCGTGATGACGATGAAGAATGCAACGACGCAGCCGAGTACTATCAGCAAATATGTCAGTAGGGCCCCTTGCACTCGCATGAAAAATAAATTCTTGCTTTTGAAGGGAGAGACTAACAGCACCCAAACGCCGCATAGTAGTGAGGTGAGCCGTAATAAAGGTAGCTTGTCCAGACATTCGATATTCCACCGATGGCGTTGATCATGGCCACGCCAGCTGCCCGCTTGGGATAAGGTCGTGCCATATGGATGTTCAGGGTTTTGTAAAGCAGGATCTGCGGCCCAGCACAGACAGTTGGCATCAACATCATCGCAAAATACCGCGGGCCAGTCTTAGTTGTCGCCATCGCAACAACATAGGCAACGACTGCACAGGCTAAGCAGATGACATGGATCGGATAGATAACGTTTTTGCGCTGGATCAAAGTCAGAGAGTGTAGTCAGTTTCTTGCTCACTTAGGATATCAAAGCATCTAAATAAAAGCTGTCTCGAGTCAGTGAGGAAATCAAACTTACGTCACTAATATAAGAGATAATATAGAATAAGATGGCTGCTAATAAGAAAGGCGGCGCGGTAAGCAGCAGAGTTATGTTCTTGTTATATCCTAACGTCTCGACAATAGTTCTAATGCAAATAAGCTTAAGCAGAGCTATAGGTAAAGCAACTACTATTCAAATCTAGGAGCACTTACGGAAAAAAGTTCGTTGTTGAGCCCATAGCCTGGGACATTCCCATACACCATACCAAAGCCCAGACCTTTGGATCTAAACATGCACGCCTGAAGCCCTCCAGAACCGAGGTCTCTTCGTGGGCTTCACCAGCTCCAGCTTCCATTTCAATTCGCCAAACGGCATAGTCACGTTCAGTCTGATTTAGCAGGCGAGCATTGTGTGGATATTCAGGCATGAGCATGGCGGAGATGAGCCCGCAACCAACTGTTGTGGTACCCTCGCTGAAAATGGTCAGGTAAACTCGTACACCCAAAAGTTTTACGCAAAGGAAAGAAAGACGAACACAATAAAAAGCCATCTCCAACCCGCAATGCCGTACCGCCCATTCAAAGTGAGACAAGCTGCAGCAATGAAACCTCCAAAGGCACTCCCAAGCATCTGAAAGACGAACAGGGCTCCCAAACGTTTGCCAAGTTCCTTTTTGGTATACCAAGCGCTCATCAAATAGATGACTCCTGGGAAAAAGACGGCTTCAGTGATACCTAGCATGACACGGATGGCCAGGAGTGATTTGTACGACTGGACAGCAGCGGTAGCGGCACTGACACTGCCCCAGATAGTTGCTGCGCTGCAAATATCTTTGGCCTGGTCAGCAAAAAGTGCTTTTACTTTACTGACAAGGCTGTTGACTTACACAAGCCGGGACGAGGAATTCGCGTCATGATCAAGTTCGATGGAATCTGGAAGGGAATATACCCAGCTGGCGACTGTTAGAAACCCGGAAAACTATATGGAGTGAACCAGCCCACCGAAGAGGATTGAAATCGCAGTAGCAAAGTTATTTGTGGTCATGTTCAAATCGTCCATGATCCCGTACACTTTGGCTGCTGCTAGAGCAGATCGATCGACATCTAGTTACGAGGATGGCCTCTTAGTTCGCTCTGCTCAATCGTTCTCGAGGTATCTGGTTCTTACAGTTGAGAATGTAGAGTACGCCCATGATAGGCCTGTTATTGGTTAAATTAATGCAAAGTTATTACAGCATCCTCGGAATGGGAAATAGGGTCGTACATGATGACCATATCAATCTTGCGAACCATTTTCGTTTCCAGTTTCTGAAGTTCTGCTGGGCTCAAGCCTCGAATACTTTCGGGCTTTTCCACCACATTGTCAAAATCCTTTCCTTTGTCCGCAACCTCTAGGTGGGCGACGTCTTCCTTGGCAATGCCGTCTCTGGTCGAGGTAGATGAACCGGTGTAGGGGTCGACGTTTGTCTGAATTGAAGACATGACTGCTGCTAATTTGTTTAAAAGCTACTAAGGGTGATACTGAAAGTCCAAAAGAAACAAAATCATAGATTATCCTGGGACAGCTCTGGCTACAAATAGATACCGAAACGAGTGAATCCGCAGACATAAGTCCTGCTTTCTGCATGGGCCGTCGGACTGTTCGCCGCGAAAACCTAATGCTATGATCACAAGCTTCCCCACGGGGTAAACTGCAAGTCTTGGCCCAAATATCCCCGCTAGACTGCCTACTAGCTAAGTTGCCTGTCTACGCGGGCAGGTATGCAGTTGCACAAGGCGATAGGTTCGCTTCGCCGCCATTGACACCGATTCGCTCGCCAAATTTCCAATTTCGATATCGGCCGCGATTAAGCTTGGGTCCCCGTTGTCTCTTGACTCTTGACTCTTGTTTGATTGGTGATGGCTAGGTAGCCTAGAGACTAGGGCAGGTAAGTAAGAGATCAGCGGAATAAATATATCACTTTGCCTTGTACTTCCTTCGTCGAGTTCCATCATCCTCATGCTTGAGGATTGCTACATCGTTGGACCTCGTTGGGCCTTGTTTTCACAGGTCAAGACAAGGCTGTATGCAATGCTTCCCCCATTGAGCTGAAAGCCGCACTCCTATGCTCAGGACATTTGTCTATGCAAGCATTGCCTCTCTCGCCAGGCACCTTGCACATATGAAGGAGGAAAAGTGAGAAAAACAAAAAGATTTTGATGACGTCCCGTGATTGGCCAGACAGCAGAGAGCTTCCAAGAGCGCATAAACCAATCATACGCGTGCAAGCAAGCAAAAGCAGCAAACATGCCCCACCGGAAAATCTCTTCAGCCCGTCGGCACCTGTCCCAGAGAGGAATAGCGGCACCAGGCAGCTGGCCCCACTCGTGTCTATATAAAGCATCTTCCTCTCCCGCTCTTTTGCTCTTTTTTTCTTCTTTTTTTCTTCATAGCGACTCTACTTCAAAGAATCACTTCATTAGTAGACGTCTTCCGCTGTTTTTTCGAAAATAGCCACAAATCCCACCCTTGCTGATGACCTCCATGTCCTCGATGCCCTAAAGTGAAATTTTCGGGCTTGCTTCTATGCGAAGTTTGTCTGTTTTACTCCCGCCTCGAAGTCGATCTTGTTTTCTTAGCTGTGTCCTTCCGGGATACGCAGATTGGGGATCTGTCTTCTAGGGAGTGGTGATGATCTTTACCTTGTTCTGGTGTCTTGACTTCGGTCGGCTGGACTTGGTGGGTGTCGAGGAGGTCTGAAAGGCCTTTATCTTATGTTTTCAGGATAGTTTTACCAATGAGAACCGATTTCTACTTCGCATCATATTTGATTCTTTTTGGGGTAAACCTTGTAGCTGAGAATTTCCTTCACTTTAATTGTTACCGAAACAATTTTAGTGTTATGGGGCTCTGTAGTATAACTATGTTGACTCGACGAGCATAGGGGATACCAATGTCTCCAGGGCCATTGATTTAGACAAAACAATGCCTTAGGATTGACTGGTTCAGGAAATTCATGATTGGCATCCATAATTCAGAAATGCGGCCTTTGATCATACATCACATGGGTATCATATTCGTAATAATCCTACCTAAGATATCTACATCTACGACTAGGCTTCGCTAGGTGTCGCCTCTCCTGTTTCAGTCTTTCCACCATCACCAGCTGCCGTGGCTTTCTTATGTCCTCTGCCTCCCCGTGTGCGGGGCCCTCGAGAGCGTTTCTGAGTGCCAGCAGGCTGCTGAATAGGTGTCGACGGCGCTTCTGACGACGATGGTTCATCCACTTTAGCTGCCTTGGCTTGCGTTGGCTGGTTCTTCCTTTCCAAAACCACCACCTGACTCTGTGCCACTGTCACAGGACTAGCCGCGATCGCCTTTTGAAGACTACCTGCGTCGGCAAAGTCGACGTATCCAAATCCTTTCTTTCTGTCAACCTCCACCTTGGCCACCTTACCGAAAGCGCTGAATGCTGTCTGAAGCAGATCTTCCGTAACACCTTGAGATGGGTTCGCGTGCTTCAGGAATGCTTGTGTGGCCGTTGGGGATACAGTGGGTTGCTTGGCCTTTTGTTGTTTTGGAGCTCTTGGTGCTCTTGAAGAAGGGCCTGGTGAGGTTGTAGCACTGTCAGCAGCTGGAGACGCGGTATTTGAGCCTCCTGATGTTGTTGCGGTGGCAGGAGGATTGGCTTTGGAAGCCGTGCCCTTCGAGGCATTGTCCTTGGCTCCTTTTGTATTTGTTTTGGCATTTTTTGGCCCTGTCGGCATCGTAGGAGCCGAAGGGATCGATTCTGCGCTGACCTCATTGTTCTTTGTACGATCATTCTCTGCGGTAGTTGTCGCAGCTTTTCCGCGCCGTCGGCCACCAGATGGTGCGAGCCCCAAGTCCCGCTGTACAATTTTCGCTGCGACGCTAACATCCCCCCGTTCTCGTTCTCGTTTACGTTCGGACGCGGCAGCAGGTGCAGTAGGCAGCTGTGCAATCTCTTTGGTAGATGGCTGTTTAGATTTGGAAGTGGTCGCTTGTTTGTTTGCGGCTTTCACAGCTTCCTTCGTAGCTTTTTCTATTTTTGTTATTGACGGCGCTTTCTTTTCGGGTGATGCGGGCGTAGACTCTGCTGGGGCCTCTCGATCTGGCCTCTTCAAAAGCTTCTTGGCCTCTGCTTTCTCTGCCTTTGCCTCTTTTTCTTTTGCGCGTTTTGATGACTTCCCGGAAGCAGCCTCTTTTGCCTTGCTAGCTTTCTTGTCTTTGATATATTGAACCAATGGTGTAATAGTCACTTGTTCGTCCTCCTTCTTCTCCGTATCACCTTCCACTGGCGTAGGTTTCGTAATCGGATTGGTTAAACTTTCGAGGAATGCAACAAAATCTGGATCTTGATCAATGGTTCCCTGTCTTCCATCCTTCCTCGAACGATTACCTGGAACTCGAGCGTAGGGGGCAAATTCGACAGATGGTGGCCCGAGAAGCACGGCATCATTGGAGGTATTTCGTGCATCATGAAACGATGTGCTCCTAACTTTTTCAGATAGAGGAGTGATCAAATCTTCTGAAATGACATGCACGTAGGCTCGGGCAGGGCGAGACGGTTTAGCAGGACTAGTAGACACGAGGTTAGCGCAATGACGGATAATCAAGCTTAGCAAAAGGCAATGCTTACTCCTTCGAGATTTTACCGGGCTTGTATTGGTACCAGTCAATCTTGCCCTGCCCTACTTTCCAATCATCGCCCAGGCCCGACTCGAATTCGGCACGCGTCAGTCCGGGAGGGAGACGACGAACGATCAGTTTCAATCTCGGTACTGGAAGCTTTGGAGTGCTCTTTGCTGGCGCCGGTGCAGAGGCTCCTTTTTGTGTTGCGGTTACTGGGAGCTGGATAATGCCAGCTGCTTTGGCTACTGAAGGCTGCGCCATCGCCAGGTCTCTTGGACGGGGGTTGGAATGGAGAGTTTGGATATGAGATAAACTGCGAGGCAGATGGCGGGGAAGGCAAAATCAGGCCTCGTATACGATCTGTCCAGAATCCTCCCTCTCCTGTTTTAGATGAAAACAAAGTGCACCTTCAAAGAAGAAGAGACCAGGTCTTTTGGCAGCCGAACAGCTCTGCTCATGCCAACACAGGTTGCCTGTAAGTTGGCTGGCAGCTCGTCGCGAATTCTGGGAAAGAGCACTACGGCAGGCGCCACGCCCCAACTGCGCTGCTGCTCTTGCCGCCACGGAGAATCTCCCCGCAAGACTCAAAGACTCAGCCTACTCAACTACCCTAGCCAGGCTTTTCCATGTCTGGGGGTTCAAGTTATTATAAGACCGTTTTTCTTTTCTGTTTGTTGCTACTTCATTTTATCACATTTGTCTGATCTCATGCTATTTTGATTGCATCTACTACTGCTCACGCCCCCTTCGTTCACTCGATTAGTTAACACCTCGGCCATGACAGAGTCAGAAATCCCAGCGCCTGGGCCAGCCAAGCTCAAACGAAGTGCTGGCCCAGACGAGTGGCTACAGGCGGCAAAGCAATGCAAATACTTATCGGAGCACCATATGAAACAACTGTGTGATATCGTCAAGGAATATATGATGGAAGGTTTGTGCAGACTCTTTTTGCGCTGCTCGGGACAAAGCACTTATTCTTGCAGAGTCGAACATACAACCAGTCTCGTCCCCTGTCACGATATGTGGTGATATACACGGGCAGTTTTATGATTTGCTAGAGCTCTTCCGAGTGGCTGGTGGAATGCCGAACGAGACAAATGCCGAAGCTCCAGAGAACCCTCCTTCAGTTATAACATCCGAGGACATCGAGCCCCCTTCGACGATAACGGATCCAAAGTTACGCAAAAAAGTAAAGAACGCAGACAGTTTACAAGATGCCGACGATAGTGGCTCGGCATCCGGAAGGGAAAGATCTAGTAGCGGATCGTCAAAAGAAGGAACTGGCCCCCCTCCTGGCAATTTCGTCTTCCTGGGAGATTATGTAGATCGAGGTTATTTCAGCTTGGAGACGCTGACTCTGCTCCTATGCCTTAAAGCCAAGTTAGTCGATGGTAATTTTTTCTTCATGAATCATTACTAACTGCTCAGATACCCCGACCGCATCACATTAGTGCGAGGAAATCATGAGTCACGGCAGATAACGCAAGTTTACGGCTTCTACGAAGAATGCTTCCAAAAATACGGCAATGCATCGGTGTGGAAAGCTTGTTGTCAGGTCTTTGACTTCATGACGTTGGGCGCCATTATCGATGGCAAGGTATTGTGTGTGCACGGCGGGTTGAGTCCAGAGATTAGGACATTGGATCAAGTTCGTGTGGTTGCTCGAGCACAAGAAATCCCCCATGAAGGAGCATTTTGTGATCTGGTGTGGTCTGATCCGGAAGATGCAGCGGATGTGGAGACGTGGGCTGTTAGTCCGCGAGGAGCTGGTGAGTGTTTTGTCTGTGGAAATTATTTATTAGTATATCTACTGATTGGACTGAATTTAGGGTGGCTTTTTGGAAACAAAGTCGCAGAGGAATTCTGCCACGTCAATGATTTGAGTTTGATTGCACGAGCGCATCAGCTTGTTAATGAAGGGTACAAGTATCACTTCCCTAAGCAGAACGTTGCCACTGTTTGGAGTGCGCCAAACTACTGCTACCGATGCGGCAATTTGGCGTCAGTATGCGAGATTCGCGAAGACCTCAAACCTACTTTCAAGCTCTTCAGCGCTGTCAGCGATGATCAACGACACGTTCCTTCGTCGAGACCTGGGCGAAGTGAATACTTTTTGTAGAACATGATATTTTCTTTTCTGTCTTTTTCACGCGGCCATGATTCTGTCTTGTTTTCTGGATGAAGGGAAATGTTCTCTGCATGGAGTATGGCGTTGGTCGACGATGAAATGTTAATCATAAGCTCGAGGTTATTATATACCAATTTATGAATGTCCTGACGTATTCTTCTGTATTGTTCGAACTGTTAGTTCGTCGGGCTTGGTTGTTTAATCACTGCGCCTCGTCACGTGGACTTGGAACTCTATATATTTTCTTTCGCCTCATCTATCGACGAAACTCGGTACAATTCACGCTGTGGTCCCTCTCACAACAAAACCGAGAATTAAAATCTCAGTGTCAACAATTCTCAGCCTTCGTTTGTGAAGTCCCTTGCCTAAAACACGAGAACCCCACATCCGTACTTAATTACAGATATATGACACCAAGTTCGCAGACCATGAATGCGTGTTGACAGCGACGAAGAATACTTTCCCTCTCCTTCTCTGCATTTGGCCTGGTCTTGGGAAATGAACCAAGATGGGCCTCCAAACCCTAAATCAAGTTATCCTACCAGCTCCTTGCATGACAAAATTACAGTCTCACATTATCTGCGCAGCGAATCCAGTCTACTCTTGACATGTGCAAACAGTGACCGAGGCGGTGGTGTACATTTTGGTCATGTTTTTGCGATATATTCAACTGCCACATTACCGTCTGTTTGGATAGATATGCTGCATGCACCACAACCACCAGGCATCTACATACAAAGACTGCAAGCTATAGCACATACCGTTTCCGTCTCTCTGCCGATATATATCTCGTGGGACGATATCAAGCTTTTACCATTATCGCCTCAAGAACTTCACCGACTTACCATCCAACCCTTACTCATGCCCCACCCCCCCAATTTCATCACGCGATTTGCAAAAACCCAAGAAATCGCCAGACAAAAACCCCATTTCCTACTTAATGCTGCTTTGCATGAACGGCATTGCATAATCGGGCGAGACAGCCCCATAGAGACACTCCTGGTCCTTCTCCGTCGACCCTGGTGCGTGCTCGAGATCTGCGTGAGTAACCGGCACGAGAAGAATACGGGTGTGCTCGAGGCGATGCTCACATTTGCGCGGACTGCGCAGGAATTTGATTATGCCGGATACAGGACTGCTGTATTTTTGCTGGAATATGAGCTTTTAGCAAGAGCGAGAACGAGGGTGTACTGCCACAGCCATGCTATGAAGCAGGGGGAATGCTTCGGCCGTGCTAATGCTGAATCAAAGGGTTACTCTTTCAATTCATCCAGAAGAGTGTACGCAATGTGCAATACGGTCTTCCTGCCGAGTCTGATGTCTTTCAACTCGTTCTGGATCCGTTTGATTTGCGTATGCGCGATTGAGCTTGGGGTCAGCTTTTCGTGCATGATCAATATGCTATGCGATCAGAAGCGGAGCCAGAAGCAGGCGACCATATTTTCGCCAGATCTTGTCATGCCTGTCGGTGTGCTTCGACATGCTTGTCGGAGACAGTCGGAAATCGACATGGCATCTTTTTGGAGGAGTAGAGAAAAGGTAGTGGATGATCACATTGACGAGAGCATCGTGGAGAAGATGTTAGGGCTGTACAGAGATGTTCTGAGAAGAACGGGGGACTACATCTAGACATGGCCTCTTAATTTCAATACAACGAATCGCCTAGTCACATTCCAAATTAAAAGGTCACAACAGGAGTTCATCGGGCATGCAGATTATATTTCGATATATTGCATTCTCTCATGTAGTTAATATTGAGTTTCAGAATGCAACGCTGTAATACTCTCTTTCTTGCACATGTATCACCTCATCCAGTTATAGATAGTTAATTTCATGGGAGATAACACCTATACTGGAAGTACATACCCTCTGTAATGCTGCCGAAATTGTTCTTTCGTCTTGCTCCAAATACAGGCGTGATACGGTAAGTAAGCATTGATTAAATACGCTCGGTGAGTTCGGGGTCAGTTTACACCGAAGACGAACAGGTATACCGCTTTCGGTTGGGGGTTTAACTTTTATCTATTGTTACAACGCAAACGATTCCCTTTACTGTTTCATATGGTCAACTTCATTGCTTTTAGGCGAACCTCGGTACATAAGGGCGACACACTCATCGTCGACATCAAAAAGCGTAACAAGATAATATAATTCACCACTATAGCAGACTGTAGCATATATACAATCACGACGGAGTACTCCGCAGAGTGTGTCGGTTAACCGAAAGGAGAGTTGCCGAGATAGATGCGCACAGCTTTCACTTGAGTGTAGTTCTCAAGCGCATATTGGCCAAGCTCTCGGCCGATACCTGATTCCTTGTATCCACCGAAAGGTGTTTGGTAGTGGGTATTGTTGTACTGGTTGACCCACACAGTGCCAGCCTTGATGGCGTTGGCTACACGGATAGTTGTGTTGAGATCTTTGGTATGAATGCCTGCGGCCAAGCCGTAGGTGGTTGCGTTGGCAAGCTTAATGGCCTCTTCTTCGTCCTTGAACTTCTGTATGGTACAGACCGGGCCAAAGATTTCCTCCTGCACAATCTTCATCTCGCCTGTGACGTCGGCGAAGATGGTGGGCTTAATGTAGTAACCCGTGGTGCCTTGACGTTCACCTCCAGTGATCACTCTGGCGCCAGCCTTCTTGCCGTCCTCAATGTAGCCCATGATACGGTCGAATTGAAGCTGAGAGACTTGCGGTCCCTGGAAGGTGCCCTCGGCGAAGGGGTCGCCCACCTTGTTTTTATTTGCGCGGGCCTTGAACGCTTCCAAGAACTTCTCGTAGATTGCCTCGTGGACGAGCACGCGAGAACCGGCACAGCAACATTGCCCGTGGTTAAAGTAGATACCAAAGTTGATCCATGAAATGGCATTTTCCAGGTCTGCATCTGGGAAGACAATGTTGGGAGACTTGCCTCCAAGCTCGAGAGTCACTTTTTTCAGGTTACTCTTGGCTGCAGCCTGCAAAATCTGACGACCGACCAATGTTGAACCAGTGAAAGCAATCTTGTCAATATCCATGTGCGCAGACATGGCAGCACCAGCGACGCGTCCGAGACCAGAGATAATGTTGATCACACCAGGCGGAAAGCCTGCTTTCTTGATAAGAGTGGCAACGTACAGAGCAGACAGTGGAGTTTGTTCGGCAGTCTTGAGGACAACAGTGTTACCGGTAGCTATAGCTGGGCCGATCTTCCACGACCACATGAGCATGGGGAAATTCCATGGAATAATTTGGCCCACAACACCGATGGGCTCGTGGATAGTGTAGTTCAAGCTGTTGGGATCAGTGTCGATCGTTTGGCCAAGGATCTTGTCGCACCAACCGCCATAATAGCGAAGACAGTACGAGGCATTCTGAACATCGCCCTTGGAAAAAGGCGTGGCCTTGCCATTGTCCAAAGTATCGATACCAGCTATAATATCCTTGTGCTCTTCGAAGAGATCGGCGAGCTTTGTCAAGAGTCGTCCTCTCTCGGTGGGTATAAGTTTCTTCCACGGTCCGTCGAGGGCCTCACGGGCGGCCTTGACGGCTATGTCGACATCCTTCTCTGTAGCTTCGTGGACGCTGGTGATGACTTTCTCGTCGTGAGGGTTGACGGTCTCGAAAGTCTTGCCGTCAACTCCCTTGACGAACTCGTTGTTGATGAACCTGACCTATTAGCGAGGAGCTAAGTAAGGGAAGCTATGTAACTATTGATACATACAGTCCGAGAGGCTGCTCGTATTTGATGCCGTTAGGGAGGGTGATCTCCTGGGAGAGAGCCATGATGAAGCAATTGATTGATGGATGTAATGTGTGAGACGGAAGGGAATACACAGAGAGAGAGAGAAATGAGGAGGTGCCGGCCGTTTTATCCTCCCAGAGAGGATCTATGCGAACCTGCACAATCTGTTACGTCAAGTGGGTCTGAGATGCGGGCATCTTCCAATCAGGGCTTGACGACCCACCTAAAGCTTCCAGAAGCGGAAAGCGTGCGCAAAGACGCGGGGCTTATTCACGAACCCCGCTCCGTATCATCTCGTATGTGTATTACCGCGTAAATTACATGTGTGTATGATTGGTCTGGAGCATTTCCATGCACAGAGCGGTGCGGGGTACAACTACGAGTACGTGCATAATATCTGCTTGGCGTCTAGACCTACATAGATTCTGATTAAAATACCTAGCAAAATATGCTTTACAAGTTAAACTTACAAGCTCGACATCTATTTTCGATCAAGTTATCAATTAATCTTTTGCAAGGCATTTATAGTGTCTGTCCAGAGTCTTTTATTCCCATCAGGCAAGCAAGCATTTTGGGATGAAGAATGCAAGAAGGCCCACATAAGATTAAGAGCTGACATTTACCAGGTGTACAAGAATAGGTCTATCAGCAACGAGATAGCTGAGGAGGACCACCAGGTTAATGTTTTGCAACGAGCGCAAGCACTTCATCTTATTAACGCATTTGAACTTGAAGTGACTTTATATTTCAAGTGTCAATGGCGGTCTCCAACCTAGGTACCTTGAATATGCTAGTATATTGCATTGCAACTTAATTCACAAGATTCTCCAGATTTCAGCTGGAGAATTCAGCAGGGACATAAAGTAAACTAATTCTGAGCGATATAGGATCGCAACTTGCATTTATGTGAGCATCGAATGTCATTCTTGTAAATGAAGCTATCTAGGTATCGTTCGGTACTTTCGATGTATTTTGCGGTTGGAATAAATCCCTCATCCTCGGAACAATTCTCTTCGACAAACGCACTTGCGTGTATTTGTAAACTTCTTTAAAAGTTTCCTCTAAGTTTGCCTCTGGCCAAATCCATCCGGGCTGCAATGTAGAAACAAGTGCCTGTACCAAGCATACTCCCGGCGAACACCTGCAACTTCCAATAACTGCCCGATGCTGCTGATATTAAAGCCCCTCCAATGGGGCTACCTGTCAATGCTGCTACTGACATGAAAGTATACATTGTTTCTGAACGAATGCCAATCTCACAGACGTCAGAAATCTGAGCCACAAGCCCAGGACTCATAGCAGTATACGTGCCGGAGCTAAATCCGAAACATGCAGCAAATGCAATAGCAGTGGCATTTGACTGGCAAGGAAGCCCAGGAAGTATACGACCGATGGCACTACAATAAAAGGAAGAGCAGCAGGTTAACTTATTTTCGTATTATCTGCCTTATTGTTTTTTTTCTTCCCCCCCCCCCCCCTTCAAGAATTGTAATCGCAGAAATTTCCACAATTAGGGGTAGGAAGTGCAATTAACTTACCTGGCTCCGTTGAAGATCGAAACTAGGTAGCCTGCAACTCTGGAAGAGGTACCCACATGTTCCCCATATGTCACCAAGAAGGTGATGGGAGTGAAATTAACCTTCTTGGACGGCGAGAAAACGGATACATATGCTAACCAAATAAGGTAGCTCCTCGGCTCAGGCCTAATTGGTGCCTTACTCAGGGGCGCACTCAAGACAGACGAAACTTAGCAATAGAACCAAAAGAATCAATCGGAACATGCCCACAAAACCGCAAAGAACAATATTTACAATCGCAGCTAGTATGTCCTAGGTAAAGCATAATAAACTATAGTAAGCACTTAGATCAGCGAATGCTGGACCGTGCGCTGTCAACAGCAGCCAGCTCAGCCGCGCCGATCCACTCGCTGAGAGAGAGAGAGAGAGGGAAAAACAAAAAAAAAAGGCTCAGCAACTACGCACTACATACACACTACGTAGTATCAACTGATGCCTTTCCAAGCAGATCTGCGATGGTCTGCGGTGGGCCTCGCCCTCAACGCGGTTGCGGTGCGGGCCGATGAGCTACCACTGGCTAAACATGGGCCAGAAGCAACTCTAAACAACTCAACCGAAGTCACCTTTGACCCCCTCGGTGTTGCGGCGGTGCTACACAATCCGCGCGCCAGTCTGAGTGCCGCCAGGTTATACACGCAGTATGATCGTCGCTTCTTCATATGGCCGCATACAATGATGATGGGGGCGACCCTGATCCCCGTGAAAGTGCTGGTTGAGCATTTGACTGCAACGTTCCAGTCCATCCATCCTGCCATTACCTTGTGCACCCAGGACACTCAGAACTTGCCCGTGGTGTCCAATATGGTCTTTAAGGAATTCCCACTTGATTTTGGGAACATGTGGCTGGGCGACGTGATTGCGTTCAAGTCCTCCTCAAAGCCCGCCAATGACTTCATGATTGTTTGCATGGACAGCGATGACGACGACAACAGACGACAAAGCCCCGATGGTCCCTCCAAAATGACACAGTGGCTAGGCTGCTCCGCGCTCAATCTCATCTCCCTCATCAACGGCCTCATCATCGTCGCTGGCATTGTGCTTGGTCTCCTCAGCGCCGATCTCTGGGCACTCACACTCTTCTTTTTCTACGGCACACACTGGCTGGCCGGTCTTGCCGTATCAATGACCTCGCTCGTCACGCCACAGAAAATCAATATCAAAAAGGACCCGACCCCGCGCTTCGCCATCTACCAACGACCCGCCGGGGGCACCGTGGTCTTCAAGGGCCGCCAGGACACCATGGAAGCCTGGGCGCGAAGTACCTGGGAATTCAACCGATCTCTTAAAAACAGTATTTTGCATTGGTTCTGGACCATCACCGGCACTTTGTCCGCCATCTGCTCCGTTGCATGCATGGTCAACATGCTCGGATACATGCAATTGGCGTTTTTGGGACTATTAGTCTACGCCTCTCTGGCCGAAATTGTTGCGACCCGTATCACGCGGATTCTGCAGGGGGAGGCCGAGGCATTGGATCGGAAGTTTTTGGTGGAAAATAACCCATTCCGCACTACAGGCGTGATTCGAGCGACTGTTGAAGTGGACAAGAAGTTCCGATTGAGTGCGTTGGACTGGGTTGGGCTAAAGCGCATGCCGTCCGATCAGATATTTAGGGATATGCAAGATCTATTAGCGCGTATTAATGAATTCCAGGCGGAGGTTGAGGCGGGGAGGGAGGTAGTGCCAGATCGGGGTCCTCGGTGGCATGAGAAAGTCAATGAGGCGTTTGGAAGGTTCGCGGAAAATAGGACTGAGGATCCGGTGCTGGTAGCCCGGATACAGGAGGAGGCGAAGAATGCTTTGGAGAAGTGGTGGCGGAACAGAGAAGACGCTTCGTTGAGGACTGACGAGATTAAACCTCCTTTGGTTTGACCGGACTACGCTTGGTTACGAATGAATGAATGATGAATGATTAGAGTTGCATATGTTTGGCTTGGATTTACTTACATTTCTTCATGTTTGTTTTGGATACTTGTGACTTCTGCAACTTTAATGTATACGCCCCCAGAGATGGAGATAGAAGATATCCATCCCATAAAAGCCATTAACTTCTTATTCATTGAGTGGTAATATCAAAATCGTAAAGCAATTGCATTACGGCACAATCAACTTATGACATGGTCAACGAATGGAAACAATGGTGGGAATGAACTGGACGCAAAATAATGTACACCGACAAGCATCTTCAAGCACAGAGAGAGCCGTATGCATTTTAGCCACCGAGAGTTTAAACATATACAAGAATAGCCCCAATTTCGTACTGAATACCAGAAAACTCTATGGGTTCAAGTGAAAGAAAAAATAGCTAGGTAAAATTTACAAAGCCAAAAGTGCGGTAGCAACTAGGACACCGAGACCTGAAATAGTGGCAGCGCGATGTGAGACAGCAGCGCCAGTGGTTGTGGAAGCAGAAGCAGAGCTGCCGATAGAGCTGCTGCTAGAGCTGGCAGTGTCAGGAAGGGCGGAAGATGATGAAGATGACACGGTAGTGGTAGTACTGTTGCCGCCGGGCTTGTTAACGGTCCCATTGGCGAGAACATTCAGCATGATACCACTGATAATGTTGCCCGAAGGGTCGTAGATGGTCTGAGTTAGGTTAGTCGAGGAGACAGAAACCAATGAACCAACGGAAACATTTGTTGTATAACCGTCGTTGATCATCTTGTCGATTCCAGCGATGCGAGTTGGGATATCCCAATCCTTGGTAACATTGGAAGTAATAAAGTCAGGGTCACAGACGGGAGCTTCGATTGAGTTCTGGGTAGCGTTTGACGCAACAATAGCACTGAAATCAAGCTTGTCGTACGCTGCCTTTAGATTTATAAAATCGGTAAGAAGAGTAATAGTTCCGTTGTCGTTGATCTGGACGAGCCCGTAATCATTCGCTTCCTGAGTCCATTCGTAGATGAGAGCACCGGAAATGGCATCGGTCATGTTGGTTGAGTAGATTGATTCAATCTCGCTGAATGTTCGTGGCTTGACGGCATTGCAGCCAGTCTCCGAGAAGAAGACGGGGATAGAAACGTTTTTGAAGTCATCGGTAAGTACGTTGTAGCCACTGGATTCGTAGGTTGCGTCACCGCACCACGAGTACGAGTTGAGACCGAAGAAGGCAGAGCGAGAGTCAGTTGCGTTGGTGAGGTTGCATGACAAGTAATAAGCAGTGTCAACCAGCATTGGGCGAACATCAGCAGCGGAGTAACCGACAGGGATCGTACGGTTGGAGTTCTTGGCGATGTAGTCATTCATGTCACGTTGAACAGCCTGTTTCCTTGGTTAGCCGCAAGAATTATGCTGTGTTTTGGTGAAACATACTCGAATGTAGTTTGGAACATCTTCAGTACTATCCTGGTTGATCACTTCGTTGCCAGAGAAGAAACCAGCGACGTTGGGGAAGTTCTTGAACGACTCGATGATGCCGAAAACTTGCTGCATGTAGATATCATTGTACGATTCCCATGGAGCGGCGCGGTTGAGAGAGCCATTCTCGAGGGGGGAGTTGACGTCCAGAACCAAGTAGATGCCGGCGGCATTGAAGATGGAAACGCATTCGTCGTGATTAGCCGAAGGAGCCAAGTTGTATACACGGATACTGTTGATCTGGGATCCGAGTCAGTAGCAGGCAAGTTTGAGTGACGCGCAGACAAGACATACACCGAGGTATTGCATGATGGCGGCATCACGCAAGCACGACGCTGGGTCGCTGAGGGGATCGCTGGTGCCTTTGAAGCCAGAAGAACCGCCAGGTTGGTAGCTTTTGGCGGTGGTTAGCGCATGGGATGTGATGCACAAGCAAAATACTGGCACTTACTCGACACCGATCATCTGGAAGCGCTCTCCCGTGACGCTGTCGACGAAGTCCTTCCCCTCGACAACGAGCGGGTTGACTGCGGCGGCGGTCGAAGCCAGGCCACACACGGCGGCGAAGAGTTTTGCGTAAGACTGCGCGGTAATTGAGCAAGCACTGTTAGTTTCTTTTTTTGACAGGAACAGAATCTGCCATTCAAAGTCAGTGGGTACGCACTGCAATCATTGTGATCTATGGAATGAGATATGTGTAGTATAGCGCGAAAGAGTGGCAGCGAGAGCAGAGCAAAGTCTGAGTCGCAGAGAGCGACAGCGAAGAGAGAAAAGAACGAACGAGCGAGCGACTGCCAAAAATAAGAAGAAGGAAAAACAAAAAACGACACGGAGAAGGAGCGACGGAGGATGGACGATGCAAAGTGAAACAAGCAGGAGAGGCTCCTTCCTTTAATCCTTGCTCGTGCGGCTTGTGCGGGCCAAGCTAATCCCAGCTGGGGCTAGTGCGACGAACTATACTCCCGTGTTTCGCAGCGGGTGGGGCGAGGTGCATTCCTGATCCTTTTTCCAACGTCCCGCGAAATTGGGGCATGCTCAATAGCATCATCGCCATGCAAGTTACGTGGAAAGACGAAAAACATGTCTACCCCATGATTGGCTGCGAGATGCGAGATAGCCCATTTGATATGTTCCACCCTGTCTGGCCAATCACGGTGTCACTGTCGGCGGGATAAGGGCTAGCCAACTACGACGATCCGTGGAGGGAGGGATGTAACACTATTCATTCCAATCGTTCGCTGTCCATGCCCGGAACGTGAGATGGACGTCCTGTCTACGAATACATGGTATTTGCTATTCCGACGGCTGGACGTGGACGGAACTTGGCTGTCCATTCGCCTTGCATGAATGACTCCTTGATACGCATTTGCTGAGATCTGCGAAGAACCAGACAAGGGTGGATTTGGTGTACTCTATGAGACAGTATCGCTTACATGCCGATTGGAGACTAAGGAAAGAATAAATGCAATATGGATTCTCCCTACCGGCGCTTTCGAGTGCTAATGGCTACTGCTGGCTCGAAAGCATCGTCATCGTCGTCATCGTCAACATCACTTAATTCCGTGAAGCCTGCTCTGGCTGTACGGGCAGCGTTACGCCGTGCTACACCGGTCGAACTGGCCTGCGATGCGAAGTTGAGGGTTGTCTGCTGTGTAGATCTTGCTCCGCCGCGGCCGCCGCGTCGGGTCGATGATGCTGCTGCTGTCACCGACGATGGCGCTGGAGACGCATCTTTCTTTGTGCGGCTTCGCGATCCCGTCGTCACGCTTGCTACTGCCGGTTGTCGTGTACTACGCGATGGTTTGTTGGTGCGCTGTTGCTGGACGAAGAGTGCTTGGGAGTCATCGTTGTCTGATTCGATTGCTTCGTGTTCTTCCATGGAGTCATTGGCCATAATGACGTCTTCATCTTCATCTTCATCTTCGTCATCTATGACAGCTTTTTTGCCCCTGCCCCCTCGCGAGGTAGCAGGTTTCTTGGCGCTAGTAGTACTCGTAGCAGATTTGCGAGTAGTGCTGCTGGCTGCACCACGTCTGCCTCGTCCTCTGCCTCGACTTGACGCTGTGCCCCTTTCGGTGCCATCCTCCGCAAGATCCTCTTCATGTGGATCGCCGCCCTCATTATCCGAATGTATCAACGCCCCAGGTTGATCCTCCCACAGCCCATCAAATTCTGAATCCCAGCCGTCCGGTTTGGGTTTAAATCGCTTTTGTCCTCGAGTCCTTCTTACCGTGCCTTTGGAAAACAACTCTTCCATTTGTCCACGATACTTCTCCATAGCATTTCGTAACGATTGATGTACCTCATCCTCGTCTTCGAGGTCTGCGTCACGCTCCAGTGCCATGAGGTGCTTGATTTGGCTGTCGAGCGACTCATTCACAAACATTTCCATGGCATGCTTGTCGTCTTTGTCAACAAACTGAGACACGGCATCACCGAAGAGGTTCTGAGGAAGTATGGTAAGCGATTGCGCGGTCAACAATTCGCGAACTAGTTGCTCAACTTTGACCGTGTCCAGGGACGATAAGTGTGACATGGCTGTCTCGGTGGCTAGATTATCAGCTTTGCGGGTCGTAGTGGCTTTCTTCTTTCGGTGGAACTGTACAACATCATTTACGTTCGCTACCTTGCCTACAAAACGATTGGAGAATCGCTGTGGGTTTTCGCAATCAAAACTGCCACCTTCTGGTGTCGACGTTTCCACTCGAAGACGAACAAGAGGAAGGGGAATATTCGGTTCGTCGTCGTCCCCAATATCATCCCGATGTGCTTCCAGCCATTGTGCTTTCGCGTCCTCAATTAGGTCTTCGACATAGGACATCAGCAAGCGGGTGACTTCAGTTCGATTGTTCTCTTTTCGCGCCAACTTCTTCGCGTTTTTGTCTTCGGATAACACGAGTTCTTTCATGATGAACGGGCGTACTGTTTTCAAGGGTATTGGTTCACTCTCAAACTCCCGCCCAGTGATGGATAGAATCGCCACTTGCTTGGTGACAGCTTCGCCTGGTGCTAACGATGTAGCCACTGACGATCCAGGTTGCATGACATGGAATTTCGTCTCGGGATTCTGTCTGGGGTCAATCATGCATTCGTGTTCGTGACCCCAAATGACTAGGTCGAGGAACTCAGGTAAGAAATTCTCAGGTAGGTATCCCGTCTCTGTATGTGCATGGTGGTTCTGATGGACACAGATCAGATTGAACCAGTCCTCTTTCTGAACGGAAGGTTGAAAAAATTTGACTTTGCCATCACGGAAAGTACGGAAAAGTCGTTCATCTCGTACATTGCTCAGGCCATACAGAGCGAGTTTTGTGCGGCCCTTTTGAAGCAGTACCGGCTTGACCTGAATATTATCTGACTCTGGCGTTCGCCCATAATAATTTAACAGGCCTGAAACCTGTAGAATATCCAGTGCCGCCAGATGGCCCTCGCCAGATGGATCATCGTGATTCCCATGAATGGAGAAAACAGGAATTGCAATGTTAATATCAAGATCTTCATAGTTCACATGGTTAAAAGCCCCTTGAAAGTTCTCACTAGCATCACTAAGCAGCTCCAGTTCGCAAGGTTTGTCGCCTAGGCAGTTCATGCGCAATGAGCGCATGACCTGATACATGGACTTTCTCGATGGTTTATTTTCATGGAAGAGGTCCCCGGCGAGAAGAACCATGTCAACATCGCGCACTTTGGCAAGACACATAATTTCATGGAAGCTCTTCCAGCTGTCATCGCCGCGGACAGGGTCGCGCTCATTGTAACCGACATGGTTATCTGTTGCGACTAAGATGCGAATCGTGTCGGCGTCTGTAGCTACTTAGAATACGACGTCCTTATATTCCTTCAAGTAGCCACATGATAACTTACCTCCTAGGGGCGGCATGTCTTGAAAATAGCTCTTCTTATCGAGAATCTGGTAGAGAAATAGCGAGATGTTGGCCCCCTAAGCTGACGTGGAGGCGGGTGTTGCCTAGAGAGAGCGCTCCTTCCTGAAATCGCTGTTGATACCAGCGACCATATGGAAATCTGGTCCTGGGAAAATGTACTATGCACCATAAATTTGTCAACGTATGTATTTGTTCTTTTCTCTCCCCGTTCTCTTCTCGCGTGTGATCTTCACGTTGTGCTTGCTGTCCTCGACTGTTTTGCAAGGTCTGGTGCAGAACGGCGCTAACCGTTTTGGCAATTGGGACGCTAGTACGGATATGGAATAGCAAATTAATTGAAGAAGTTGACCCTCAGAGCATAAACTAAGGTTATATTCAAACCATCCATGTCCCATCGCCATTCCCCTGGTGGTCCACAAACGAAAGACCCATGTTCTCCAACAATGCGTCGACTCAGACAGGAGTTTCCAATTTTATCCAATCCAGCCACCCAAAACTGAATGAAGCACTGCAGTCGATTAACCATGAATACCCATTGATGCCACCGGTTGCAGAGCATGCGGCATGTTCTCTTTCCAACAACGTCTGCGACGCTGGATCAAGGCAGCAAGGTGGGAGGCATGGGGCGACGGAGCAAGTAGGCTGGAATTTGAGTTGAATGCAGCGAGGATGGAGAACATTCCTCAGCATCAGAACTAGCGTGGCGAATTCTAGCATTCTCTAGCAAGCGTGATGAACCTTTTATCACGGTTAAAATAATTGGTATAGTTATAGATCAGCGTATGTAATGACACACTGATTAACCATGTAACTTAGTAGGGCTAGGTGAGGGCTACTTCCAGAGAACAGAAAACATAGTCTAGATGCTCTTATTATACCCATAAATTTTATTTTAGTGATTGTTAGTTATATTCTTGCTTATTTAATATGTCAGATTAATATATAACTATACATATATAATGTGCGTCTACATACCTGGGTAGGTACGATATGGGTCAATACTGATTTCCTCATTGATCCAAATTATGCAAGCTTATAACATTAGTAACTGCGCAGTTGGATTTTGTCCATCCAAGCAAAAACCGCGCGGCCAGAACGTCCGACAACACCCGTGGTTAGTCAGCGAGGGCTAACCTCACCTCATCTTCTTCCCTCATCACCGTTTTTCACCCGACCGCTATTGCTCCCTCTTTCCAAACCCCCCCTCGCCCCTCAGGTATCGCCGAAGCCAAACAAACGCCTTCCATTCCCTCGCGCATCGCTCTCTAGCCATCGACTGATCCAGCGCTTTTCTGGTCAGTCGCACTTCCGTTGCTCAACCTTTACACCAAACCGTTTATGCTTCCAGAGCCCACTGCCGTCTCGCAATCTCCTTTCACCAACGCCAGCCCCGCCGCTTCTACAACCTCTTCCCAGCATGGCAATGACCATCGTTGTGATGAACCGGTCCTCGACATTCTTCCCCGCGAAGATGTCGGAGACCGGCACTTCAACGACGCGTCGAGCGATTTGCCGCCTTCCGCGCCAGCAGGAGGGGGAGTGCATGGTAGGATCCAAGAGCCGCTGCTGCGACGACTGAGCAACGATGCAGTTCTTGCATCATCGCCATTATCGACTCACTATGAGCCTCACAGCGATGATTTAGAGGAAGATGTCCCGCAGTCTTCTCCGGCGCAAAATGAGTCAAAGTCAAAGGTTTATGTCTTGCGAGCCAACCCACGCCAATCCCTCGCAGATCTCCCCAACGGTGCGCTCGCATCTCTGGAATTAATTGAGAGTTAAATTCTGTAACTAATAAGTGCTCTCAGAGGTTCTTACCCACATTCTCTCCCACTTACCACCGGCTGCCTTGACAGCCATAACACTCGTGTCCCGTCGATTCCATACGCTAGTCACAACCCCGCATGCCTGGAGAATTGCGTTCGCGCGCTATTTCCCGGGCCCCAGCAGCATTGAGGAAGATATTTCTTCTGATGGTTGGGTGTCGGACAGGCGCTCGTTCACTAGATTGACAGCTTTAGCCTCCTGGCGCAGTGAATATATTCTTCGAACACGACTTTTGCGCTCTCTCGCTAGGGGAAAACCGGCAACTCCGTCCTCCCCTGGCAGGCATAATGCTCGTGCTGGTGGTATCCAAGCTGGATCGGCTCTTGCGACTTATACGTCCCAGCTTCTTTACCCTGTTAGTCATATTGATGCATTGTTCACTCCTAACAATGGCAAAAAAACTCCTCTTCTCATTCACGGAGCGGCAGAGCAAGGTGTTGCTTCAATGAGCGACCCTTCTGCCGCTAAGACGGGCCCTTGGGGTCTCACTGCCCGTCGACTTTTCCAGCACTTTGCAGATCTGTATACTGGTGAAGCTGAGTATGGCTTGGGATCCGGTGACATGATTGGACTCCCGAATTCTATGGACGTAAGTCAGCCTTATGGCATGATATACGGTGAAGGATGCCCCCAAGGCCGGAGCTACTTCCTCTCATCTGGCGAACAACGAGGTCGCTTCCTCAGTTATTCCGAGCTCGACTCAGAACCCGCAGCAGGTATTCCTGCTCTCAACATGATTACGACTGGCGTTAGTTCGGTATGGATTGCCAAATCCCCCAATGTTTTGAAGATGACAAACAGCATGATCGGTATTCTGTCTGGCTCGTCATCAGGTATTTTGACAGCATACTCTCTTGGAACAAGTCCCGTACATGACCGCCGCTTTGACCGTGGCCAAGTCACCGCCAAATGGGTACTTAGTCCGGGTGTGCCCATTATTTCCATCGTCGTAGATGAGAATTTTTCGGCAAGTCGATATTCTACTCGCCGTATTTGGGCTACTGTCTTGAACGCCTTAGGCGAGGTTTATTATTTAACCGAGCTTCCAACTGTTCCTGAAGTTCCTCCCAAAGCTTCGCCTGAACAACTTGAAAGACTGGCTTGGAAGGCCGGTCGTAGTGTTCGCTGGGAACTTGTTGAGGCCACCCACCGTGTTGCTAGACCGGATCCGTTCAACAGAGAGTTGGTTGATGGCAGTTATAGTCCACGCTCCTCTACTGATTCCATGGGCCTAAATGATAGCCAGATTGCAGCGGAAACTAAAGAGATTGAGAAGTTTCTTGCGTTTAAACCCAGGCATTTCCGCAAAGTTTGTGAAGGTTGGGACATGCGAAGACAGCTCAAAGTCGATTTTGCTGGTGACGATTTGAATGGAGCCGGTGAAAATATTTTCATCGTCAATTGCGGGTTTGACCAAAACCAGCGTGCTTCAATCCGCCGCTACGTCCGTCAGAGGACGCCAGTTGAGGATGTGATGGCCATTCTTGAAACCCCTTCAAAACTCTCGAGCTCGAAGCCTCCAGCTTCCTTGTTTGGTGGACCAAGCACGCCCCAGATACCTAGATCTGCTAGTCTGCCTCGGTCTAGAGCTTCAAGTCATGTTAAATATGGCATCCCAAGTACTGCCAATACCGAGTGGAAAGCAACCGATTTTGTCTTTGGTGGTTCTAAATCACTTCAGTTGACCGCAACTGCGGTTGATATGTCCACCCTAGCACTTCTCACCGTGGCCGAGGATCCTCTCCTTGGGATGTCAAGTTCCTCCGCCATGTCGTCTCCCCTTTCTTCACCGTTGCCACATATGGATACCTCGCTTTCTGAATCTGGAGTGCCTGGGCAACGATCCCGTCTCTTCGCTGTAGGTACCGACACTGGTTCCATTTATGTTTGGAACATGAGGGCACCAACAAGCCGTACTTCTGGATTGGTGAATACGGTCTCTCCAATCCGAATAATTCATACAGAATCGCCTCAAATTTCATGTCTTGCGTTGACATCTTTGTATCTGGTGCATGGTGGAAATGACGGGTTAGTTGAAGCTTGGGACCCGTTGGCCTCAACAACTCGGCCAATCCGTACATTACACTCTAGATTCTCGTCTCGTGCCCGTCGTCGTCTCATCCAGGCAGAAGCATCTATTCTAGGAGTTGGAAATAATTATTTTGCCGCAGGTGCAATCTGTCTGGATCCAGATCCCACCGTACTACGAGGTGTTGTGTCTCTTGGGACACATGTTCGGTACTGGTCGTACAGCTCGTCTGCTGCCGACGAGTACAAGACCAACAAACGTCGTCTGCGGCGATCTCATCGAGGCAGTAATGCGTCTGCGGATGGTCAGCGCTTCAGCAGCACTGGTCGGAATGCTCTGAAAGATTTCATTGAAGATGAGCACGAGGAAATGAAACGACAGTTTGTCGAGGATCAGAGGCAAAGGGAGCACTTCAGTCACCGATTTGGAACAGACTTGCTTGGGCCCGACGCGACCGAAGAGGAACTCCTTGCTTATGCTCAGCTGCTGAGCACAGAGAGCTGGAACAGCGACGCAACTAAACGTAAAGACAGTGGAACTAGTACTATGGCCAGCAGTGTTTCTAGTGATACAATTGCGGCTCAAAATAGCTCTTTCCCGCCGCGCGAGTTTTCGTCATCATCTTCACCGGCTCTCGAGACTGTCGAAGAAGAGCTTGCTCCTGACATTGCGGAAGCCATACGCTTAAGCTTACTTGACGAGACCCCGAGCTGGTCCGACAAGCAAACTGCAAGCAGTTCAATTCCAATTAAGTATGGCAAGGGAGCAAAGTTCGACCGCAGTCGACCAGCCAGTTCCCCGCCGGAGCCCGAGAGCAGCAATCAACAGGAAATGGATGATTTGGAGTTTGCCATCCAGTTGAGTCTCGCCGAGGAGCAGAGTCGTGAGCAGGCTAGTGTCCAGCAGGACGAGGAATTTCCGGCATTGCTGTCCATGACATATGGCAATTCCAGTTTTGAGAGGAACAAGGGAAAAGGAAGGGCGTAGTAGTTCGGTTTTTACTTTTGAGTTTTTACTGGCTGTTTATTCTTTTTACCTGGTTGCATGTTTGAGGGTACATATCACCCGCCAATTCTAAGCGTTTAGTATTTTCCGCTTGTCCCCTTCTTCTTTAATGATTAGTTGTTATTTTTTCCAATTTCAAACTCAATTGATACATTTGTCTTACTGAACACGACATCTACCTAGGTACCTATGTAGCTGATCAAGCCTGATACTGAAACATACTCAAAATACTTTTCTTGCTCAAAACAGAAGCCACGTCCAAACTCGACCGTCCCTCAGCGTCCTCTTGCAGCGGCGCCAATCCTTTTCCCATCATGAACATGAACAGACTTTTCTCCTGCTCTGGTGTTGTATCAAAAGATTTTTCGCGGCGCGCAATCAAGTGCAGTGCATTTTCTCCATTTTCATTCATAGCGAACATATCCACTGTCGAATTGTTTGGAAACAAATCCGAGAAGTGCTCTACGTGGCAACAAGTCACCTCCTTCGTTGGATCTCTGCTCACTTCCATGCCAGAACTTGATATATAATACAGTAATGGAGTCGATGAGTTGTTATCACGCACATTGAAGTTGCCGCCTGTATTCAAGTACTTTTGCCAGAGACGGATGCAGCCATCATAGTGTGCCTTCCAGTAAGTTTGTTCTTCATCATCTGTCAATATTGAAAATTCAGGTCGTGTTTTACGTGTGCAAAGGCATTGTGAGGCTATATAGTGTAGTAGTGTTGCACCGTTTGTGGGATCTGCTTCGAGGATATTGCATCCCATTGTCAACAGTTTTTCGCATACTGCTGGACGCAGCATTCGGAAAGCCATGTGTAAAGGCGTCAGATTTTGCCTGTCTTGTTGTGGTATTAATGGTTTAACCACGTCATGGGCGAGAAATTGAAGGATTGTATCTGCTTCCATATAAGGGTTATCAATGATATGATGCAAGGCGTTGCGACCTTCATTATCAGTGGCTAGTACGTTGATATTTGTTTTTAATAGTTGAATAGGCGGACTGATTAATCTTTCTTCTTCTTGTTGGGATGTTTGGTGTATACTTCGCCTAGGAATCTTACATAACCAACTGCATGCAGCATGCAGAAGGTTCCGCCCACGTTGATCTGTCGCATTCAAATCGATTTTATGAGCAAACTCGATATACGCAGAAATGATCGAATACTCTGCGTTCTCGAAGACAAAGTGTATCAATGTTTCATGGTCGTTTAGCGGTACGAAAGGGTCAGCGCCAAACGATAGGAGCAGTTGAACAAGTGTCGTTGAGGCATCCGATGTATTTCCAGGAAAGCTGGCACAAAACAACGCGGTTTTCAACGCGGTTTTTGCCTGGTCGTTGATTTTATAATTCAATTTGCAGAAGCTTTTAGTGTCTATACTGTTGGGGTCGGCACCCAGGTCGAGAATCGCGCGCAATGCCCGTGCATTTTGCTGCTGAATCACCGCAAAAAGAGGACTGATTTTTCCAGCGTCAAGACGGGCACCCCTGCGAATGAGAGCTTTGATGATTTCTGGACTTGACCCGGCCTTGTGGATAGGTGAAAGCCCCTCATTGTCGAGAGCATTAGGGTCTGCTCCAAGATCGAGCAGAAGCTTTACGCATTCTTGACCCCAATAGCCATGGCTCCTACGCATAAGATCTATTCTGTGGCCTCCGCAGGCGAGGTGTAGAGGGGTTCGTCCTGCTGAATCCCTAGCATCAACGATCGCCCCCTTTTCGACAAGGAAGCGGATTGCGAGTAATTGCCTATTCAATAATCAATAATGAACAACTGAAAGATCTGTTACTCACCAGTAGAACTGGGAGTCCGCAAGAACATGTAGAGCAGTCGGACCAAGTACCAAATCTTTGCCAGATGGTACTGATGGAATTAATGCTTGAGCATTTACATCCACACCACATTTGTTGACGAGCAGGCCTATTACTGCAAGATTGGATAGCTCTTGGTTGCAGGCAACGTGCAACATTGGCTCAAAATATGGCGGGTAGTTTATTTTCCTGTTCCCATTCTCCTCAAGAACTCTTTTGATAAAATCCGCGTCATCAAAAGTTTTCATGGCACTTCCCAATTTCTCTATGAAATCAAGTCGACCTGACCGTACAGAGCTGTGTAGAAACGAGATTTTCGTGAAGTGGCTTCTCTCTGCAGTGAAGTCTGCCCCAGCTTTGAGAAGAAATTCCAGATCTGGCATGCTTAGAATATTGATGTAGTGAGCAGGATCCGCCAGAATATCTTGTAACGAGATATCAGCACTCTCAAGAGCCGACACCCGGGGCATTTGGTTTAAAGCGACAACGGTTGAAAACACATCATATTTTTGATTAGTATCCCAATATTTCGGAACATCTGTCACTGTGTGTCGTAAACTGTCCACCATCTGCTGACATTCATACAATATAGCAAGATCAAGAGGTGTCTTCCCGTCTGAGTCTCTTGCTGTAACATATGCGCCAGCGTCGATTAACATAGAGACAGTGTTCCCAATGAGCCTTGTATCATGAAGAGGTTTGGGTGGTGTAGGCCTCCAATTATGGGAATGAGATGGGTTGAGGTTTTTCGAGAAACTTCCCGGGACTGCACCAATTCGAGCTTTGGCACGTTTGATTTTATCGTTGTCTGAGTATTCCAGAACGAAATTTAGTCTCTGTTCAATTGCAAATTCGGCACAAGCATGAAGCGGCGTGCGGCCTTTATAGTCTTTCGCATGAATGTTGAGTCCTGATCTCAACAAACAATAAACGGACTCTACTACGCCATGTCGACAGGCAATATGTAGTGGCGTGCGTTTCAATTTGTTTACCTGATCCTTTAGCGAATCTCCTATTCTTTCAAGCAGAAGCGTAACAATGTTGCTTTTTCCGGATTCGCAAGCCATGTGTAGTATGTTGTCTCCATTCTTGGCAACAACAGATGAATTAGCACCAGCAGACAGTAGCTTATCTACATCCAATTCCGAGCATGATGCAGATATATGGAGTGCAGTCACACCATCATTATCTTGAGCATCAACATCGAGTTTTGAAGTCTTGCTTGAAAGAAGGTCCAGGAAATGTAGGGCGTTACGTCCTCCGTTATTCAACATGGGTCGGTCGCTGTTAAAATAGTTATGTAGTGCTGTTCGACCGAGATGGTTTTTGGCGTTTATGTCAATTCCGTAGTTCAGGATTTGCTCAATAAGTTTGACATGAGATGTGGTACCCATATAATAAGATGCTGCAGCATGTAGAAGGGTATTCCCATTGCTATCAACAATGCAAGGATCCAGACCCATCTTAACGTACTCTTGAAGCTTGCTCGCCGATGGATTGAGGTTTGTCATAATATAGTAATGAAGAACACCTCTTCCATGTTTATCAACGGCATCTAATCGAGCCCCGCAGTGAAGTAAGGTCCTAAACATATTTTGGTTTTGCACACTGGCAAGAAGAGCGCTAGCACATTTTTTGAGAGAAACACCGGCCGAAACAAGCTCATTGAATAACTCTGGACTACTTCGATGAGAAGATATCAGGCTCCAGAGGCATCGTTCTCTAACAGCTCTATCAGGACTTGCTTGTAAAACACGTCTGAACGCTTGGAAACCACAGCTCAAACAGCTTGCAGCTTTCTCGAGCGCAGTTTTACCATCCGTATCTTGGATGAGGCAGACCTTTCCTGCGCCTTTCTCTAACAAATACTCAACAACGGCATCGAGGGTATCTGGCCCCTCAATGGGTACAGATGATTTAAACAATGAATGCCACAAGGTTTTACCGCCGTGATCTCGGGCATCAATATTTGCACCATATTGAAAAATGACCTCCAAGAGCCCAATGTCTCTGTAGTATTCAACACAAAGATGCAGAATTGTGCGTCCCGATTTATCAGTGGCTGCGATGTTGGAACCACGCTCGAGAAGAGACCTGACCGCTGCTAAGCTTGGTTTCCTCCTTCTCGAAAACAGATCGAACAAGACCGTCTCTCCGTTACCATCCACGTATTCGAGATCAGCTCCGGCTTCGAGTAACAAATTCATGATTACTGGACAAGCGACATCGTCATTATCCACCCAGGCATTTGCAAGAGCATTCAAAGGTTGTTTTGAAACCTCTCTTGGTGGTGGTGCACCGAGCCTGCGGCTTGGACGCAGGTATCTCGATTCTAAGTGAACACTCGCACCATTTCCTAATAATGCCTCGACACATTGCACACTACGTGCCAGTGTCGCCAGATATAGTGCAGTTGCATCGTATAATCTCGAATCTGGGGAGACTTCGGAGTTCTCGAGCACTGCACGAACTGCTTCATGCTTTCCATTTCGACAAGAATCGCATAGTATTTGCACCAAGGTGTCTGGCTGAGCAAATCGTAGCATCACCTTTATGGTTCTCACATGTCCCTGTGCACAAGCATAGTCGACTGCTGTGTCTCCCTTTGTGAGTTTCGAGCCGGAAGGCATCCTGCCACTTATAATATTCTCTTTGGTCTTCGGCGTCAAGAGGCTAACACCAGCCTCGAGTAATATTTCGACGATTTGGCATTATCTTTCTTTGCCGCCTCGTGAAGTGGCTTATTCCCATAGCAATCATCTGCATCTGGGTTGGCGCCCATTTGTAATAATAGAACTACTATGGACGTGTGATTTTGACGTGCGCCCCACCATAAAGGAGTCCTGCCTACAGCATCCACAGTATCAACTCCATTGCCTGATTGGAGAAGGAATTTCGCATATTCCGTTAAACCGGCAAATGCCGCAACATGGAGAGCCGATGGGGATGCTTTCAACACAGGACTCCACTCGAGCAAAGCCCATTGACGAAAATGAGGGCTTGTTTGGTCAAGAAACTTTCCAATGGCATGAAAGAACCCGTCATCTTGCACATCGTATTGGCTTGCATGATACGCCCAATTGGTTACAGCGTATTGTAGAAGAGGGTGTTTCAAACGTGCGGATGCATAGTCGTAGATATCACCGATGCTTTCATCAGATTTATCTTGTCTCAAGAGAACCCCCGATTGTAGATATGTAATAAGTGTGGTAGTCAAGCGTTTCTGGATGTTATGGGAGTCAAAAACGGGAAACTTCCTCTGCATTTCCTTGTTAGAGACATGTTCTTTCTCAGATCCTACTAAAAATTCGGTAAATGAATGGTGAATAACCTGGACTGTTTCGTCTTCCAAGATTTCCAGTAACGGACCGCAAGCCACACGCGTAATATTTTTAGGGTTTTGTAGACCCGGATGTAAGTATCCTAGAAAACAAGCGATTTCGTTGAGGCGCATCGGTCGAAAAGAATGAGTTGCCAATTCCAAAATTGTAACTTGATCACGGCTATCGATACACAATTCCTTGGCCTGCTCAGCGAGGACGTTATCATACATCTCCGCAAGGCCAACAGGGAGTATGTCACTCAAATTAGAGACACCAATTTCCCCAAGAGATGAAAGACTAGGAATTATCTGGTCTAATAGCAGCCGAGCGTATAGAAACAGGCCACTGGATCTTTTGGACACCGTCAAAAGTAGGGACTGTAATAACTTCGGGTCATCTAGGACAGCACTCAACCGGTATGAGACGTATGCCTCTATATCCTCGTCAACGAGGGCTTGTTGAAGATTGATATGTATTATTGAGGTATCTCGTAGGCTTGTTTGAAGGTATTGGTTTGGCCTGCTTGTCATCAAGACTTTGACAGCGTTGGGTCGAAAAGTAAGGAGGTCATTTAGCCGGCTAAGGAATCCGTCTTCGGCAGATAGCTGCATCTCATCCAATGCGTCGACAACACAATATACTTTGTCAATGGAGGATAGTCCCAAAAGAAGGTACTGCCATAATTGATCATCAGACATATCATCCAGTTCGCATTCCAGAAGAGGCTGTAGGGTAGCCTGTAGCCGGACGCTGTGAGGAAGTAGTTGTGCGAGCCAATCACACATTAGTGACCGGGGCTTCCTATTCACGGAAATAATTTCTCGGAAGAAGAAGAATAACACAGGAACTCTTTCAACCTTTTTGAAACGTTCAATGACGGCGGCTGAAAGGACAGACTTGCCAGCTCCAGGTACGCCTTTGATCCACAGACTCCCACGGCCGGAAGTATCGTGCCATTGGCGAAATTCATATGTATGGAGCATCCATAATCCGGTGCCAGGAGCTTGAGAAGACAAATGCCGATGGTACTCACTTGATGCGGCATCGTAGTCCGTTGGCTGAAGCCATGCTTGAATGGTGGCTAGCGCGGCGCAGCTAAGACTGGCATCTTGATGTTCAATCATTTCGTAGCCATCAGGGTTCGACTGCGCAGACATGGTGTGGAATATGGCAATTCTAGAAGAGGAGTGACTAGGAAACTTGGAACATTGTGGCAGTTATGTGGTAGGAGCGTGACCCAGAGCCGCACCTGCCATACGGACAAACGTTAGACTCAGAAATCCGAGCCCGTACCTCAAGCGGCTAAAAATAAACAGCGGGATATGCCGCAGTGGGTCTACCGTAAGATACACGTGTCTCTCTAGTGCCTAGAGTACAAATATGTGGCTATATGCTCTACAGCTAGTTTTTCTTTATACTGATTATTCTCGTTGAGACGCACATGGTCCCTATATTGGGCCGTAGGCTCTTACGTACTGGCACGCACCGCGACAAGCCCGAAAACATTCACATATATACATTTTCAGACATTCAAAACGCGAACGCAAAATCCATTGAGAGTTGAACTCAGACTTGAAATTCATATTATGCTCAATCTGATTACACTTTAAAGTTAAAATCAAGATATACACAGACATTTTTGATTGATTACTCCCATTTACCCTAGGTTCACACCAACAAACAGTGTGTGATTCGTCTGACTATACGAAGATGAATGAATTATTTACCCAGATAGAGCTAGCTGCTGCATCACCTCCGCAAAACCCTTACAGAACCCCCGGCCCTCACACTCCCGCCAAGTGCCTCTGGCCTGGTGATCGGAGGCACAATGCTCCTGCGGTGCTCCTCTTTCTTAATGAGTCGCAGCCGTACAATCGCAACTAGATCGGCTATACCATTTGTCGAAAGCAAATGGTCCGCTAGCTCAGTCGCAACCTTCACTGATCCGCTGAATCTCTTCTCCCAAAACCTATGAAACCGATTTGTATACCCTCCGTCGGGCCGGAACAAGTCCGTCATCTCTTGGACGATAGTCCTTGCTGGGTCCGCATTTAGCGCTTTGCCGATGTTAAAGGCATCTGCATCCTCCACAAAATCGCGCAACTTGGCGGTGGTAACGTACTCCTGCTTATATTCTGGCTGCGCCAGCCGGTCAAGGCAAAAGTCATACCCTGAGAGCGTGGTCTTTGAAGCACGCACAGCGACCTGCCAGTCGACATAAAATGTTATGAGGTCGCCTGCCCAACCAGTGAGGTCGCTGATGTTAAGACGGCTGTCCCTTATCTTGGCTAGGGTTTGTTTGGGTGAATTGATGGTGGGGCCATCGAGGGAGGCGCCAAAGTGAGAGACTTTGATGCTGATCGGTTCCAGAGGATCTGCCACCCAGTCGATCATGGCTATATTACGGGTGGCAACAAAGGCGATCCATTTACTGTCGAGTTCGCCGAGGGCTTCTTGGAAGTTGGGGCTTGCATAGTCGATGTGCCGTAGCCATTGCATGACTGCCTTGTTGGCGTTGTCGACGCCGTGGCTCCCTGAGCTGGCGAGGTATGCGAGTGCGAGATTGTAGACAGTGCTCATGTATGTGATGAAGTCTACTGGGCTTGTGCCCGGGTTGACTGGTTGCGGGAATGCGAGTCTATTTGCAGTGTGGAGGAGAGATCGGCAAAGATTCTTGAGATTCGGGGCATCGAAGGGTAATGCGAAAGGCTCGAATTGGAACCATGTGTTCCGCTGCTTGTTCTCGTCCTCAACTGTTTTCTTGAGTGCTGTTGTGTCTCCCTTTCGTGGAACTACTGCAAGCACTTTTGCTCTCTGTTTGAGTGGATCTTGGAGGAGCTCAAATTTGGTCGTGACGCCGTGGATCTGCAGGCCTGTAGCCTCAAGCAGACGCTCTAAGTCGCGAGATACTTGATTGCCGGTTTCCGTCGCTAGTATCTATGTATCCGGATGGCAGATATGATTGATACAAGTCATTGTTCCCGCAAGACGCCTTACCTGAGGGAGAAAGTCATCCACTTCCTTCCTAAATGCTTTCGCGGCCCGCTCCGCAGCCTGAGCCGCGCTGGCCTACTCTCTTTCTGCTGATGCGCGAAGGATTGTCCTTTCTGGGCGGGTCAATGTCTCGAGCTTAGACTTGGAGAAGGGTAACTCTCGACATCCCGATCCTTCGGTTTTTATCTCGACGATAGCGGCGATGTAGAAAATGCCCTTGAGATAGTAACCCAACATGCCGTCCGAAATCTGTGGAGATCGCATCATAGATGGATCGTATTGTATTGATATCGCATGCCCAGGCACGAATTCGAGCACACAGCTTGAAGGCAAGTCGATTCCAAGAGCGCAGATGCCCAGCTTGTGCCGCAGTAGAGTACCGATATGTGATTCTGCCAGTTCGCGTACCCGTTGACGGGCAGATCCCAACTACTAAGGGCAAAGTCACACCCTCAGGTGTTGCCGATCTGCTTGTAGTCAAACAGACCCTCAAGAGCTATCAGGGAGCCGACATTGCTCACGTTGAGAATGTGCTCAAAGGGGAGAGCAAGCAGAGAACGCACAAGACGACGAGGAGGACAGAGGGTACGATCAGCACCGAGACTGAGACAAACAAGAACGAGGAGCACGAATTGTCGACCACTAGTCGGTTCGAAATGAGCAAGGAAGCGTCCAACACCATCAAAGATGATCAGAGTTTGAAGGGTTCGCTCAAGGCCTCGGCAAAGTACGGTCCGGCCGTGACCGTCGATGCAAGCGTCGAGGGCAGTGTGAGCCGGAGCGGTGAGGAAGTCAATAAGGCTGCGAGCAAGTACAGCCAGGATGTGCTGGATCGGACGGTGAAGAAGATTTCTGAGCAAGTAATGCAGAAGGAGTTAACGACTACATTTGTCAGTGTCCACTTCGATCCCAGCCAGCTGTGCACGAAGTAAAGGGAAACATTCGGCTGACTTAAACAGAACGAGACCGTCGAAGACAATCAACATGGGATTAACAACAGCAATGGTGCCGATCATATTTCGGGAGTATACCAATGGCTGAACAAAGTGTACGGCAAATTCTCCTCCTATACAGGCGCGCTACAGTTGTGTTTTAACGGAGCATTAGGTACGAGGCGCACATCTTCAACTATGGATTGAGAATGATTTTGTAAGTTTGACGAACACCATGTCACCGGGAATAGTGTTGACAGATTCTTGCACACAGCGACTTCATGATTCCCGAGCCAGCTGCCTTTCTCACCTACGCAATCGCCGAGGGAGCCAACAACGCCGAGCCAGGCCTGCTACTAGAAAAGCCGATGCCTTTCACACTCAAACCCGCAGACATCAGCGCCTCCAACATTGGCAACCTCACTCTGAAGTATCAAGCAACCGACGTACTTCCACCCCCGGAGGACTTCGTTACCATCAGCGATCAAGCCAAGGTCGGCGGCGGCGAGTCCAACGTCTACTATGAGCATGGCGCCATTCTTTCCATCCCTTCCGGCTATGAAGCCGTCTGGGGTACCGTCTCAGCCCTAAGGAATGCGTGGGCGAAGAAGTGCGTCATTGACGCACAAGTTGGCAGCGAGACTCACCGGTTCGGCTACGACGGTGTGTGGTCATGGGGAACGAGCCTCGTCAACTGGTACAATGGCACCGCCGTCACTAGTGGGGGTTCCGTTCCTTGGGCGTTCACTACTTGGGGTATACCTAACGCCGTCGTCTCGGTCGAGGTCCTGTGCCGTGTCACTTACAGGCGGACGCAGCAGTGGCAGGCTGAGACACATGCGAAGTTGATGTCGGCTTATAAAGCGCGCATGCAGGAGTATGATGAGAAGCTTGCCCGCCAGAAGCTCCAGGAGGGTATAACCATTCAGGGGACGTAAGTATCAGGTTGTATAGTCTTTTTTTTTTTTTCCCACGATGACTTGTATTGGGACTGACACGGAGCACAACAAAAAGTAATCCTACGGCGAATTTGAACACGATCAAGTCAGAGTTAAAGAAGCAAAGCATTTCGATCCTGACAGCGCAGCATTATGATCTTTTCAACTCCATCACACGCAAGAATTCCTGTGGCTGGCCAGAGATCAACCTGAATGAGGCCGAGGCTGAGGGATTTTACGTTCGCTTCTTTGAGCAGGCGTTTGAGTGGGATCAGATCAGTACGTGCTGCCTTCCTCCATTACCACCCAAACAAGTCATCTTCTCTTGCTAACCGTGTTATTTTAGTGTACATCGCGTATCCCTACTTCTGGGGCGAGAAGTCTGGCTGGACCTCAAATCTAACCATCAATGACCCTGATCCGGTATTCGACGAGTTCTTGAAGAGCGGCTTTTCCCGAGTCGTTGTCCCAGCGAGGCCCGGATTCGAAGCCGCCATCGATCACTTCATGCGCTTTGGTGTTCCATGGAATGGTGGTCCATTGCCGCTCATCACGAGCGGTGCTTACGTCCCAATTGCGGACGAGCTTGCTGAGCGCCTCGGCAAGCAGGAGCAAGAAATTACGCAGGGTGATCCATGGGATGTGACGCTGCCGACAACCTTGATAAAGTTGAGGAGCGATAATAGTTTGCCGACTTGGAAAAGGGAGGCGAATGTTTGGGTACCAGGATAAATAGTTTGTGTTGCGGACTATGTAGGTTTAACTCTGCGGTGATATGTAAGGGTCGATGGTGCCCAGACTGATTACAACTCATGAATATTATCAATGTATGACGGCCTTGGGACAGTGTGTTGGCATGTCTGCTATAACATGTTATGTACCGTGTTTGAAAATATTTTGGAGCCCCATTGGAGAAAGACATGTTACACCACAATCGTTGAGCAGCTATAGCAAAATGAAGTGCCATCTACACTCCTCAGCGCTCCTAAAGTGCTTTCTCTCACCAAAAGTTCTGATTGTGGCCGAAGGCACCCATAGATAAGTCCACTTCAAACCTATATTTACCATTGCAATTCCACCAATGAGTGAATTGTTCCGTTGAATGACCAAGACCTGGGCAGAGTTCTCAATCCAGAGATAGAATCCATAACCCCACAGAGTAGCCAGTGCCCAGAAGAAAAACATGGTCGTAACAAGAAAAAGAGCACTTTCCTGCTCTGTTCGTGGGTTTTCGGGTTTCCAGACTATGGAACCCAAGTATATGTGGAAAAGGGACGTGGATAGTGTCATCATGCCGAAGCAAATGATGGCATGTCCAATGTACTCTTGTTGCTTTTCCATTTCCTCGCGTCCTCTCTTGTTTCTGTTAGGTAGACAACTCTTGGCGTTAGGGTTTGATGTATGTAAACAATAGGGAAGGGAACAAATTGAGTGCCTCAACAGAATGATCATTGACGATATATAACATACACACAGAACGAATATATAGAGATACATCTAATTGTCATCATTGCCATTGCTTTAGGCATGACCACAACCATCCATTTCATACACTGCAGCATCTGAGCCTGGGGTTTTGAGACCGGGCATCTCAATGGGGCCTTGTACTGCAGCCATCTCGAAAGGGGTAGTGTGTGTGAACAGCTCGGAGGGTGAATAAGGCTGTGCTGGCTGATATAAGGCCTGTTGCTTGAGTTTTCTTCGATACCAGAGCCATGCTGATCCCGCCGCAATGAGCAAAACTGCCACAACAGGGACAGTGATTGCGACTACAATGGTCGTATCAGAAGATGAAGATGATGTGGTTGATGTCAATAGAGTAGTAGTAATAGCAGTACTAGAAGAAGAAGAAGGCGAGGGCAAAGACCACGAGGATTCGGATGTAGGTAAATCCGTAGCTTGATAATTGAGTTGGAATAAAGGTGCCCATATCGTCATTTCTGTTAAGGTTGTGGTAAATGCCATGGTGCTTGACTCTCCTGGCAGCAATTTCGATACAGTGCCAGGCAAAGTTATCTGTGTTGATAGCCATGAAGTGCCATTCGAGCAGATTGAGAGGGTTTGTGTTGTAGAGGCGATTTGGCGTGTGCATGATTGATCGCTACCGGCGCTGGCGCATGCGTAACCTCTGAAAAACGAGTTCAGTCACTTTGAATCAAGTTTCTCCTTTATCTGACAAATGATGATAAGATTTGAATCAAAAAAGAGACTTACGTTGGACAACATCCTACTGCTGTCTCCCCAAATGTCGGTGAAAAACTAAAATCAAATCGCTGACTACCAGGTACTGTCGTTTGCAACCCATCCGATCCGCCTTTCATGGCACACGCTGTTACATATCCCGCGGGGCATGCAATACCAGGAGAATAAAAGCCCGACGTTGGATACGACTCAGAAGTGGTGGCCATATTTGAGCTCATAAGAGGCCAGCAAGTGGGATTATCTCGTAGAATATTGCTTCCGTCACCGCATGTTTGGGCTCGCAAGGCGTAATTGCAGAATAGACAATCAACCCATGTTTGATTGCAATCGCTGGGTGCAGTCCAAGTTGTAGTCAAAGGGCCGAGCAGGGTTTGTGTTGAGGTTATTGACGTCGCTGTTGTTTTGCTAAAGGACTGTGTCGAGGATATGGAACTTGTACTTGAGGGCTCTGAAGTTGTGAACTCGTCGGTGGTAACTTCGGAGGTCATTTTCTCCCTTTCCTATCACCGCACTGATCTTCTCTTCTCTTCTGTTGCAATTGTCTTTGACAATGTGCATAGAGCACGACTATCAAGAGATCAGCTTGTAACGTCGGTCTTGCTTCTCTAACTTTTGAAAGTGAGAGAGGGAAAAGCAGCATAAGGGTGGAAATAGGGGGAGAGCAAACGAAGATGAAACAGAAAAAGAAATTATAGTTATCCATTCATCTACTGAATGGGGTAGCTCCGGTCACTTTACAAACCCTGACCTGTGACTTGTATCCATCCTCGTTAATCACTAAGTACCCCGAAATCGGGTATCATGCCACAACAGTTTTAGTTCTACATCAAAGCGAAGTATGGCGCCTTTTGAACTCACTACTATAGGTAGATATATCATGAGACAATTTCCCTTCCAATACTCAGAGCAGGGCGAGCGGAATGCTTTACTCACTCGGTCCGCTTGTTGAGACACAAGCAAGGCTGTACCAGTCCAAGCTAAAACATGATCGACTTTTTCGTTTAGCTGCATGAATTAATTGGTATTTGGCATAGTTAGAGCCGACCGCCCTTGATTCATCAAAGAGAAAAAGATATGCCTAATTCACGAGCAACCAGAGGTTGCACTTATCCAAGGCATAGATTTGCACGTCGTCGAATTGTTCTCTCGGAGTTCATCCCCGATGCATGGAATATCCTCGTTACAATACTAATGTCCATTCCACTTTCTAACCCTCTGAACCTCCTAGTCACATCAATTCAGACACATACGTGGTTCGTGTCTAGTTCCTAGCCTGTTTAGATCACACGTGAGTATATGTAAGTACATTCCCTAATTAGCTAGTTGATCGAAATGTTTAGTTGTACACCCAGTACTTGAATAGATGTTATTAGTTAATATAATGTAATTCGATACAATACATATGCTTTATTCCGCAAGCTTCTCCCAATAATTGGGGCCATATGGCATTGCAATCTTCAGATATCGTTGATGTCCATTGACAATAGATGCTGACAATATTAGAATCGGTCTCTATCTTTCTCCCTTATTCTTTTGGTTACCATCCCCCCCAGCCTCTTTTCTTTCATTATCTCAAATAATCAGTCCTGTTCTTGCTGTTCACAGAAGAACTACAGAACTTCTTCGTCGGTTGGATTCGTTTGCCCCTCTATTTGCCTCCTGCCTTCGTTCTTGACATTGCGCCATTCCATGCAAATACTGCCAATGACGGAGAGACAAGCAAAAGTAAGAGCGACTATGTAACATACATGCAGCGAGGCGTTGTAAGCCTGTAGAACCGCACCGTGATACTGAGTTGGAATGAGCTCGAAAATCCCAGTGATACCAGCTGTATTGATTTGGTTAGGAGTGATGTGAATACCTGCAATCTTGGCGAGGCGGCTGGACAGGTGTTGGTCGAGGACATTTTGGCCGACTGAGACGAAGATGGCACTGAAAAGTGTCTGACCAAAAAGCATGAGTGAAGCACCAATAGCTACTTCATGGCGTGGAAGGACGGTCTGTGCAGCCATATTGGGCGCCTGGAAGCATCCACCCAAACCAAAGCCATACATTATCTGGTAACCGATCCATTTTCCTGTGCTCGTGTTGACCTCAAGCATGGTGAGCAAACCAGAGCCAATAGCTACAATGCAAGTGCCGGCAATCAAAAACGGTGTGTAATATCCGGTTTTAGTCGTTCCAACGCCGGCAATAATAGATGAAACAACCATGGCAATTACCAAAGGCAGGAGGTGGATGCCACTTTCAACAGCTGAATTGCCTTTAACGGCCTGAAACCAGATGGGAAGGTAATACACTTTGTATTTCTCAATCAGTATCGAATCATCATCACGGTAATGTAATAATACAGTTATTTTTCGGAGTAGATAACTTACCAAACATTGTCATGTGTACACCAACACAACAGCTCACCCAGAAACCAGAAAGGATGCTTCGCTGCGTGAAGATGTGCACTGGCACAGTGGCTGTCTTTGGCCTCCATATTTGGATTAGGATGAAAGCAATCAATAGTGCGAGACCGACGGTAAGTAAGGCGATGATACGTCCATTGCTCCACTGAAGCATGATTAGCTCTGCGTGCCCAAGGTGAAAAAAGTACGAGGTGGGAGAAGAAAGTTACACTGTACGTGAAGCCACCCCATTCTAGAGCCAAACATAAGCAGATTACCCCGGGAAGCAGTGCGATAACGCCTTCGATATTGAGCTGCTGCAAATTCTGCTTCCAGGTAGAGGGTCCTTTGGAAACAGCAGCAGTTGGCACTTGGAGCAGGAAAAAGATAAACAATAGAACCACGCCCCCAAGAGGAAGATTAATATAAAAGCACCACCTCCAAGTAACATTTGATGTGAAGGCACCACCGATCAAAGGGCCGATAATGGAAGATATACCGTACACGGCACCAAATAATCCTTGATACTGAGGTCGTTTTGGAAGCGGAACCGCGTAGATAACGAGGACGAGCTAATACGTCACTTTGTGAGCAAATAAATCTTCAATGATAAGTACTACACAAGGAGGCGAAGACATACAATGCCTTCCTGGACACCTGCGGCTCCCAAGCCAGCAATAGCCCTGCCAATGATGAAAGCGACTGAGTTGGGCGCTGCTCCACAAATCGCAGAGCCTACCTCGAACAAAACCAGCGTGCAGAGGAAGACAGTTTTAACGTTCAAAAAGGTGTATAATTTTCCAAAGACCAGTAAAAAGGCACAGTTTGTTAGCAGGTAGGCTGTGCCGTACCAGCCTACATCATCTTCTGCGTGGAATTCGTTGGTTATTTCGGGAGTGGCAGTTGAGATGATAAGTTTGTCCTGCAAATGAGACTTATCAGTAAACCACAACTACCAAAGGTACTCACAAAGGCATGCAAGGGGCTGAGCGTACTAAGGCAACTAGAAACATGGAAATGTAAAGGGAGACCATCAGCAGTGCGAACCTAAGACCTGACGGATATTCATGGTCGTCGGCAGTGTTCGGTGATGCCTTCGAAGTCTCGACCTTCTCCGGATGCCGTAGCTTGCTACCCTCAGATAACTCCATTTTTTCCTGCTTTTGGGAGTAAACGAGTGTAAATTTCTAAATGCACGTCTTTTGAGACCGTTTGTTGAAGATAGTTTTCCACCGTAAAATGTGAATGAGCTAGAATTAAGGAAACGAGGAACAAGAGAATGACTGTTGAGCAAAAGTTTATGTTGCAGAAAGCATCATTGCTGGTCCTATATATGTCGGTCCATGTATAGCGGACGGTGGACGGGATGAGCGCAGTATATGTTCATTGACCAATGAGGACCGAGCTTCATTTCTACATTCATCGTCACGTGATGACTGTCCGACTGTCCGCTGTCCGATGTCCGACAATCCAGATAGTACACGCAGTCCCTTAGCCGATGTCCCAAAAGGCTACGAGGGAAAAGCAGTATTTGGGATAGATACACTTCAATGGAGAACACACAGATGCGTGTCTAAGGATGATGGTGAATATTGTACATGCAATCATAGAAGAGAAAACTAGATGGTGCTATGGAGCGCGGCGTTGCTGAAAATGAAGTTCCTCCGAAAGCTTTAACAATCGCCCAAGAGAACCTAAGTCAGATGTTGGTACTAGGAATCGGTGGTGCGGCCTCTTTTTAAACAAGCGCCAAGTTTGAATAATCATTCATTACAAACGAGTCGATCGTCGAAACATCCAGACAGGCTTTTCCTTATTTGGCTTAGCTAATCCGCTCTGCACCAGCGGGTGCGCTAGCTCATATAGATTAGCTTCGCCCGCAGAGCCCCACCCGTCCTTACTCAATTCACGTCAATTTCATGGACTTATCGGTCAACCTCTGCGGAATCGACATAGAAGTTGCTAAAAACGGATCATGGTGCTACGGCTGCTGGAGATAAACATTCTAATGCCGATAGCATGATGTCGGGGTATGGATGGTTGAAGTAATATAAAAACGCCCGGGCGTCTGCCAGGAAAATGAAGAGTGAACCCGAACGGCTTCTCTACCGCAGTCTGGAAAATGGAAACTGTTCTTGTCATTGGGTCAACCGGTAATATTGGCGTCGCTGCCATAATTGGCGCCTTGCGTTCACAGCGTACCGTTCTGGCCATTGTCCGCAACCAAGCCTCTGCTGAAAAACTGTACCAACATGCCGGGACACGAGAGGGAATCACCACTGTCGAGGCCGACATAACATCCGTGAGTGGGATTGAAGGTGTTGTTGCTCAGGTCAAGGCTGGCAAGTTACCAGCATTTCAACATGTCTATTCAGCCGGTATGTTGTTGGTAAGGTAGATAGACATATTCACAGAAGCACTGCTGATACATGTATTCTGGTAAGCGGGCGGAAAGTACGACATGACACCTCTGCATGAAATAAGCAACGAGGAATTGAGGGAGTCGCTGAATGTCAACTTTGAGACAAACTTCTGTACGTGTTCCTCTTGTTCCTTTGATAGTAAGCTAATTTGTACATAGTTGCATACCGAGCTACAATCCCGTATTTGCTGAAAAAAAACAACCCAAATAGCACCTGGACTCTTTGCACCGGCGCTCAGGGCGATGGCGGTATGCGTGCTGGTCCGGCAATGACACAGGGTACGCTATTCTCCATGGCCAATGTGGCCTGCCGCGATAATGAACAAACGAACATTCGTTTCAACGAGGTCTATCTCGGCTTGCGTGTGGAAGTCGACGAGTCAGCAGAGAAGACAGGCTTCTTTAAAGCATCGCATTTTGCTAAGAATTACCAGGAGATCCTTGCTAGGAAGGAGATTCGCAGCTGTCGGCTAACTGTGCTTGAAAAGAAGGACATTACGGACCTTAAGTTTAAGGAGAAGAGACTTGATTTGGTTATGCACAAAGATAATTAAAAGTGCATGTTGTATTCTGTTCCCTGGCTAGTTAATACACGCAAGCTTGAGGAATCAATGTTTTCCCCTGTTCGTAATACGTGGAATAGCCTCAACAGGAGAATCAATTCAAATTACCCCTGCCCAGCTCTCCTCCACAGGCTCAGTGGCGAAGTCGTCCCTTAAGCTTCCAAAAGTCGCCATATTGACATCAAGCGCATAATTAGAACGGGCCGGATAGATGTGTGCAGCTACTGCTGACATCTGTTCAGAAAACCATGCCGGGTTGTTCACGTCAGCAAACCGATTTTCCAATGCTGCAACATCTTCACCACCCGAAGCTGTCGGGATAGCGGGATTTGGTTGGTCGGAGCCCTGTTTCAACACTGTTCCAATAGCACGGACTGCTCTGCGCGCCTCTACGGACCGGTTGACATCCCCTTTCCCACAGACTCTTTGCAACGATCAACGCATATAAAATTTCATCTCTTCTGTAAAGAACACATGGATTCTAAAGAATATCTTCGACATAGGACCCATCCAAGGCAAAACAAGCATCATCATAGCTTGTAGAAACTCATGATTCAGCAATGAGGCTATCTTCTAGCGAATGCTATGATACCTAGGTAATTGATTTATTTGGGCGACCTCAGTGTGGCGGCTGAATGGAGCCGCTGGCCCGCTTCGGGTAAACTTTTTCCGTGGCAGGGTCAGGGTTAGTATCTCATAGGGTTGTACACTAGAGTTGTGCTTGAGAGTTATTCCTTGCACCTGTAAAGACTTACATGTCTATACTCCTCGAATGCCACGTATGCAATTATAGGACAACGTATTCCTCTATATTACACTGTGTCGTTTATGCTGTTGACTTCCTGTAACAAGGCCTCTGCTACTTGATCTTTACTTGTAGTAGCCAAGAGAAAGGTGAGCATGTCGATATTTCCTTTTTTGATGGCCAACAGCAGCGGATGCCCACACTCGGCCGATGCGATGCTTCCACCGTTCTTCAGCAATTTTTCAAAATATTTTTGTTGCTACGAGAAACGGCCCATCTCAGGCCACTACTACTCATGTGCTGCAGATTATACCTTATGAGAACTGGAGCGAGAATGGAGTTGAAATGCCGAGATACCAGAGAAAGAACTAGAATGTCCCTGTTGTTTGATTTGTTTTTGTAGGCAATGAAGTAGTCAGTAACTGCTAGAATAACTTCGACCGGTAATAGTGAAATGTTCAGCATTCGGTTTCGCGAGTAGGATCGATCAAAATCCATTTTCGTCTTCGGGTTTTTAGAGATTTGGCTTCGATAAGAATGTCGATGGTCGAGAAGATAATTTATAAAGTTGAAACTTTGTCTCAACTTTTGTGTTTGAGTGTGTTGGTCGTAGACATGCTTTTATATCAGAATATGGGCAGATCAAGGGTGCAGGATTCTTAGCATTAACTGATATTTTCATGAGAGGTTCCAGGATCTGTCGTGAAATAGCTCTATTTGCTTTCTTTGTGCGGGAACTTTCCATTCTAAGTTTTCATCAAGCAAAACATTATTGGGTTCTTTTTGTCATTGACTGACAAATATCCGTTCTGGGAGCTCTCACACAGCGGTGACGCCTTTTAGCACCGCTCGTCTTTGCACCAGAGATTTTCTCTCCGTCAGATATTGCCAATACGGGATGTTTTGAGTCTCAGATATTGCTTCTATCATTGATCTCATCCACGTCGCCTTATTATTCCGACTAGCCTATATGCACTATTTTCAGTATATTCCCGTGGACATCCTGGCCACAGTATAATGTCCAGGATATAGTTTAGTTTGACGGTGACGATATGGTAGGGTATGGTGAATAAGAAGTCGTTGTTGTTTTGAAGCTCATCTAGCAACGGACGTTAGGCAATACATACATGGTCATCCATGGGTCATGCTAACTGTCCTATGAATGAGAGATTAAAATTAGTTGACACGTTTAACATCGTTACTTTGACAAATTACAAAATTAGATATCGATGGAAAGGTCAAGACTAATTTCAGATCAAATGCAATCGCATTTTTCCATGTTCCAAATATTCCCATCTAGAATTTCAGGATGCTCGCCGTCGACCGGTATCTCAGGAATACCCCAAGGCGCTAGAAAGACGGCATGAGGTTTTCTTCCGAGCAGCGAGAGGAATACCCTGCTCGATGGGCTCACGCTGAAGGATGACATCACTGTTTTTTTTAAAGGCTGCGATGCCGCGCAAAGCATCACTCAAGAGATGTATCTTCTCTGAGATCTCTACACTCGGGTACATGTAACCCCCTCTTTGCTCTGCGGCAATACAATCAACTCAATTTGGCTTAGGTACACTGCAAAATCATCAGCCAACCAGTATCCATTTGGATAGATTCTGCAACTGCGGCAAATGTTCCTAGTGGAGTCAATGACGCTCGTCTGAGTTCCTGGGGTCACATGCGGCTGGTGTCTACCGACTTGGAGAGCTCAATTTCCGGCTAGGTCGTTGGCATGCCGAGTTGCCTGATAGTTCAAGATGGATTCTGCCTTCATCACAACACGATCCGCTACATCATCACCACCCGGTAAGTGAAGCTGTTTCTGTACACAGCCCAAACTCTTGTCCCACACAGTCTCTTCTATCATAGCATCAACATTTCCCTAAACCGACACTTTATTCGTCCTTCAGGCGGATGTCTCCTAAACAACGCATCTCAGACGCTATGCACAGGATCCTGTGAAACAATCATCATGATTGCCCACCAATTTCGTAATCGGGGGGCGGCAAACATGTAGCAATCGATGATAGTCTACGCTGTTGTCATGGCCATCATCTCTATAATCTATACCTCCCCCGCACAACAGCTGGCCAGCGACTTCCGCATTTCATTCTTACTGAAAGTGCTTTAAGTCTGCTCACAGATTCGCAAGCTAGCAGAAGAGGCTCGAATGCGTCTCATTTCGTTTATTGCCACAAGGTCCTTCGCAAAAGGTTCGGCGCCCGCCCAGCCACGAGAGCGAAGGCACAACCGATGACAACAAATTCCCTGCTTCCTGAGCTTCCAGAGGATTTGGGTGGTCAAGGAAATTTACTGGACAGTATATACACACTCTAATGGAAGAAAATTTATAAAACCAGATGAACTGGACAGCTATTCCGACATACCTGGTATGCTGCTTCCAGTTCACCAGGGTCTATTCGGACTTGACTCATGTTCTCCTGATGGATATGAACTAGGCGGTGATTTCCGTGGCCCGTTTTCTATCGGGCAATAGTGTGGATACATGCGTATACAGTCTAGGTTAGGTGTTTCCATTCCTTCAAGCAGCAACTATACCCTTTGCAAGTCCAGCTTCAATGCATCCCACTAGACTATTGATGTCATCAAGATTATTGTAGAATCCTAGGGACACTCTCACACCGCACCGGTTGTGGGATACGTAGATATTCGATTCTCGGAAATGGCTTTGCCAATCAGGGTGCAGCAGACGCAGAACATATATGTGCGGTGCTCGCTGTGAAGCAATATTACTACCAGCGACCGACACACCAAGAGACTGGCACCGCAGAATCAATTCCCTGCCAAGTGATCGGAAATGCTTCTCCAATCTAACGATTCTAATCTCACCAGTGATCAATGATAGCGATGCGTCGAGTGCTGTGGCAGTGAGGAGCGACACGTTCAGATGCTCGTATCTTTTTGTTGTAGGCCAGTAGGTAACATTTGGGTCAGCTACAAGCGTGCCCGGAACGTTGGAAACAGCTCCTGCCCCAACAATCGGTGGTGTGGTATGTAATTCTCCGAGGACAGCCGGGTCAATATACAAACAACCGAGTCCAGTCGGTGTTCCTAGGCCCTTGTGGCAACTGAATGCCGCCGCGGAGACATGCCATGCTGTCAGATCGATCGGAGCCACGCCAACGTGCTGTGTGATATCGACAAGCACATGGATTCCGCGGGGTCTGTAAACAGCGCAGATATCGCGGACATCATTCAGTTGGCCGTTGTGGAACATGACACTTGATATGCCAATGGCAACAGTCTTTGCGTCAACATACGCGGCGAATGTTTGGGCATTTGCACACCCAGAGCTCGCATCGTTGCCTTCCACTTTCACCCGACGCACTTCCAGTCCCTGGTCGGCCAGGGCGAACCATCCGTATAGATGATTGGGATGCTCGTCTTCCAGAAGAACAACGTTGCTGCCGGGTTGAAGCTTGAGGGAGCGCTGGAAAAGATTCAGTCCCTCGGTAGTATCACGCGTGAACGCGAGTGAAGTTGGGGCTACATTCAGATATTCAGCTAGACGAGCCTGCGCTTGCACGGCGCTTGCCTGCCAATCGGCCTTGGGGTTTGGATTGATCGTGGCATCGATGAGAAACTTGTTGATGGCTGAATGAACTTTGAGGTTCATCGGGAGTTGGAATGAGGCATTGAGGTAGGTTCGGTTTTCTTCTGCTGCCACAGGGACTAGAGCTCTAAACCCTTGTAGGGCAAAGCTGGTATCCGGGGATGCAAAGACTTCGTTTGTGGCGTCCATTGGTTCTGACTTCGTCGGATTATATATTAATAATAATTTCCAGAATGGCAAGGCCTTGAAATATTGTCAATTTTTCTGCTTTATTTTATAACTATGTGGCTGCTGCGTCGCACACCAAAGTCCGCGGCCTCCTCCAAGCGGACAAGCACCTCCGCTTAGTGCCCATGGCAGTCAAAGCAGAAATTATGAAAGTATAAGGATAAGAAGATAATAATAATATTGGTACCCCATCATTACGTTTGTCAGTAGAGTATCCAAAAACATGTTCAAAGGAATGAAACAAAATATGACTGCGAAGTCGAAGCGCCAGAGGGCCCATCGTGTTGGTGCCTTAGGCATAATACCTTCCCGGTATTAGGCAATCTAATAGGCAATCTAATAGGTATGGCTGTGAATATCAACTCGGCGTCCAAAGAACCACACAGCACCTTTCTTAGTCCAGTCAATGAGATGATGGATAAGTTAATAGAAGGGTAGCTAGCCATCCTGACCGCCTAGCGAACGCTTTAGTATAAACAGTCTATATTGATACCAGGACTGATATCATGAAGTGGCTTATCATACTTGATTAATATACGTTATCTTTAAGAAATACTATAAATTGTAGCACTTAATCTACCTAGGGAGGCATTGCTAGCTATTAGGACTGATGAATTCAAGCTTGTTCTCCAAGCTACGATAATCTAGCAGAATCTTTGATTCTATTCTTACCGACCGAGATTAAGCAAAGCGTATATCAATCAATGTTATAGAAGCACTCTTAAATACTCTAGATAGGGATATACTGTGGTACTGCATCGGACCTTACCACGGGACGACCAATTAAATCGACATGGCTTGGAGTGTGATCATTGAAGTTAGATAGGCAGCCAAGGTACCAGCCCCCAAACTCATTCTGACGCCTCTGACACGTAGCAAGTCTTAATCAGGGTGCAGTCATGAGATAACGGCCACACCGAAGCCTGCTGCATAAGCGGCATGCTTATCTCAAGCAAACAATACGAAGATAAGGGCCATCTACGCATTGCTGAGAGAACAGCGCGTAAAATAACCAAGAGAGGAAAGGAGATAACATGTACCCCTGTGCTTGCAAGGGTCAAGAATAGTAAAGCTATCCCGCGGTGACAAGCCTAGAGAGAAAATGGTCAGAAAGCACACGAGCACCATAAAAAAGGGCCCTCCTACTATGGAGGAACGCTATTCGGAATTTGGTAATTTGCTTACTCGGCAGTGGAGCAGGACAGTGTGCCAGCCAATCGGCAGCAGACAAGCGGAAGCTAGCAATATTCCTGCGGCGGCTGTGAGTGGCTGAAATAGATGGGTGGGATGCTAGTTGCGTCATTGCGCAGCGACGCTAGAGTGCAAAGATTTCAATATTGATTACACCCCGCCTGTGCACTATATCTCATTGGCTGCGCATGGTTGCAACCACGCGGGTAACTATGGCTAAGACGCGCGCTAAATCGTGGGTTTCTCTCAGGCCCCGGCAAATTACAACGCGCTAGCGTGCAATTCTTGCAGCCGCTGCCACACGCGCTCTTGATTGATCGATGGCAACGTGGGAGTCTGTAGCTATCTCCGCCTAGCGCCAATCAGCCATCCCGTTCCCCCTCCCTAGTTCCCGATCGGGAAAGTTTTCACTCGCATGATGGAACGGCCCCGATCCACTTATCTTTGCTCTCATTCGGGACAAAATTTTTCGTAGGCTTTAATAAGCTTTAGTTTTTCCCTCTTTCTTTTCATCTGTTTTCACTCTTCCCCTCCCTTTCTGCTTCCTGTGTAGAGTCAGGAACTACGAGCTTGCCCGTGCGACTTTTACGGCCTCAAATTTTTCTCCGCGTGATCGAGAGGCAGTCCATGGACCAACATACGCTTATTGAACTCCCATCGCAACGCAAGAGGATAGTACGCTATTTCAAGTAGCGGTAAAAACTACGACAGTGTATACGAAGAGTATAAATTTATATACTCACGCCCCAAACAACATAAACAACGCCTAACGCGACAAACCTTGGAACAAATCAAGCGAAAGCAACAAGTTAATCACAATCTGGTAAACAAAAATGTCGGCCTCCAATAGCGAAAAGAACTCCCTGGACAAGAACACTGCGTCACCCAATGCGCCCGGACCAGTGAAAAAAAACAACCAGCGCATTCTTCAGCTAGATGAACTTTCTGACGCTGATAGAGCCTTGGCCGAGCAATTCGGTTACCAACCGGTACGCCCATCACACTCTCTCAGTCTAGCATTCTACATGTAGTTTCGGACAGAGCTTGGCCCCAGCATCTCAAACCCCTTTGAGCAATCAAGAAGAACATTGTTATTAACACAAAGCAGGTCTTCAAGCGCGAATTCGGTTATCTATCCACGTTTTCGTTCGCTTTCAGTATTTCTGGCCTCTTTGCCACCATCGCGACTACCTTTTCGTATCCCCTCGAAGCCGGAGGCTCCTCCGCTGTAATTTGGTGTTGGCTGATTTCCGGTTTTGGTTGTATGTGTATTGCTGCCTCGGTTTCCGAATTAGTTTCGGCCTACCCAACAAGCGGTGGCCTGTATTTCACCGTCTCCCGTCTTGCTCCCTCGCGATGGGTGCCATCAATTAGCTGGCTCACAGGTTGGATCAACCTGCTGGGTCAGGTCGCTGGTGTTGCTTCGTCAGAGTACGGAGCGGCCCAAATGCTGTTGGCGGCAGTGTCTATGGGCCGGGACTTCACCTGGAGTCCATCAACTGGAGAAACTGTCGGCGTAATGGCTGGTTTGACTGTTCTGTGTGGTATTCTCAACTCCATACCTACCGGTTGGATGGAGAAGATGACTAGGTCGTATGTCATTTTCCACTTGCTTGTGGTAGTCACCTGCAGTATTGCGCTGCTAGCCAAAACCGAAGACAGACACGATGCAAAGTACGTCTTTACCAATATTGACAATGCGTCTGGATGGACTCCAAACGGCTTCGCGTATCTATTTGGATTCTTGTCTGTCTCGTGGACAATGACCGATTATGATGCGACAGCACACATCGCCGAAGAGTGAGTTGTATACTCTCTTTTATCTCCCCTGTAATTTAATCTGCTAAGCATGTATTAGGATCCAAAATCCGGAAGTCAAAGCCCCCTGGGCAATCTTCCTTGCTATGGCCACTGTCTATGTTGTCGGGTGGCTGTTCAACATTGTATTGTGTTTCTGTATGGGCGACCCAAGTACAATCCTCAACTCTCCTATGGATCAGCCCGTGGCCCAGATTTTCTACAACAGTCTTGGCAAGGCTGGCGGTCTCGTTTATGCTTCATGCGCCGTTGTCCTCTTGCAATTTATTTGCCTCACTGCCACTCAATCTCTCGCTCGTACGGTCTTTGCCTTTTCTCGCGACCGCTTGCTCCCGTTTTCCAATATCTGGGCCAAGGTCAACCCTATAACCGGAACTCCGCTCTACGCCGTGTGGTTCTCCGTCTTCTGGTGCATTGCCATCAACTTGATCGCTCTTGGTAATTATGCCGCTATCGAGGGTGTCTTCAACATCACTGCCATTGCCCTTGACTGGTCGTACATGATTCCCGTGATTTGCAAGATGGTTTTTGGTCGATTCGAACCTGGCCCGTGGCACATGGGTAAATTTTCGTACTGGGTCAATCTTTGGGCTGTCTTGTGGACGGCTTTTGTCTCGGTCATTTTCTTCTTCCCAACGGCGCAACCTGTTACTGCTGAAAACATGAATTATGCCATTGCCTTCATGGCCTTCATTTTCCTCTGTTCTACCGTTTACTGGTTTATAAGAGGAAGGAAGTTCTATGTTGGTCCACTCAAGGAAACCACAATTCAGGGAGAGGGTGGCATTTTGGAGGCGGTTTCTGTCAAAAATACAGAGCAAAAAGAACAAACTATTTCGGCTTGATCTGACAGTCATCAATCTAAATATCTGTGATATGTATGATGCAAGTGACTTGGCTTTGCAATTTCTGGAATATTATCGAAGCAGCGCCCTTTAAGCCTTCATCCATCTATCTGTATTTTGTACTATGTAATACTATATACCATGTCAGAAGAAGCTTAGAAATGAATTCAAATTAAAAAACTTGATTAGAGAGGTATTCCTTTGCCATAGTGGATTGTCTCGTGATTCTTTAACGGCTTGATTATACAACGAGTGATCCCATTGCTGATCACGTAGTATCCTGCCGATCATTATACATAGAACATGACACCGCAATATAGTCCATGAGAATCCAAGATCTCGACGTTAGGATCATACATAATACATGCACATATGGACTTACTAGGCGGACACCCCTTATTATAGAGACACACCCCAATAAGCTATACACTTTCGGATGAGTAAAGTAACTGGTGTATACTCCCACCATATGCCTATGCGTCCAAAGGCTAATCCGTTTAGGATTGCTGTCATCCACTCCAATTCAGGCCACTTTCAGGAACGTCGGCAACTGAGGAGACCATGAGCTAGCTATCTGTGGCTCACCAGAAGACCGAGCCTAAAAGCATTAACCTGCTGAGGCACCCCACGAAGCCTTAGCTGTATAAGATCAAAGTGATATTGTTACCCTCCAAAGCGGCTGGGTTCACCTGTAGACTTTTGAGAGAATCAATGCATGTATGAACAGGATCATTTTCAGGATTTCAACATAAGGCAGGCCTGTAGCTGTTTCATCAATTCGTCTCTCACCCTGAACTCATGGAAATGGGAATGCATTCCAGGCTTCTACTCACGCCGGCCACAAAACCTCTATACCAAACCCTCTTATTCAAATAGCAGTAGTCTTGGCTCACCACGTTCCCCCCTCATAAGGATAGGTGTATCTCTTTTCCCCCTTCCTCTCCTTGCAATCCATATACTCAACCAGTTTCTGGTCAACCAAGTGCCTTAGATCCAGACTCTGGCCATGCTGCTGATCTTGGTCAATGGTGAGGGCATTGACACTCACATACCCCGTCTTCTGCTCCAGGTACAGAGCCGGATCCATCCGCCACACAGATAGCCTATCTCGCCCTTCAAATCTCTTCGGCGAGATTGCCTTGTCAACCAGGTCCCTGCTGATCTCATCCTTTATCCACGGCCCTGCGGTCGCGAAGCACCGCACACCGCATGTAGGGCAAAAGAACCACTGCACGTGACCGCTGCCGCAGCGATAATCACCTATTGATTCGAGATCAGGCGGAGCTAAGACGAAAAACTGATTCGCTGCGTCCGGGAGGCGCATATGAAAGTAACCCATTTTCTGGCAGGTCGTGCAATTGCATTTGTAGAAGCGGGCGCGTGATGGCGTCGATTGATGGGGGTTAGGCGCCTTGGCTGGTGGCAGGGGGATCACTGCCACATATTGGATAAAACCGCAGTGGCAGGAGCCACTGTACGGAAGGGCAGACTGTGACTGTGACGAGGTGGACATACTTATTGTAAGTGAATGTTTGGTATTGTAAGGTCGTGGCATTTTTTATATGCATCGGTCAATTAGTGCTCATGTTGCTGCCTAAACTGATTAGTGCGATTGCGCTATCTCTATAACACGGGGTGTACAAATAACCAATCAGGGTGCTCACAGCTCTCATAGGGCTACGGGTTTTGCGGATTTACGCTTAACTCCGGCGACAGCTCGGCAGGACAATTACCCCGGACGATTGCCGCATTAGGCAATTCTGAATGAAAGTCGCCATGTGCTTCGCTCGCGAACCTATTCTGCACATGAATTTATAACGCTTGGGATCCCCCTTTCCCTTCGCCATTCTTTAGGATCAATTGACTTACGTCTTCCGGTTTGAATTAAAGAGAGGACCTTCTGACAAGCAACAATGCCTTCGTCCAAAAACATCAATTCCTATCTTGAGGAAATTAAGAAGGATCAGTCCAAAACCCTTGGATTGTCAATTGGCCCGCACAAAGATGTTGCAACAGGCGCAAAGATTCCGAAAGCAGGTATGTTCAATTCCATCCAAGAGCTTTGCTTTTTGGAAAGTGAAGAAGACGCCGTTGCATACATTAGGTACTAATTTACATCATCTAGACGGACAAAGCCCACCAGAGCTACGCCTCCCTGCCTCTCTGGCTTTCTCTACAGACACCTACATCATGATAGCTATTGACATCGACGCTCCATTCGTGTCCTGGCCCGGTCTCGGCCCCATCCTGCACTGGGTGCAGCCGGGTTTCAAGCACGACCCAAGTACAGGGGTGTTGACTTCCTCAGAACCATTCATTGCCAACTACATTGGACCAGCGCCGCCGCCACCGAGCTCACCGCATCGCTACTGCTTTTTCCTGTACAAGCAGCCGGAGTCGCTGGATGTGAGCAAGTATGCGCCAAAGGATGGCAAGAAAGTGGGTAATTTTGCGCGCATGTGGTTCGACTTGGAGAAGTATGAGAAGGAGTTGGGCTTGACAGGGGGAATTGTGGCGGGGAACTATTTCGTGAGTAACTAGATCTTTGGTATGTAGGATTCGTGTTTTGATTTCTGCATGTTTTTTTTTTTTTCTTTTCTTTTTTTCAGAAGCAAGATATCCCTGTTCGAACTAGTTAGTTTCCTTGGAAGAATCAATACAATGAAGTTTGGTAAAGTTTGTACTATCCAGGTATACAGTGCGTACGTAAGTGTGACTCTGACATGTAATGTTTGACATCGAAATGATAGCTGCTAAGTTATAACTACATACATTCCATTAGTCACCTCGAAACTTGGAACGCATTAGAATGGGAGATATCGACATATTGGACCAATTATGTAGTACAGACAGCAGTAAAACTCGGTCACGCTATGTATACTAGTATTGCAGGTAGAGGACCTAGGGCTAGCCTAGAATTGTACAATGCCTGATCAATAAAGCGCACCATATTGCAACATTCTCAATGATAATTCATAGTAGAGGGTTGAGTGGTGTTTTCAACTTTCTTGGTTCTGGTTTTCGGTTTGGATATTGATATATCTACGTAATGGGCTTAAGGGGGCTGCATGCTTATGAAATGATTTCAATTAGAATGATTTAACGCAAAATTAGGGATACAAAATCGCAATAATATCTGGTGTCATCATGTTCATTCTGCGAGATATTGATCCAATACACGTGGCCATTGTTGCTCTATCCTCAAGGAGGCATTGGTTCCGTTCATAATGGCGAGGATTGGCAGTAGTATACTGCTGGTCATTCTATCTATTGGAGGTAGATCTATAGCAAATTTCTTGATCGTACAACACATGCTGAAACCATATCGCAGATACGCACGTAAAACTCTGTCGTGCGCAGCGGTTTCCAAAAGGGGAACCGCCGGGGCAAACTATGAAACGAGATACCATAAGTCTTGTATGCCTCTTTGGGACCGCCATGCACTCACATCTAATATGCTCCATAGACTGTGGTGGGCCTGAGGCTCAAACAGGAGGCAGCAACTTCCCATCAATCTAATACGCCGCTGCCCTTCACACGCATCTTCTTCACTTCTCGAGTCAAACGATGTGACAACGGAGCATTACACCTGAAAAAGCACAATTTACACGACTCCTAGAAAAGCTCTATAAGGGACCCTTTTTGGCGCCATATTAGACAAAACTCTACTGTTACGATGGCATCGCTAGAACCTGGCCCCTCTGTGCCAACCGCCAGTGCACATCCACCTGGCACTGCACCAGCAGACCTAACTTCTGGTGCCATTTCTGCTACCGTTGAAGAGAAATTTTATGATCCTCAGCGCCTTGATCTACTCAATCGTCTAGTTCAACTGATAGGATTAACGTCTTTCCCCTCCGCCTGGGCTTGCCTATGGCTGTCCGACATCGAACGGTTTGAGACTTTGATTCACGCAGTCACCGCAGATCCTGCCTCTGGCCATACGACCCTTCGTGGACATTTAGAAACCAATAACCTCATAACATTGCTGCCTACTTGTACATCCATCTGCCCTATGTTTTCCAGCGCTCACGTTTTCTTTCTAGCTTTGAATAGGGCTGTCAAAAACTCGCAACGTGCAACAGTCGAACGCCAGCACTTCGATTCCGACGATTTCTGGGTCAAATGTGGCCATCCCATCAACCCTGAAACGCAAACTAGACGAATTGGAAATGTCTGGGGGCTCTCGGAAACGATCTGCACAGGCAGTCACAACAGTGGGTTTCTACCAGCGTTCCTTGCCATTTTTACAACCCCTCACTGACTAGTGGTAGTGCAACGAGAGAGATGGGAATGCCTGTGTTTTGACTAAAGACGGCACACACGACGTGGCGCATATATACCCGTTCAGTCTACACAACAGTCGTCCGGATGACACTTTTCGTACTAGCTTTTGGGCACTATTAGGCACGTTTTGGTCCGAACGCCGCCTTCAGTCCTGGAAACAAGCAGTCTTTCCCAACGGGGGTTATGACGAACTTTGTTACAATATGATCAGCCTTTCTCCAAGTGCACATCGGTACTATGGTAAAGCGTACTTCGTTCTCAAGCCGATCTCCCTTTCTGATGACCAGAAACGATTTGTCGTTCAGTTTTTCTGGTTATCCTGCGGAGATTTCAGAGGAAATCCCAGGTCTTTGGTAATTCTGGAAACCAGGCCACCGCTGGGCGTTATGGGTTCTGTGGGACCTGCTCGTTCTCGATTGTGGAATCATGAAACCGGAGAGCCAATCCGTTCTGGCGACATGATTACCTTGGAGACCCACGATCCTATTTCTCACCCCCTGCCAGAATGGGAAATCATGGAGATGCAGTGGTTCCTCCACCGGGCAGCAGCCATCAGTGCAGCTGCTGATGTGAACGATGACTATTATGACGATGACGGCAATGTGATTGGGGCACTAGCTAAGGACCTCGCCGAAATGGAGGATGACGACTACGTGACTGAATTTGGATCTACCTATAGTGAACCTGAATCACACTCGTCTGATCCGTCTTCTGTCTCGACTGGCTTGCATAAAGCGACTGCCGGTGCACGTTCTTCACTTGATACCGTGACCGAATCTTCGATGGACGTCGAAGGTCAGTGATTGTGTAGCATAACAGTCCGTCGTGTTTTTATGGGACAGGTTTTACAATAGCAGATCGAAGCACTCTATCATTTCTTTGAGTTTCAATTTCCAATCCTATGCGAACAGTTCATCTTGCTTCCTTTTTCTTGCTCTTGACATCAAACTATTCCCATCCCTAACATGTACGCATCCTGACTGCTTCTCCTCTCGATATACAAAGAAAGCAAAGCAATCGTCAAGGGCCTAGTGACATCTTACCAAAGCAGACGCATGTCATAATAGGACCACAGACCGAGCCTGGCATATCTGCTACACAACAGTCTGTTGCAATAAGTGTGGGGTTTTGTATTTCATTTCTATCCAATTACACTAGCTTAACCATTCACCAGTGCAACTGTACCGGTAATATAGCAGAGCTTCGCTGTGCTAATCAGCTGATTTGATGCTGATCTAAGCTTTTGATCTGGTATGAGAGTAGATATTCGAAATAATGGTATTAGTATTACACATAATAAAACACGCTATTTATCTCCTTTTGGAGAGGAAAAATATACATGAAATTATATGGTACAATATCTACAAGTAGACGATCAACCAGTCAATCGACACAAATTATGTGCCATCATATGATGACAACAACGTAAAACTTTTTTCAAACACCCTAACCCACGGGGCTCTTGCATGTGAACGAAGTAGTGACACTTGAGGCGTATGCCGCTTTCAATGTCTCAATAGACGAGTAAGCACCTAACCCAGCGAGAGCCAAAGCACCAAGACAGTAAAAGATGTTGAAGATGCTCATGTAGAAATATTTGTTGGTAGCCCAGCCGGGGAAGAAGAGGCCTCGGACAAAGCGTTTGAAGCCGGAGTCTTTGCGAATGGTTTCTCCGGTTTCCGGCTGGAAGCCTTCACCCTCCTGCATGGCAAACTTCTTGATCCAGAATGCGGTAGCAAGGAATGGTGGGAAAGTGTAGGTGAAGTGCAGAATACAGAACGAGGCAACAACGGATGTCAGGCCAGAGAAGTTGGGAATGGCAGCAGCAATGACAAAGGCAACAGCCCAATAAATTGGGATGATAGCGACCCAGGAGATCTTTCCGCGCTTGGTGGTGAGAGGAGGGAAGCGGAGAAACTCGACGAAGATGCTGTTGTAGAGCACCTTGACACCAATGTTTCCATACAAAGCAGCAGCAATGACAGCGCTCACCATGGCGAAAACATTACCGGCAGTCTGAATGGCATATCCACCAACACCCAAGTAACTAGGGTTGACAACGTACTGTCCCTGGTATCCGTACATGAACAGACCGTAGAACATGTACCAGAAGTAGATGAAGGCCTGAGCAGCCCACATGCCAGTCAAGAAGTCTTTGGGTCGTTTCATCTCGGCCATGAACTCGGGGAAAACCATAGCACCACCGTAAGAGAAGACAGCGTTCATGGCCCCGCTAATAGAGCTAGCAAAGCCACCGGTGTTGGGAAGACCGCCAGAAGTAGTGACAGGTGGATAGACTCCTTCAGCGTTGGGAGTGACAAGAGCACCGCCGTTAATGGAAATACCAGCGGATGAGCCAATGGCCTGGTAGTTAGGCGGGCTGTGGGCAGCACCACCCATACTGATGAACATGCAGATCAAGTTTATCCAGACAGCAGCATTGGCGATCCAGCCGAATTTCTGCAAGGTACGAATCTGACCGACGATGAAGCCGACAATGGCCCAGATCAAGCAGCAAACAATGAAGCAGAGCTTGTACTTTGAAACTTCGGACAGGGCTTCTCCGTTGGAGATGACAATCAAACCAACATTGAGAATCAGCTGAATGCTCTGCAAGATGTTACACAAGTAGCGCATCCATGGACCATAAAGACGGAAACCGAGATCTCCAAAATGGCGAATGGGGAACTGGAAGGAGTCGAGACCCATAAAGCAGACCCAGAGCAGGTAGCCGGAGTAAATGGCCAGAGCAGCGAAGACGGTGAAAAGGGCAACACCAGGACTAAAACTACGGTCAGTTTCTATTTGTCTTTTTTTTTTTTCAAGAGAGAGCATGTTCTAGAGCCACTCACCCCCAGCCCATACTTCCAAAGGCATATGGAAGACCGAAAGGACCCAGAATATCAGTTGTAATCAGGTAGAAAATGGCACCGCGAGTGGCAGTACGAAGGGCACGAGAGGCGTTGGTCCACTCGTCATCGGAGACGTTGGCAGTCGCCGTGGAATTGTTGGCGGCGGGGTCCTTCTGCTCAGTACTGACCTGGACACCAGAGTCGGACTTGGAGGGGAAGATAAGGGAGATCCAACCGCGCTCCTGGTCATGGTCGACATAGGTATCCTCCTCGGCACGAGCCAGCTGGGCATAGTAGTTGTACTCCTCGAACGAGACGGAAGTATCGTGGATGGGACGGTGCTGGGGACGGATTCCTCCGCGTGCTTCCACAGCATCGGCAATATCACGCTCCTTCTCGTGAAGGCGCGGATCGCCACCGTCACCAATGAGGCTGGCGGGTTGAGCCATGATGATTCGGGAGACGAAAAGGGACGACGAGACAAAAGGGCTGTTCAACAGCTACGTGGCTGTCTTCTTCCCTCAGCGATTGACTTGAGCTGCCTGGCTTGCAGAGAAGAAGAAGAGAGGGAAAAGAAAGGGCCGCGATGCTCTCTTAATAAACGGCTGGCGGTGGGGAAGGAGCGGCGAAAACGGCAGGTGGGAAGGCGATAAGCAGCGCACAAGGAAGGCACGACGATTTGTCGGTCAGAATCTTCAAACTCTGCTTTCTGCACGTTTGACGCTGCAAGAAAAAAAGTTCCATCCCTTCGAGAAATTCAAGTTGGCTGGTGGGTCGGCGGCCAGAGCGGGGAAATCCTGGGCGCAAAGCTGCTTCTGATTGGCTGTGCAGAATGTGCATGTTGATTTTGACTTTCTTGGCCATTCCAGAACGAACTAGCCCCGGTACTTAGTCCGGAATGGGACTAAGGAGCTGCCGGATTTGGCACGGAGATCTCTGCGCTAGGCGTAACTAAACCTAAGAAGACATATGCTATGCAGCAAGTGGCAATATGCCCAGTCTTGTCTCTTGCAAGTCCTTAGTCCGTATAGAGGACCAGGGTGTGACAAGGAAATACGACCCCGTTTCTCGCTTGTGCGAACCCCTTTGCATTGTATGTAACCTAGCGAAAATGCCGCCAGATCTGACCCACAGCGAACATGCGGCTAAGCAAATCTCTTTTTCTTTTACTAAAACGAATCCACTATCTGCTGCCGGATCGGGTGATGCAACACGTGGAAAGCAGAACCAGCCTCCAGTGGGCATACAATTCGTATATATTTGTCCTGATTTATCATCGTATGAGTGTGGACTGATTCCTTCAACCACTATCAGCAACCAATAGCAACGCTTCTTTGCTCCAACATGGCTTGACTATATGGTATACTCGGTACGTAGTACGGAGTATACAGTATCATATGGCGCTGTGGCGCACATTGTGTGGTCAGACCGCTTCCAATAACTCGACGCCAACGCCAGGCAAAAAGCTTCTATCATTCACGCCATTTTACAAGCTTTGGCATAATATTAATGACCTTCCTTATTGTTTCTAGTGGAAGCAATGCGTGCCGGCACGTCTTTGGCCAGGGTCATGGAACGATGAAAATTCAAAAGCGGTAATATTCCAGAAACATGGAACTGGCCAAGCATCTCGGCCCGAAACGAAAATTTTCACTTCCTCGAACTTGGTTCAAAGGCCGGAAATAATCCCAACAGGCATGACAAGTTTGTTTGATTTGTATAATTCTATTCCATTATTCACCGTGATGATTATGCTTTATCGGCCAGCGCCGGTGGCGAGCAACACACGGAGTAGTAATAAGCAGCACGCTTTTGATTCGTGCTACCGTTCGCCACTGGTAGGCGTGCTAGAGAAAGTTTATAAGGGAGATGTCTCACTGATTTTGACAGCCGGATCAGATAGGAAACCCGCATGGTAAAAAGGTTGGCCTTGATTGACTTTTTGCTGAGAAAGCTTGGAAAGCTTAGTACATACGGCTACGAACACTGTAGTCACTCCAGAGTTCACGTGAGCCAAGCCACCAAACTTGGCGCAGAACAACATTCCCTTCTGCCTGTTTCCCTGATTCAGGAGCAATGAGTGCGTCGTCATGCAGTAACCATGTCGTATATGCGTCACGTTGCAGTAGTAACAGTTAGTCGTCGATCACGCTATGTACTAAAATCCAACAGCGGGCAGGCCTACGGCAGCCTATTCGTACAACCTTGCCAAAATTTGTAATGTATTGAAATATGATAATGCTATAGAAAATAAAACAATGCCTATGTAGCTTGCTTATAGCAGGAGTTAATCTGTTTATGGATTAGTCTATATATATATGGAACTATATAACCTAATTTTGTTTCTATATAGAGTCCTTTAACAACTTTGAAATTCATTAATATCATGAACGTTCTCATGGATTTTTAGTATATTAAAATATTTTAATTTATAAGCTTATTAAGGTCTAATCTAACTTCTTTAAACCTATTAACTTATCTTTCCTTCTTATAATCTACTAAAAATTCTTCTTTATCAAGTAGAGTAAGCAACACAATATAATTATCTTATTTTAATTAAATTATATTTAGCTTATTAACTTAAAATTAGATTTTAATTTAATTAATTAATTTAAAATATTAAAAATTGCTAGTTATTGAGTAATAAATAAGATAATAGATAATTCTTATAATTATGTTCTATCTAATCAGTAAGATTATTCTTAGGTAATCTTTTTTTAAAAGTTAATATATAAATAGAATCTTTTTCTTACTCATATTATTTATTAAAAAAGTAGATATCTATTCTGGGTAATTAGGTTAAAAAAAGAGTTTTAAGATATAAGAATTTTAGAACTTTTTTTATAATAGTATTTTTTTAGATAATTCTTTTTAAAAACTAATATATAAATAAAACCCTTTTCTTATTTATTTTATCTATTAAAGAAATAGATATCTATTTTAGATAGATTAAAAAAAAGATTTTAAAATATAAGAATTTTAGAATTTTTTTTATAATAGTACCTTAGACAATAGAGAGACTAATAATTAAAAGTTATAATAATAAAATAAACTTTAATAATATAGAATCTAAAAATCCTATTAATAATCTCTCTAAATTGCTAAAAAATAGTTTTAAAATTTTAAATTTATTCTTAAATAGTGAATTATCTAGTCTATTACTAAGTGATAAATTAGATAATAAGATAAATTTTAAAAAGAAGCCTATAAAAAAGATAATAATAGTTTAGAAAGATATTACTTATAAGTTTTTATTATTTCTAGATTTAACTTTTTACTAATATAGAGAATAGTGAAAAAAATTCTTAAGAATCTAAACAAGAATGTTTTAGTCTTATAGTAATATCTTAAGCTTATATCTAATAAAAAATAGAAAATTTAATTATAAAGCCTGAACTTTCTTTTTTATTAGAAAGAATTATAGAATTGCTAGCTCTCTAAATAAAAAAAGTAATATTATAATTCTAGTATTAAATAAATTCTCTTAATTATATATATTAAAGCAGAGGATTTTAATAAGAAATATATTAATAAAAATAACTAAAATAATATTTATTATTATGTATATTTTATATACCAAATCTTATAAAGAAATCTTAATTATATAGATAGACTTTTTAGATTTTATTTTATAGGTCTTAATAAAGCTGAATACTATCTTTAGACTACTATAAAATATATCTAATATAAGTTTGCACTATCTTAGTGATATAAGCTTTTAGATAGCTATATATTACTATATAAGGAAACTTATAAGAAAAAGGGTTATTCTATTAAATCTACTTTTTATAAGTTAAAGAAGTAGTCTAAAAAGAATTTTATATAAAATCTTATTTTAAATAATCTTGCTTTTAATCTCTTTAATCTAAATATTATTCTTACTAATAGTATAGGCTTTTTTTTAGAATTTAATATAAATACTAGCTTTAATAATAATAAAATTAATTTACTTTCTATAAATATTAAGAAAATTATAGCTTTAATTAATATTATCTTAACTAATTTTTAAAAGAAAATAATCTAATCTTATATCTAAAAGAAGTATTTAATAAAGTAGTTTAAAAAGTTTAACTTTAATAATCTATATTAGTATTTAATATTTGCTTAGATAGTTTTATATTATATAAAGCTAGATAATAAAGATAAAATCTAGATTCTATTATCTCCTAAAATTAAGAATAATAATATTAATTAGTTAAATAATAAATCTACTAGATTGAATCTAAGTAAAGCTATATAATATAGCATAGTAATAAATACTTTAATTTTTAAACTTATAGATCTGAATTCTAAAAAAAACTATAATAAAATTATTTATATTTTTAATTCTTTTAATTATTTAAAGTTTAAGAATATAATTATAGAGTAAGAAGACTATAAAGAGAAAGATATTTTTTTAAATTATTTTTTTAATATTTTAGAGTAATCTCTTGCTAATTATTAGAAGAAGCTTATATAATTAAATAATTCTAGTTTTTAATCTCTTGATTTTAATAAAATATATAGAGCTCTTTATTTTATAATAGCTAAAAAGAATAATAATATTTTTATTTAGACTTATTATAAATATATATATTTTAATCTAAATTTAGAGATTTAGCAAGTGCTTAATATAGCTTATTTAATTAAAATAATAAAGAAAATTTATTCTAATAGATTTTTATTATTCTGTGGTGGGTTTCTTAGTAATATTATAGGACTTAGAAAGATTTTTTAAGTAATAGTTTTTATATTAGAGATAAGTCTTGTATTTATTAAAAAAAAGTTTTAGAATTCTTTTTTAGTCTTTTTTTATAATAATTTTATAAATTTTAAAATCTTTTTCTAAATAATTTTCTCTAATTTCTTATTAGCTATTATATTGATTAAAAGTTTAATAAACTGTATAAGAATCTTTAAAAAAGATAAATCTAGGTAAATGTGGTTTTAAATTAATTTATTAATTATTCCTTTTTATTGTTCTCTTTATTATTCTTACTTAATAGATTAGTAAGATATATACTATCATGAAGTATCTCTAGATATATGTATTATATAGAAACCCTAAAGCTATTAAGACTAGGATTTTTAAAAATATAAAGCTTATTAAGAATCTATTAATTTTTTTCTATAAGCTTTTTAATAGTTTATTTTCTTAATTAAACTATATTATTATAATAAGTTATAATATATTCTAGAGTTGTTATAGTCCTCCAGCTTATAAGAAATAGGAAAATTAGGAGAAAGTATATTATAAGAAGGAAGATGACTTATTTATTGCAAGGCTATAGCTAGGTGATCTTAATAGGCTTTTTTATTATATTATCTTTGATAAGGCTTATATATTATATAATATTAATAGTAGCTTGTCTATAACTATTTAATAGCTTAAAACTAATTTTTATCTTCTTTTATTAGTCATTATTTTCTATAATAATATCCTAGACTTCTGGGGCTATATGTCTCTTAT